GCTATCAAACTGTGCTTCTCATTTCAGCTGGGCATAATCTTACCATCTTCAGGGTTTCTCTCAGTGCCTCAGCTGGTGTTCAGGTCTCTCTACCCAGGGCATGCTGGTTTCTTTCTTGCTCTTTCTCTGGTTGAGAACACAAGTGTGCTTCTTTTTACTCTCTGCTCTTGTGCTCCGGGATGCGCTTCCAGATGAGCCCCTGTCCCGCGCTGCCTGAGGCCTTGCCTCGGGCTCTCTGTCATTCAGTTACACTCCAGGCTCTCGCCCTCCCGTGGTGTGCACCTGTGTGGCTTTCTGCCTGAGGCTGCACTTCCGGTGACTCTCCTGCCCGGAGTCCCATGCACATGCCTTTGAGCTTCCCGGGCCCTCAGGTCCTAATGGGTCGAGTTCTTGACTCTCTTCACTAAATTCACGCTTTCCTTAGTTTACAAAGCCCACATCCTAGTGAAAGTTCCTTTCTTTGCAGTCTTGACATCCTCTCTCGTAGCAGTGAAACCACATTAATGATGCACATAAACATTTAAAAAATATGTTTACTTTAGGTTTGGGGCCACACCTGGTGATGCTCAGGGGTTACTCTTGACTCCTCAGGAATTACTCCTGGTGGTGCTCAGTGAGCTCCCTATCTGCTGTACTGTCACTCCAGCCTCAGAACATTTAAAATTTTTTTTCTTTTTGGGTCACACCCAGCGATGCACAGGGATTACTCCTGCCTCTTCAGTCAGGAATTACTCTTGGCGTTGCTTGGGGGACCATATGGGATGCTGGGGATCAAACCTGGGTTGGCCACATGCAAAGCAAACACCTTACCCGCTGTACGATCACTCCGACCCCTGAACATTTTAAATTTTTAAAGCATGATTTCTTTTCCTCATTTACTTAAGCCATCCTGTTTTTTGAGGACTTGAAAATCTGTCAGTTCAGTATTCTTTTTTTTTATGACAAATTCCAAACATAGACAAAATCAGAATGTATTGAGTTCAGGTACCCGGTACCCATTAATGATATTATAATAGTTTGCCGGTCTTTTTCCATCAGTTTTCCTTTTGCTTTCTTGCACACATAACACGTTAAAAAAAAATCAGTTGCTTTATTTCTCTTGTCCCTTCCATTTTCTTTGTTGCTATGACGTCAGGGGGAAGGGGTGTGATTCCCAGGGTTTGCACACTTGGTTGACACCTCTGGGGGGACCAACTGTGCTGGGAAGGCTGCTCAACCCGCACGCCTCAGGGTGTGCGCATGGCACCGAGCCGGAGCCGCAGGCACAACACAGGGTCTCTCAGATCTTCCGCACAGCAAGTTTCGAGTAAATTGACACTTTCCAGATTAAACCATCCTTTTTTTTCCCCCCCAGAATGCAGAAATAAACAAGCACTTGAGTAGGGCGGTGTCACTCGGAGCCTTTCTCAAGTAACAGTCTGGGCAGTGTGGTAGCCCCCGACTCCCCGGTTCCCAAATGAAAAGAACAGCATTAGATTCCGTGCTAGAAATTCTGCCGCTTTTGCCTTTTTTTATTAACCCCTTGCACTGTTCTTAGTAGGGCTTCATCCGTGAAACGTTCCAGCGCCGCACCCTCCGCCCGACCCCTCTTTCCTCCACTGCTGACCCAGGGATGCCCCACGCCCCCTTCCCCTCCTGTGCTGAGCTTCCTGTCGGAGACCAGTTCTCAGCTGCTGTTACCCTTGGGCTTTTGTTACTCCTCTATATCCCACACATGAGAAACATCCTTCCGTGTCTCTCCTTCTGACTGACTATATTGAGCACAACACTCTCTAGATCATCCATGTAACAGCAGATTGCATGATTCCATCTTTTCTTATATCGCTGAATAGTACTTCATTGTTTATTTTTAGGATGTTTTGCTGGGGGGGAGGGGGGCACACCCACTGGTGCTCAGGACTGACTCCTGGCTCTGTGCTCAGAGATCAGTCCAGGCGGGGCTTGGCAGACCCTGTTGGGTGCTGAGAATTGAAGGCAGGTCAGCTGTGTGAAGGCAAAGGCCTGCCAGCTCTGCTACCACTGCAGCTCTGTGTATCAGATTCTTTACCCAGCCATCTGGTCTTGGCTTTTATCTTTGTACTTGAAAATCATTTTTTTTTAACTTGAAATAATTTTTATTGAATCACCATGAAGTACAATTATGAAGTTGTGTTTGACTGGGGCTGGAGCGATAGCACAGTGGTAGGGCATTTGCCTTGCGCGCAGCTGGCCCGGCCGAGCTGGGTTCGATTCCTCCGCCCCTCTCAGAGAGCTCAGCAAGCTACTGAGAGTATCTCATCCGCGTGGCAAAGCCTGGCAAGCCACCCATGACGTATTCAATATGCCAAACACAGTAACAACAAGTCTCACAATGGAGATGTTACTGGACCCGCTTGAGCAAATCAATGAACAACGGGAGGACAGTGTTTGTTTGTTTTGTTTTGTTTGTTCATGACTGAGTTTCACTTATAGAATGTTCCAGTACCAAGCCCTTCACCAGTATACGTTTCCCGCCACCAATGTAGCCAGTTTCCCTCTACCACTTCCACCCCACTCTTCTTCTCTCTCGTAATCATGCATATCCCTATCCCTTTACCTGCTTTCAGCCATCAGTTGTGATTATTTCCAACTGTCATTGTCATAGTGGTCCATTCTCTGCACTAACTGCCCTGCCCCACCCTCTCACTTGTGGCAAGTTTTGCCTGGGAACCAGGTTTCCTGGTTCCTTGTTTCTACTGTCTGTGGGTATTAGTTTCACTTTTTTTTTTATATCCCACAGATCAGTGCAGTCGCTCTTCTCTGTTCCTCTCCTTTTGATTTATTTCACTCAGCATGATATATTCCCGATGTCCGTCCACTTATAAGCAAATTTCATGACTTCGGTTTTTTTTCCTGCTGGCTGCATAGTATTCCATTGTGTAAGTGTACCCTAGTTTCTTAATTCAGTCGTCTATTCTTGGGTGCTCAGGTTGTTTTCAGATTCTAGCTATTCTGAATAGTGCTGCAGTGAACATAGGATTTCAAATGCCTTTTCTAGTTTTGGAGCCCTTGTGGTAGATGCCAAGGAGTTCAGTTGCTGGGTTGTATGGAAATTTAATTCCTAGCTTTTTAAAAGTTGTTACTGTTTTCCCAAAAGACTGGACTAGTCTATATGCCCGCCAGCAGTGAATGAATCCTTTTTTCCCCACATTCTCACCAGCACGGGTTGTTTTATTCTTTGTGATGTGCTCTCCCTCTGGTGTGAGGTGACATCTGATTATTGTTTGATTTGGATTTCCATGGTGATTAGTGATTTAGAGAATTTTCTTATATTCCTTTGGCTATTGGTATGTCTCCTTTGAGCAGGTTTCTGTTATCTCTTTGCCCCCTACTTTTTTGATGTTTGCTTTTTTTGGGTCACACCCAGCAATGCCCAGGGGTTCCTCCTGGCTCTGCGCTCAGGAATTACTCCTGGCAGTGCTTGGGAGACCATATGGGATGCTGGGGACTGAATCTGGGTCGGCCGCATGCAAGGCAAATGTCCTACCCTCTGTACTATCGCTCCAGCCCCTGGGGTTTTTTGTTGCGGGTGGGAGCACACCTGGCACTGCTCAGTGGTTACTCCTGGTTTTGCACTCAGGAATTACTCTTGGCAGGGTTTGGGGTACCATATAGTATGCCGGGAATGGAACCCGGTTGTCCACAGGCAAGGCAAACACCCTTCCCACTGTGCTATCACTCCAGCCTTGGCCCCCTACTTTTTGATAAGGTTATTTTGTTTTTCTTCTTGTAGAGTTCTAGTACTTTGTGTAAATCTTGTATTCAGTCCTTTATCAGATGCATGGTGGGCAGATGTTCTCTCCCAGTCTTTGGGGTGTCTTTTTTATTCTGCTCATCCATTTCTTTGGCAGTGTAGACGCTTCTGAGTTTGAGATAGTCCCAGCCTTGTTTGTCTCTGTTTCATGCTTGGCCAGCGGTACCGAGTCGTTGGAGATCCCTCTCGGCTTCAGTGCCATGACGTGTTCTACTTTTGTTTTCCTTTATGTAACTTATGACCCAGGTCTGATGCTGTGGTCTTGACTACTTTTATTTGATTTTTTTATGCCTGGTATTAGAAAGGGGTCTGAGTTCACTTTTCACATGTGACTAACCAGTTTTCCCAGCACCATTTGTTGAAGTGGCTTTCCTTGTTTGACTTCATATATTTAGTTTCTTTAACAATGATTATCTGTCCACTTGCTTGTCGATCTGTCTCTGGTCTCTTAATTCTATTCCATTGGTCTGTCCTTATTCCAGGAACGTGGTATAAGTTTCTTAGATGTTTTGTAACGAAATTTTAGTAAAGTTGAACTTTTCAATTGTGATTTAGTATTTTAGAGAAATTCAGATTGATTAAACTTTAGAAATCTGTTTTGTTTTTGTTTTTTGATTTGGACCACACCTGGCAGTGCTTGGAGGCCACTCCTAGCGCTGTTAGGGTGGGGGTGGGGATGGGGGGGGACATGTGGTGCCAGGGTCAAACCCAGGTCTCCCAAATGCAAAGCAAGTGCTCAGCCCATTGAGCTCATTCTCTGGTCCCAGATAGGAAAACCTGAGTCAGAAGCAAGTGAACTTCTAGCTTGCCTATTATAAGGAAACTTGGCCTATTTGTTTGTTTGTTTATTTATTATTTATTTTGTTTTTTTGGGTCACACCCAGCAATGCTCTGGCTTTGCACTACCCTGGCGGTGCTCAGGGGGCCATATGGGTTGCTGGGAATCAAACCCGGGTCAGCCTCGTTCACGGCAAACGCCCTCCCCGCTGTGCTATTGCTCCAGCCCCAGACTTGGCCTCTTTAGAATGAGAAAGTGGGACCAGGAATATGGCTCAAGTGGTAGAGCACATGCCTCCAACACTGCTGTGTGTGTGTGCGTGCGTGTGTGTGTGCGTGCGTGTGTGTGTGTTGAGCACCACTCGGCCTCATACCCCTGGGGGTGGGTCCTATTTGAAAATGCCCTGAGAAGGTGAGCGGGGCCTGATGAGCTGCTGCTGTTTCTCCCTAGAGAGCCTCCTTTCCACCTGACGCGAAGAGGCTGGGGTGAGTTTCCCGTCAGAGTCCAAGTTCACTTTAAGGACAGCCAGAACAAGCGGATAGATATCATTCATAATCTGAAGGTACCGTAACGCGGGTAGATGTCGTACGTAATCTGAAGGTATCGCTCCCCGAGTGCGAGTGTCTCTTTAGCCTGCCTGCTGCTGAAAGCGTCGTAGTTTATAATCCGCTGAAACAACCGTGGATTGTAGGCACAGGATAGATCTTTTTGAGTGTGTTGTGTTTCGTGCTCTACCGAAGGTGAGCCATGCAGATAACTCGGAAGACTTGACTCTCTGACCAGACCTGGTATTTTGTTACCTGGGACTAAAGATACTGAAATGTTTTGAAATTTCATTTGCTTCTGTATAAAATGGAGAAAACAATAAACCCTTCTCTGTTTATCAGATAAGGAATATGCATCTCCTAATAATACAGTGACATCTTTAGAAAATATGAAGTACTTTACATACAAGACTGTCATTGATACCTTTGCGTTGTAAGAAGTACAGGGCATACCCGTAGACCTTGCCTGACTCTGCTCATGGACAGGCAAGGGGGACAGTGTATGCAAGAATAATTTGGAGTTCGTGCCAGCTCCAGTCAGCTTCGGGGATGGCTGACGAAACTGCAGTACTCCTACATGAATAAAAACGGGGGCTGGAGCAGTAGTACAGCGGGTGCAGCGCTTGCCTTGCACGAGACCAACCCCTGTCTGAGCCTGGCAGTGTGCTCCCCTGAGTGTAGCCAGGAATGATCGTGAGCCAGGAATAACCCTTGGACACAGCCGGATGTGGCCCCCCCCCAAAATGAAAAGGATAAAATTCTTCACTCTGTAGCAACATAGTGTATCATGTGTCACGAGAAATTATATTTTACAGAGTGTCTTAAAGGCGTTGGGGGAATAATTAAAAGTGAAAAAGCACAAAAAACTGTGTGCACAGTATGAGGTAAACTGATTTGTATCTGATTACGTGTGGTTGTGCAGTGTGAGGTTTGAACCGAGGCGTCATACAGGCAAGGCGTGCACTGAGTCAGCCATGATTTTTAATAGGCGGGAAACACCAAAAAGTATTCACCAAAGTACCAGAGTGACATTGTGAGCAATTTCCCCTGCCTTTGGGGGGTGGGGGGAGGGATTTGGGTTTAGGGGCAACACCTGGCAGAGATGAGGGATTTTCCTGGCTCTGCCCTTAGGAATTGCTCCTGGCAGTGCTCAGGAGACCGTAAGGGATGCTGGGGATAAAACTCCGCTCCTCTGTGTGCAAAGCGAGCACCCTACCTGCTGGATGGTCTCTGCGGCCCTTCCCTACCCTTGTTCTGGCTAATATTGAACCCCGAAAGTACCTTGGAGGTTTACCACATTGTTTCCATTTCCTTTAATAGCTCCCAAAACTGAGCTGAGCTGAGTATTATCTGCAAAATCTTCTTTTATTTTTCTTGGTTCTGCAAATGTATCTTTCCCATTCTTAAGGCATGCTTAAATTTGCCCATTGAGGAGTTGGTTCTTTTCCAGAAGACTACTGCAAGACTGATTGCCTCTTGCCTTATGACTTCAGAGAGGAACAAAAACCAAGTGAAGAACTTAGAGCCACTGTTTTTCAGGAGGGCAAGATACAGTCCCACTTACTTTGAGCGTTATCTAAAATACTTGCTGTCATTTAGGCACTGCACCCACCCTCGGATGCTGGACTAGTCCAGACCCCACCTCTGTAATAAAGGAAACTGTTTTATAGAGTTTTCACATATATTGTGTTTCTTAGAATTCCTATTTGGAAGATGGAGACACAGTGCTTTAAAATTACAGTAAGGGGGGCCGGAGAGATAGTACAATGGGTCGGGCGTTTGCCCTGCATGCGGCCGACCCGAATTTGATCTCCGGCATCCCATATGGTCCCCCAGGCACCGCCAGTAGTGATTCCTGAGTGCAGAGCCAGGAGTAACCCCTGTGTATCGCTGGGTGTGACCCAAAAAGCCAAAAAAAAAAAAAAATTTAAAAATAAAACAAAATTGTGCCTGAGATTCTGGTGCTTCTTTGAAAATAATAATAATGATAATAATAAAATAAAATTACAGTAAGGGCCAGAGTGATAATACAGTGAGTAGGGTTCTTGCCTTGCCCACGACTGGCCTAGGTTCCATCCCTGGTCCCCAAGACTGCCAGGAGTGATCCCTAAGTAGAGTCAGGAATAATCTTTGCGGACCACAAGGTATACCCCAAAACAAACAAATTACAATAAGGGAGGACTGAAGCATTAATACAGGGGTTAAGGTACTTGTGCACAGCTTCCCATGGTTCAATTTCTAGCACTGCATATGGTTCACTGCATATAGACCATTCACAAGCTCCATCAGGAGTGACCCCCTGAGCACAGAGCCAGGAGTAAATTCTAAGTTAAGCACCACCGGATGTGGCCCCAACTGCCCTCCCATCGCACCCCAGAATTCCAGTAAGGTATTTCCAGGTGTGCTGAAAAATAGCTTTGTTTCTGTTTTTGGGCCACACCCCACAGTGCTCAGCGCATACTCCTGGCTGTCACTGTGTGGTGTTTGTTAGTAACGGATTGTCATATTCTCTTGTTCTTTCTGAGTTGATTCTCTGCCTTCGTGTGTTCTAAATATTTCCTCTGTTCCAGACCATGATTCTTCATGATCTTTGTTGCATCCTACTCCCTGCTCCCCGTGGCCTGTCCTGGCTCTTGTTAGCTTCTTGACTGCCTTTCTCCTCAGTTCGCTCCACACACTCTCCGGTCGGTTTTCCTGTCAGTTCAGGCAGACGGATGTGCCGGGGTTCTCGGGGAAGCACTGTCGATTCCTGTTACAGAGTTCACGCTCTCCTGCCCACCAGGCCAGGCGGAACTCTTCCAACTTTTCCACAGTGTCCGTCCTTCCCCTTGGTCACCTCACACTGACCCACCGCATTTGCAAACTCTTCTCCAGCCAGACCAACCAATTCATATTCTAGAACTGCCTGACACCTGCTCGATGTCTTCGCTTGGGCTCTATCCCCTTGCATGCCTGTTTGAATTCCTCGCATGCTTTAAGTCCCTGAGTTTTGTACTACACATCAGTCCCTCTTTGATCAATCCCTCATTAACAGTTAAACTTCGAAGTGTCAGGGAGTTACCTAAAATGTAACGTTCCCAGAACTGTGGAATTCTTGTCTTCCGCTTTCCTGACAGCCCATCATCTCCCCCCCACCGCCAAGGAGTGCGGTAGTTTCCCCAGAACAGTCCTTTGAACCATTTTATAAATGACTGTTGGAAACGTTTTCTCTTTAGTTCTTTTAAACTGCCTTTTTATTTTATTTTTTTAAATTTGATCTCAGTTGCTCCAGTTCGATTTATGGAACTGACACAGAACAAGACTTTGTTTAAAAGAACTAATAATTTTAACGACAGCCTTCATCTCTCTCCCAAATGGTTTTCTTCTCCAGCCGATCTTGTTCTTGTGACATTTCTTGGACCTATCCTATGCCTCTTGCTATTTTGTTAATAGTTTTGTTTGATCAGTGTCCCACTTAAAATGTTGATACTGCTGCCTTTCATCTGTGTAGAGCCAGTGTTTGTAAATACCTGGTCTTTGTAAATATCAACCACGGAACTTCATGAGCCGGTTGGTGACTCGTGGTTGCTGAACGTATGTGCTACTCTCCGTTTGCGGCCAGATAGACATGCGGTAGTGCGGTCATTCTAGAACTTTCTCCATCTTAAAATGGCTCTTAGACAGATGTTATTTTCTTTTTATAAAAGAGTTGTATGCTTTATATTGAAGGTATAATAATTACCTGAAGTTATTTGTATCCGTTAAACTCAGTTTCCCTCCTAGAAAATCAGGGGTGCTGCTAGTCAGTGGTGAGTTTATGGTTCATATCACAGGCAAGCAGAACTTTGAGCATGAAGACTTGGTAAGATTGTGTCCTGAGATGCACAGACTCTGAAATTTAACATTCTTCCTTTTGTCTCTCAATAGCTGGATAGAACTTACACCGGCCTGCAGACTCTGGGCGCAGAAACGGTAGGGTTTGTCCTGATTGTGTAATTACGTGGGAATAAGGAGAATGGAAATTGACCTTCGTTTTTTAATTGGGGTGGAGGGGGATTGAGTGCTGAAAAAAAATAAAGGCATGTATCTTCTTCCCTCCTTGTCAGCAAACGTTTTCATGGGACTCACTCCACTTCCTGGGAAAGGGAGACAGCTCAGTGGTTGGGGTGCATCCTCGCGGGCAGAGACCCCAGGTTTGATGCTGCCACCTGGTCCCCCAAGCACTAGCCAGGCGGCTGCAGTGGCCTCAGTGATGTCCAGTCTTTCTGTCCCCAGTGCTGCACTCTCCAACTCTCACACCAGGCTGAGTGTTGTTGTTGCCCCAGAGAGATGCAGCAGGCCCCACCCACCCAGTTCCTTTTTGATGAGTACCTAGGTTAACACTTCCTTTGCCGCATTCGTTCTTAGACATCTTTCCATCCTTGGAATAGGACATTGTCCCACTCACAGCCCCGAGGTCCGCCCATTTCTTCCTGGGTCTGACTGCTCTGTACCGGGCACATGGAACGGAGCAGTGTCTGTATGTTCGTGACGGGCACAGCGTCACTTAGCCTGGTCTCCGAAGCTCTCCTTGTAGCATGTGACAGCACTGTCATGCTGGAAAGGCCGAGTAAGGTCCTGTTTGAAGTACTCCACATCTTGTTTATCCATTGGTGTCGGCGAGTACTTGAGTGGCTGACATCTTTTGGCTATTGTAAACAATTGGTGCTGAATCTGGTTTGAGTTCCTGCTTTCAAGGCCTTGGGGTATATCCTTGGAAGTGGAATTGCTGGGTCATGTGGTTGAGCCACCCACGGTGCTTTCCAAATCAGCCATCCCATGTCACGGCCCACAGACAGCATTTGGGTTCTCTACATGTTTGCCAGCACTTGCTCTCTTCTCCTTTCTTTCTGGACCCTGTAGTAGTCATTCGAATGGGTATAAGGTGGTGTCCCTTGTGATTATGGCTTGTATTTCCCTAATGGATGTTGGTGGGTGTTGAACGTCAAGTATTTATGTGTCATTTTGTATCTTCTTTGGAGAAATTTCTCTTTGTATCCTTTAGTACATTTTTTAATTGGTTTGGTCTTTTGTTACTGTGTTGTAGAACTTCTCTCTGTTCTCTGTACTAGTCCCTCATCGGATATATGATTTGAAAATTTAATTCTGTGCTCCATAATGCACAGATTTGGATGGAGTGGAGGGTGGTTTCAGCCACTCTCAGCAGTGCTTAGAGCTTACTCCTGGTTCTGTGCTTAGGGATCACACGGTGGGCCTGGATTTGATCCCTGGCACCCCACAGGAGGGATCTCTGAGTACAGCTGGGTGTGGCTTTCACCACCTCTACACACACACACACACACACACACACACACACACACACACACACACACGTGGATGATCTAACTCATCCCTGAAATGTGCAGAGATGAACAGGAGAGTAGACAATATTGAACCTGAACAGATCTTTGGCCTTCAGTTACAGAACTGAGAATGGCAAGCAGTAGGGGGACTTGGCGAGATGAGGGGACAGATGGACTACAGGTGACCTAAGGATACTCGTGCAGGGCTGGGGGCACTTTGGTGTTGGTGGTGGGGGGTGCAGTAACTTAGTTTATCAATACTGTAAAAGCATTCTTGTAGCTGTACTACACTAGGATTTAAAAAAAAATTAAGCAACCAAATATGATTGAACCATTTTTTATGAGTATATTCTATTCTAGTGATGTATCTTTACACCAGTATGGTACTGTTTGCTTACTAAAGCTTTATTGTCGGGATTGTTTTGTTGTTTTTTGGTTTTGGTGCCAGGGATCATCCATAGAGCCTCACACATGCAGGACATGACCACTGAGCCACACCCCAAATCCCAGTAGTTTCCAAATGAGAAAGTATGAGACCTTTAACTGTATTCTCTCTTCCTTTCCCCAACTTTTTTTTTTCTTCTTTTTCACTTTCCCTCTCTGTATCAGCCATAACCATTCACCTACAATGAGCTAATTAAACTATACTCTATTTTGGGAGGTGCGCTGTTAAAATGATTCTTCGGCACAGGCTGATAGGCACTGGTCCAAGTGTTGGGGGTCCAGAAACAAGTAACAGTGCTGCTTTCAGGAGTTACGGAGTTACGCTCTTGGTTGTATGAGAATGGGGAGATAAAACAACCATAGGCACAGGCAGACGGGGCAGCTTCCCTATAAACAAGTGCTGTGAAAAAGAGAGCAGCTGGGGGAAGCCTTTAGAAAGGCCCCAGTGGGAAGGTGATTGGCCGGAAGGTCGCCAGTCACACAAAGATGGGGGGTGGAGTTTTCCTGGGCAGTCAGGGCGTGGGAAGGCTCCAGATTCTGGGGGGCTCCCCTTGTGTCTCTGCCGACTCAGCTAGACCCGGTCACGTGCTCGGTCCCTGAAGTTTGGAGGTCAAAGCTTCCCGAGAGCCTCATTAGGAATGGTCTGTCCCCATCCTCCGAGTACCGTGTTCCCGGCCAGGCTTTGGGCGTTCCCTGATGGGAGCGGGATGCGTGAGCCTGCTCGTTGCCTGACACAGGTGGTGGACGTCGAGCTGCACCGGCATTCTCTGGGGGAGGACTCTGCCTGCCCTGCATCCTCCGAGTCGGATGTCTCTGATGCCCCCCCGGCGTTGCCCCTGACCATCCCGGCCCCCGTGAAAGCATCCTCTCCCATCAAGCCCTCCCATGAGCCAGGACCTGACGCCTCCGTGGAGAAAGGTCATAGATCTTTTTTTTCTTGGTTTTTCCTGCACGAGGGCAGGGGCGGTGGGGTGATCCTTCTGGGGCCTTCTTTTCTCATCTGTGTGATAGGGTGCTGTCCCGCTGCCTTTGGGCACGTAGAGCATCCAGGACGGGCTCTTGCCCTAAGCGGCCTGCCGCCTCTGCCAGCCCTGTCGGGAAGACAGCCAGAGCCTTAACCTGTTCGAAAAAGAATTGTCTTTTCCCTTTCGTTTGGGTAGGGTGGGCCGTTCCCGTCAGTACATGGGGCTTACCCTACTCCTGGCTGTGCTCAGGGCTCATTCCTGGAGGTGCTGGGGGTGCTGTTGGCGGGGGGAAGCGCCTATGTGGTGGTGCCAAGCACCGAACCAGGCTTGGCTAAATACCAGGCAGGCGTCTTAATCCTGTACTATCTTTCTCAAAAAAAAAAAAATTTTTTTTTTTGGGGGGGGGGAGTGGAACTGACGTTTTGCATTGCAGAAACTGAATGCACTAAACAGTGATGTTTCTGTTCGGGGGCCACATCCAGGGCTGTGCTCGGGAAGCACTCCTGACGGGCCTGGGGACTGTATGCAGTAGTGGGACTCAAACCCCGGCTGATTTCATGCAAGTCATGCACCCTAGCTACTGTGCTATTAGCCCCAGGTACTCTCGGTTTTGCAAAAAGCAATAAATTTTTATTCAGCGATGTCATTAATGGTTTTCCATCATGTTCTGTGGGGAGACGTTCTATTTCAGTGCAAGTATATAATCAAGTATTTAAGTTTCAGTTTATCTAACATGTATACATAAACTATAAAGCTAATTCTATTTTTTATTTTTTTGCTTTTTTGGGTCACACCTGGCGATGCACAGGGGTTCCTCCTGGCTCATGGTCGGGGGACCACATGGGATGCTGGGAATCGAACCTGGGTTGGCCGCGTGCAAGGCAAACGCTCTACCTGCTGTGCTATTGCTCCAACCCCTATAAAGCTAATTCTAAATGGTGTTAGCTTTCATTCTGCTTTTTTTTTTCCTTTTTGGGTCACACCTGGCGATGAACAGGGGTTACTCTTGGCTCTGCACTCAGGAGTTACTCCTGGCGGTGCTCAGGGGACCATATGGGATGCTGGGAATCAAACCCGGGTCGGCCGCATGCAAGGCAAACGCCCTACCAGCTGTGCTATCTCTCCAGCCCCTCATTCTGCTTTTTAATGTGATGTTAATATTTTAATTATTTTTATAAATCTCAGACTTACTCTTAAATTTCAGTTGCATCTTTATAAGCCTCTAATACAGGTATCTTTAAAGGTTAGAAGTACTCTCTTTTTAGTTTTCTCTTTTCAAAACATTTAAATAAAATCTAAGTGAATTAAATGTGTTTTGTATACTTTAAACATGAAATTTGTAGTTTATGTGTTCTCTCATTTGTTTGACAGAAGCATTTGAAAAACAAAATAAGTGGTAGAGCACATCCTTGGCATGGTGGAGCCCCAGAATTCCGTTCCCTGTCCAAGCACCGTGCACCCCCAGCATGGCCTCCCTCAGAGGGGGAGGGAAGGAATAGGCTTCTTTTTGCATTTCATGAAGAAAGTATAGAAAGGGGTAATCCTGTCCTTTGTATATATATTTTTAGTGATAAATAATTTTAAGTGACTGTCGAAGAGATTTGTTTTGCGGCCACACCCAGGGGTGCTCCGTCCTTTCTACTGGCTCTGTGCTTGGAATCACTCTTGGCAGGGCTCGGGGGACCATAGTGGGTTCCAGGGATCAACCCCAGGTAGGCCATGTGCGAGGTTAGCACCCTGCCTGCTGTACTATCTCTCCTGCCCCTTCCTCTTTTTTTTTCTTTCTTTCATCCCTTTTTCCACAGTGGTTAAGATTTTACGTGATGATTCATGATTATCCTTTGCTTAATTCCAAGCAGGATTCCCAGCCAACACGGAAACTGAGCGGCACGCTACGTTTTACTCATTGCCGTCCTCCTTGGAACGAACGCCTACCAAAATAACAACGTCCCAGAAAGTCACCTTTTGTTCCCATGGCAATTCAGCTTTTCAGCCAATAGCATCAAGCTGCAAAATTGTACCTCAGAGTCAGGTTTCGAACCCTGAGTCACCAGGGAAATCCTTCCAGCCCATCACCATGAGCTGCAAGATTGTTTCTGGTACGCAGAGGATGTGTATGAAGTTAACATGTTTGAAAATTGCTGGAGTGGCCAAACGTCTTAGGACTTAACTCCAGGTGGCATTTTGGCTTAGCAAAACAAAGCAGTCCCAGAGCAGAAACAGGTTGTTCTGTGTGGAAACGACTTTTGAATGAGAAAGGAAATGAAATTCAAAATACTTCCTTTGTTTTTCCTTCTAGTACCAGCACAGCTAAAATTCCTAAAGTGGGTCTTAAGTTTTGGAACTATATGTGGAAACCAGAGTGATAAGCAAGAGAGATCGGAGACCTTTTGGTTTGGCGTTAAGACAAGTGTTGGAATTGGTTGGGGACTGAAATCCCTTTTATACTCAACAGAAAATAGTTTGTTCTCACTAGGATTTAGTTCTAAGGCTTTGTTTTCACCGAGGTTCAATTTTCCATTCCTCAATAAGTTTTATAATTGATGTTAGGCATGCTTCTAGTGGAGATTATATTTGATTATTTTGATTTAACCTCCTGAGGAAAAAAAAAAACGTGCGCCTGGGCGTAAGGGGCTGAGCCAGGAGGTGGCTCAGGGGCCCAGCCCACACTCTGCAGGAGACCCAGACACCACCCCTGTACCATGTGGTCTCCTGAAACCCTAAATAGGGATATCAAGGGACTCTTGGACACTAAAAGCAGACAACTAAGTAGAAATATGAACCAAGTCTTTGAAATTGATGGTAAAGACAATGTATAATTTTTACCAGCTATCTAGAGGCAATCTGAAACTTGATGCTTCAGAGGTCAAATTGGCTAAACTGTGAATCATGTTTTCCCATTTTTAAGTTTACTTATTAAATGGCACCCCCCACCCACCCCCCATCCACACACATTTTCAGTGTGTTGGAGTACAGCTAGTGTTCTAGCAGTCTGCCCAAGTTGTTGGGAAATTTATTATCTAGAAATTCTTAGTTGTTCCATGCTGTTAGGTAAGACCTTGAATTTTGAATTTTAGGTATGTGCCCATAGCGACATGGTTAAAAATATGTCTTAACTAAAGTGCAGATACGGGGCTCAAGTGGAGGGTGTTTGCCTTGTGTGCAGCTAACTCTGGTTTAATAATCAGTATCCCATGAACCCGCCAGGAGTAATTCCTGACTGCGGAGCCAGGAGGCACCCCCAAACATCGCCAGATGTGGCCCCAGAACAAAATCCAGACTTAGATTCGGCAAGTCCGGAGTAGGACTTAGAATCTGTTTCTAACTAGCTCCTAAGGTGCTGTGGCTGGTCCTGGGTGAGATGGTGAGGGTGGAGCTGCTCAGGGTTCAAGGTGCAATTCCAGTCCCTTTTCCCGGTTTCTCCTCCCTTCCTCATCCCCCGCCCGCCCACCCCCCCCACCCCCCCGCAGCCTGTCCCTCCTCCTTTCTCCTCAGCGCCTTCTTGGGTGGTTTAAATATGTCTATTTTCTTTCTCTCTTTAATTCGTCAAGGTTCTCCTATATCGACTCCGAGTCCTTCTCCGCTGCCTCGAACGCCGACTTCTACTCCCGTCCATGTGAAGCAGGGCGCTACCAGCTCTGTCATTAATAACCCGTATGTTATCCTGGACAAGCCAGGGCAGGTGATTGGCACCACCACTCCCACTGCAGGTGTGTGTGATCAACATTTGTACAATATAAAAGAGTTCATCTTTGTTTTTTTTATTTGGGGGGAGGGCGGGGTGTTGGGGAGTTGGGCCACCAGGTGATGCTCAGAGATCACTCCCGGCTCTGCACTCAGGAATAGTCTCCTGATGGTGCTGGTGGGACCATCTGGGATGCCGGGGATCAAACTCAAGTGAGCGGTGTGCAAGGCACGCACCCAACCCACTGTGCTCTCTCTGGCCTCTTACTATTCTTAAAGGATTAAATCCTAGTGGGACTTAGTATTCGCTATGAAACCACATATAAGAAGAGGAAATATATGCGTCACCCCGGTTTCTGTGTCTGCGCCATCCCACTGTCCTCCCTGGTGGCTCCCGATCACCGCCAAAAACCGCCTCTCTCGAAGACAAATTATTGGAATTTAGTCACGTTTTCACCTTGCTGCCTTTGTATAAAATCAGTCATTGTTTTCCTTTTAAGAAACGGGAGTGGAGAGACTGCTCCATGGGCTGGAGTTCACGCTGCGCATGTTTGATCCCTGACACCACTCGGTGCCCAGAGCACGGACTAGGGAGTAACCCGTGAACATGCCCGGGAGGGCCCAGTCCTCCCCTCAAGGAAGCAGAACAATAGTCCAAAGAAAGCTCTTTTATTTTGATCTGGAAGGCATGTGTTCTGGACCTGCATACAGTGTGATCCTTAACTTTTCCAAACTAAGTTTTCGGACAAGAGCAGATTAAGTGTAGTACAGGGAATCCATCTGAGCCGTGTGTGTTTCAGATTGTATGTTGGGCCTCCCAAGTAGATTTTTGGGGTGAAATGGTGTGCTTTAGCAGTGATTGTATTTCTGGAACTCCTCTAAAAATGTTCCTTTCAGAGATTGCCTACTCTCCTTTTTTGAAAGGGATGCCAGGTAGGTGACTTTTGAGGATGTGGTTTTAGCAATCCGCCCAAGGGACTAAAGCACAGTGGGTAGCGCACTTGCTTGGCATGTGGCTGACTCGGGTTTGGTGCCTGGCAGCCTGTATGGTCCCCTGAGTCCCGCCAGGAGTAAGCCCTGACCACCCCCGCAAGCAAAAAGAAAGAAAGGAGCCAAAAGTCTTTGCTGGCATGTTTGGTAAATGGAGTAGGTGATCAGCTACCAATTTTGGTCTTAACTTACCCTGTAGGTGGCGTGACTGTCGATAATGGGAGTTATTTTTACCTCAGACCCTCGAGGCAGTTGTTCAGCTGCAGTCTAACGTGTTGAGCATTGCCAGCACTTTAAAATAGGTCTGACCTTGCAGTGAGATGACTGGAAGTGCACGTGCACAGCAGTGTGTTCATTTTGGCATGTGTTAGCCAGGGCTGCCTGGCCCTCGCATCTCCAAGGCACAGGGTCTGTGAAGGCTGCCCTCTTAGTCATCTAGATTTTTGTGCCATCTCTTCCTTTTCAAGCCCCCCTCAGCGATGCTCCGGCCCTCCTCCTGCCTGCTCTGTGCGGAGGGATGGCTCCCAGCAGAGCTCAGGGGACCGGACAGGGCCAGGGATCCAGGGCCACTGCCGTGTGGGCCGCATGCAAGGCGAACGCCCCACCCACTGTGCTGTCGCGCTCGGTGTCTGAGCTCCCCTGTACGAACTGCTTGTCCCTTTTTAGGTCAGGGAAGTGGGTCAGCTCTGAAAGAGGAAATCCTAAAGAGCTTTTCAGTGGTAATTTTAGACCTGTGATTTTGTTTTGTTTGTTTGTTTGTTTGTTTGTTTTTTAACTGTTAAACGTGAGCAGTAAGTGGCCCAGGGTTAACGCAGAGGCCAAGCCCCTGTGCGACTGGCAAGCAGGGGAGGTCAGTCACCCGCACCAGCCCCCGGAGCTGAGCGCTGTCCCCAGAGACCTGTCCTGTAGCACATCCCAGCCGAAAAGCACAGAAGGACCCAGCCACAGGCACGGGCTGTGAGGCGCCCCCACAGCCCAGGGTGTGCTGCCCTCTCTCCTCAGAGGAAATGACGTTAGAAACAAAACCTTTCAAAAACCCACAAATCCCTAGAAATGGAGAGATTCCCGTGGGCAGGGTGCTTGCCTTGCACGCTGCCTACCTAGGTTCAACCCCCAGCGCCCCAGGTGATCCTCTGAGCCCCGCCAGGAGTGATCTCTGAGTGCAGAGGCAGAAGTATGTCCTGAGTACCGCTGGGTGTGGCCCAGAACTAACTTAAAGTCTCAAGGGAGACTTCAATCAATTTCCTCTTTTAATAAATTGAATTATGGTGTGTCTTTTTAAACCCTTCCTGTTCATCAGGGAGTCCGACAGGCAAACTCTCCGCAGCTTCTCAGGCCTCCCAGCAAACGGCGTCCCCCGTTCCGAAAATCCACGGAAGCAGTTTTGTCACGTCGACAGTTCAGGTAACTCTCCAGCGTCGTTTTAACTCTTGTCTGTTCTCTCCCTGCCACACACACCCCACAGGGCCCCTCCCCGCCATAGAGGTTCAAACTCAAAAAAAAAAAAAATTGCCGCTTGGTAATGCAAGTTTCATAAAGTGTAGGATCTCCAGCTGCTAAGTCTCTGGAGACTCCCCCTGGCCCTCCCTTGACCTTTCCTAGTGTGGAAACGCATCCTCTTAGTCGATACAGGTTGCCAGCGGGGGCCGGGCTGTGCCACCACTGGCACAGCACTTGCTTGTGTGGGGCCCAGGGTTCCGCCCTCGGCACTGCAGAAAGCAAGAACAAAGCAAGCAGCCCAACTGGCTGTGATGAGGAAGTCGCCTTGTTTTGTTTTTTGTTGTTGTTCTCTTATAAATTTTTACCATATAAGGTATTGGGTGAATGCATGTATTACTTTCGTAATCTTTATTTTTAGGCAGAGTGATTTGCAGTACTGCTAACGATAGAGTTTATTTGCATGCGGTGTTCCAACACCTTGTTGCTCCCTCCCCCAGAGTCCCACTTCCCCTACCCCGACTCCCGGCCCCCCACCATGCTAAGCTCAGTTCTGTAGACCAGCTCTCAGGGTGTTGCCTTTGGCTTGTAATCGCTGTTATAAACTAAAGCCTTTGTGTTACAGGCCGCTGAGAATTCAAAAAATCATCTCTAATGTGACTAATGCCTAACATGGCATTCCTTATAATTCAGACACTTCCTGTGTCCTGTTGAATGTTTCCTGGCCAGAGGCAAGGATTCTCTCGAAACTTCACTATCTGGGAGCTCTGTGTTCCGTGAATGCCTGAACTGGAATAGCTTCCTTCGAGTCTTAATATGCTGCAATTCTATCTTTTAGTACTTTTTGATGGTCTCTTCCTAACAGTTAAGCCATGATCTTAACCTGTTTCTGGCCCCTTATTTTTTATGACAGATTGTCTCTGAGATTTGTGCCTGAGACTTCGAGGCAACCGTGGTGATTTTGAACACTGATCTTTGTTAGCTTTGCTGATTGTTCACATTGTTTGTTTTTGTTGTTGCCCTGCTTTCTAAATCCTTGAGAAATTGCCCCTGTGTTCTGGGTATTTTACGCAGAAACAAGTCAAGCTTCTGTACTCTTAGTAGAGGCTGAAACACAGCATTCGCATCACTCACTATTGACCTCCAAAGCTCTAGGGTTATAACACAAGTAAGGTTCGGGCTCCATCTCTGTCGTTGGGAAAGACTGGACGTGAGCCGTCTGAGTGTTAGAGGCTGAGCGACAGTATCTTTCTGTGGACCGTGGCCATGGAGCGTGGATGCTTAGAGCTGTAGTGTGTTTTCTTAAACAGACTCACTGCAGGTGTAGATGGAGAGCCCAAAGATTGTGGGTTTTTTTTTGGGGGGTGGGGGGTGGTTTTTGTTTGGTTTGGGGGTTTTTTATTTGTCCTGTTCTTGGTTTATGTGCCTAAGACTGTATATGTTCATTTCCTTTTATGTGTAGGATAGCTGGTTTAGATGAGAGAGAAAGATCTGGAATCGCTCGTTTTACCCTAATTTCACTGTTTTTCTCACCATGTTCCCAGCAGGAGGATTCTTTGTTTGCGTCTATGCCACCTCTCTGCCCCATTGGGAGTCACCCGAAGGTTCAGAGTCCCAAACCTATAACTGGAGGACTTGGAGCTTTCACAAAAGTGAGTACTTCTGGCTGCGCTCCCGTCACTCAGAATAATCCTGCTGCGGTCCACATTGTCCTTTCTGTGGCGTGCTGTACTAGAGTCGGTTGACTTCAGAACATGGAAGTTTTGTTTGTGCATTTGTGGTTTTGTGTTTGGGCTACACCCGGTGATTCTCAGGGGTTACCTCTGGCTTCGTGTTCAGGGGACCATAAGGGATGCTGGGGATTGAACACAGGTCGGTGGCATGCCGAGCAAGAGCCTTACCCACTGTACCCTCTCTATACTCTCTCCAAACGTGGAACATTTTTTTTTTTAAATTTCGGGGCCACACCTGGCAGTGCTCAGATTTTTCTCAGCTCAGGGATCACTCCTGGCTGTACTTGTGGGACTTTAGGGGAGTGCCATGGATTGGCATGTGGGTCAGCTGTATGCAAGGCAAGTGCCCTCATGCTATACTATAGTTTCGGTCCCCCATCATGGAGTCTCTTTTATTTTATTTTTGCTTTTTGGATCACACTAGCAATGTTCAATGGCTCTGCACTCAGGAACTATTCCTGACATCGCTCGGGGGACTATATGGGATGCCAGGAATCGAACCCGGGTTAGCCACATGCAAGGCAAATGCCCTACCCACTGTAATAAGTGCTCTTCCCCCCCCCCCCCCCCCGGTCCCCCCAAGAACCTTTTTAACGTCTGGTTCTAAGACCATACCCGCTGTCAGGGACATCCTTAGATTTTCTTAGTTACTCTGGGATCAGCACGACTGGCTCGGAGAATATAACCTGCGCTGGTGTTTCCTCTCTCTCTGCTGTGAAAAGCCGTTGGGTTCAGATATGTCATTCTGAGTCCGGGTCCCACTTCTGGTAGGGTGGCAGTGACAGATGTGTTTCCAAGTGCTTTTGTGTTTCTGTTGGACTCATTCTCCACAGCTCAGGCCGCACTGATTTTGTTCATGCAAGCCAAGTAGGTTGGACCCTGGAAGCTTTCTTCTTCCCTGGGCTATTATTCATGTCATTGTGTTTGTTGCAAGGTAATCATCAAACAGGAGCCTGGGGAGACCACTCACGTCCCCACGACAGGAGCGGCCAGCCAGTCACCACTCCCTCAGTATGTCACTGTGAAAGGGGGTCACATGATCGCCGTGTCCCCTCAGAAACAGGTTGTGACTGCCGGAGAAGGGGCTGCCCAGTCGCCAAAGATCCAGCCCTCCAAGGTTCGTGCTGGGCTGGGGTGGGAGGCCAGTGTGTGGATGATGCCGTTTGTCGTGGCAAGGGATGGAAGGGGTCAGGGGTGTGGTTGCTTGTCCCAGAAAACCATGTGGCTGGAAGCCCTGATGGAAAAAGCACATCAGTTGTCATGGGACACTTTTGCTCTTGCAGTGGTCCTTGGCACGGGGCTGGAGTACTGTGTCCGGGAACAGTTGAAGTTGTTCTCTTGCTAACACGGGTACCCTTTTGCCTTGACTTCCATCGAAGGTGGGTCCCTGACAAGACCAAGACCTGCTGCTTGCTGGGGGCTTTCTGCTAAGGTGCTGTCCCATGCACAGTGGCCAGGCTACTGATTCTTGGCTCCCCACAGTGTTTGTTTTCTCTATATTCGCAAGTGTCCGTGAATGTGTTGGATAACTATAAAATAGCACACAGATCTGTATTTTTCTCCATTGAGTACTTAGAAGTTTGGTGTCTGCTGTATTCTTCACATTTTAATCCTTAACCTTGCAAGGTGGGTGAATGGATGGAGATCTTCACCCCAGCTGCCCCCCATTCTACAAGTGGGGCCCTAAAAATATAACCAGTTTAACTTTAGAACAGGCAGCTAGATAGTGCCTAAGGATTGGAGCCCAGGTCTGCTGATGCTAATACTCCCCATTCAGTACTCACTAAAGTGTGAATATTCTCTGTCACCCACACACATCTTTAGAACGTTCAGAGTCGATTGATCTCACTTTGAGGATAAATATATTCTTCTGTTTTGTTTTGGGGTTTGGCCCACCCTCAGCCGTGCTCAGGATTTAGTCCTGTCTCTGCACTCAGGGATTGGACCCAGGATGGCCACAGGCAAGGTGTGTGTCCGGCCTGCTGTGCTGTTGCTCCAGTCTTGCCCAGGATGGATTTTTTTTTTTTAACAGGCTTTCTTTCTAACTCGTTACTAGGCAAATTGAAGAATGTTGGAGCAGCAGCTTTAGATTTGACTTTGGGGCTTTCGTGGCCACGGTCACTGACACGTGTGCCGCCTGCTTCTCAGTGCTGGCGGTCGTGGCCTCCTGCAGGCGTTTTGCCAGAATGCTTTAGTGAAGCCCTTCCTGCCCTCTGCCATTCCCACTCAGACATGTCCTTTGTATTCGTCAGAGTCTGGCTTGGCTCTGCCTAGAGATACATGGGATTGATGATGGGGGATTTTTACTCAGTGTGGTCTTGGTTTGTTATTCAGAATCCCTGCATCGGTTATTTGCCTCTTTTTATTTGGCATTCTGCGGGTCCACTCGTCCGCAGTGCTACGCTGCTGCTCTATTGGGAGGGAGGAGGGGAGCCAATGGGAGATGGAGGAGAGAGCATGCTTTGGTTCCAGTCATCAGGAGCATTAGGTTCTGAGCCCTGGGAGCAGGACAGGAAATCCGTGCCTGCACCGCACGGCCTCCTGAGCGACACCTGCAGGCTCTGCTGGTTCCTGGCTCCGCAGGGCTTGTGTCCGCGGCCTGAACACAGCTTGGGAACCCCGTCACCCACATAACATCACACCCACGTCACACCATATGTTACACGAATTACATGAACTTTTCTAGAGGTGAAGAAAAACAATCATCCCGTAAAGAAGCACTTCTGGACTCTAGTTTTATGTTGGTTTGTTTGGGGGTGTTTTGGAGGGGGGGTAGTCACCCAGCGATGCTCCGGGGTTACTCCTGGCTCTGTGCTCAGGAGTAATTCTTGGTGAGCTTGGGGGATCATATGAGATGCCAGGGATTGAACCCAGGCCGGCCGTGTGCAAGGCCAACGCCCTACCCACTGTGCTCTCTCTCCGGCCCCTCTGCTCTATTTGAACAGGTTGTTGGGGTGCCCGTTGGGTCTGCTCTACCATCGGCAGTCAAACAGGCCGTGGCCATCAGTGGCGGCCAGATCCTCGTGGCCAAGGCCAGCTCTTCTGTCACCAAAGCAGTTGGTCCCAAGCAAGTTGTGACCCAAGGAGTGGCCAAGGCAATTGTGAGTGGAGGCGGAGGAACCATTGTCGCCCAGCCGGTGCAGACCTTAACCAAGGCTCAGGTCACTACCACCGGCCCTCCGAAAAGTGGACCCCAGGGCTCAGGTAATGCAGACCACCTGGGCCCTCTTGGCAGCTTCGTGAATGCTCTGTCCCGCCGAGAATTGTATTTGGAACTTGGTATTCTAAGGAATCCCGGTGGGTCTTTATTACAGGGACTGCGAAAACGGGCGTTGCTCTTTTTCATGTAACATTTTACACAAAAACCCATTCGTAGCGTGTGTGTCTATGTGTGTATAGTTAATAGACTGGGAGTTTTTTGGTATGTGTTTTAGCAAGAATAGTAAGCCTAATTCTTTTTACAGTGTTCTGGTCTGAAGGGTGATTCTTATTTGTACTTAACTTGAGATTACTCAGATCAGACTTTAAATATTGCCAGCAGCATTTAAAAATTTTTGTTTGTTCATTTGTTTGTTTGAGGGCCACATTCAGGAATGCTCAGGCATTCCTCCTGCTCTGCGCTCATCCCTGGTGAGTGCTCAGGGGATGTAGGGAATGCTGGGGACCAGACCCGGGTTAGCCTCCTGCAAGGCAAGTAACTTGCCCACTGCCCACTGTACTGTCACTCCAGCCCCAGCGTTTGATGATACTTTGATTCATGCCTTGTCTACTAATCAAGAGTTAAATAAATGCACTAGTCCCTGTTTAGACCTTGACATGTTTCTGGGGAGGCATGAAACAGATATGTACTGAACCTGAAACTCTTAATGAGGCTTAAGAATTTTGTGTGAAATCAGAAGGCAAGTTGATCCTGCAGATAAAGATTTCAGAAGTGCTAATGTTGTTTGCAATGACCAAATTCATTTGTGGTGTTAAAGATGAGCACTGACCTGGGGGATAGAGTAGTAGACTAAGAACAGTTTTGCGTACAGGAGGCCCAAGTTCTCTCCCCTGGCGTGGCATGGTTCCCTCATGTACTGCCAAGAGGGACCCTCACCTTCTACCCCCCAAGCCTCTGAGCACTGCCACTGCTGAGCGTGACTCAAAAACCAAAGCAAACAGAGCAAGGAAGGAGCTTGAGATGGGTTGAAAGAGATGATCTTCGCACTCAGAAGACCAAACATCCTAGCAGTCAGAGTTAATGGTATAAGTGAGCTGCAGTGCAGAGAATCCGAGTCTGAATCTGGTAAGGGTAAACAGGGGGAATTCATTCAGGGAGAGCAAGAGGAAGAAAGGAATGGTGAGCCTGAGCTCGACGGAGTTGGGGTTTCTTTGCAAGGCAAGGGGTCAAAAGCCAGAAACACAAAGGCTCCTTTAGTGCTATGTCAGCACCAGAACTGGGAGAAAAGCCTCCACGAGCAGGGTGTGTTCGAGATGACTGATGGGCTGATGGGACTCTTTGGAGAGCTTGGGGTTCCGATGTGCCCTGTCCTCATCACAGCAGGTGTTTCTGGGGAGGGGCCCTCCCTGAGTTTGGAAGGGAGCAGGACAGGAGAAGATGGGTCCCATGGGGGCTGGGACCATGCCATGACGTCCTAATGAGGTGCAGGGTTGTTGCGGCGGGCTGCAGGGACCCCTCGAGAGCCACTCCCTGGGCCGGCTCCTAGGTTTCTGTTGCCTGAAGATTTAAATACAGAGCAGCCACAGAAACTCCTCCTTCAGTCCTTGAAGACTGTGTGTAGCGGGTCCACGGCCCCTGTGTGTTGAGAAGTCTGTCCTTTGGCTTTAAGTCGATGAATAGTTGCACAGTTTATGTGCCAGATGTTGGCAACTATGTTTAGAAAGTGATAAAGACTTAGAAATACTGTTTCGGGCTGGACCAATAGCATAGCGGGTGAGGAGTTTGCCTTACACGCGGCCAACCTGGGTTCGATTCCCAGCATCCTGTATGGTCCCCCGAGCACCACCAGGAGTAATTCCGGAGTGCATGAGCCAGGCGTAACCCCTGTGCATCGCCGGGTGTGACCCAAAAAGCCAAAAAATATATATATATATACTGTTTCAAATAAGTAGATTCCTTTTGCTAGAAATTTGGACCAAAGGGGGCTTTAAACAAAAGGAAGGAATCATGTAAACCATTATAGATACGTTGACTTTTTTTTTAATTGGTTGTCTAAACTGATATTTTCAGCGGGGCTCCGCGTGGTCCCCTTCTCACGCCCAGCATATTCCAGGGTGGGGGGTTCATAGGTGAAGATCTTTGAAAGGGAAACATGACATAAGACTGGGGGGTCATCAGGTAGGAGAGGATGGGAAGTGAATAGGGTTAAAAGAGGGTCAAAAAGGATTGAGGAACAGTGGTCTGGTGAGAGCAGAGGGTTGATAATTACAGTGGGGCTCTTCTAGTATATAAATCATATTTTTTCCTTGGGGGCCACACCCAGCCGTGCTCAGGTAACTAGGCCCCGAGCTCAGGGCTGAGCTTTGAGCACTTTTCGGGGCTCAGGGGACCATATGCGGTGCTGGGGATGGAACCCAGGTCAGTTGCGTGCAAGGCCAGTGCCCTGCCCTCTGTACTATTCAATTCTCTGGTTCAGTAAATTATGTATATCAGTGAAATATTTTTAAACATCGGCCTGTGTGTGCGTCTCGGGTGCTGGCCGTCCTGTTACTGTGTTTCAGTGAGTATGTCTTACTCTGTTTTGCCTTCAGAGCTAGCGCTGACCTCAGTGTCTTTTGACTACCCCTTTGCTAACTCTTCTCTCCCCTCTGTGCCCTTTCAGTGATGGCAACACTGCAGCTGCCCGCCACCAATTTGGCCAACTTGGCGAACTTACCTCCGGGCACCAAGCTCTACCTGACGACGAACAGCAAGAACCCTTCTGGGAAAGGAAAGCTGCTGCTCATCCCGCAAGGCGCCATCCTGCGAGCCACCAACAGTGCCAGTGAGTCACTCCTTCGAGCTGTTGGCTCGGGGCTGTCCACGGAGGACGACTCTCCTGCTTTATTTCAGGCCCGTCCACGGTTCCGTAGCTCTGCTTGGGGGCATCGTGAATGGTGGCGTTTGCCCGAGTGGATTCTTAACATGCACACAGCTGGGGTCAGAGGCGGGCATGGGGCCACACCAGCAGTGCTCAGGGCTTACTCCTGGCTCAGCACTCAGGAATCACTCCCGGCGGTGCTCGAGGGACCACATGAGGGGCCGGGGATCAAACACAGGTTGCGCATATGCAAGGCAAGCGCCTTCCCTGCTCTACTGTCACTCCAACTCCACACAGCCACGATTTAATTAGAGATAAGCTTAAATATCATAGTCTCAGGTGACACTGTTGTCCCTGATTGCTTACATGGGGCTTGGAGTGTGGGATGTGACACCAGGGAGATGCGGCTGTTGGGGCTGAAGCTGCCCCTGTGAGCTGGGTGACGGGGCTCCCCCCACAGGGCTGTCTGGGAAGTGGGGACCCTGGGTGTTGCCGGGAGCTCCGCCCGTGTTTTATCTGGACAGGGACAAGAGTAAGGTTGGAATTGATGTCTCTGCTCGCCATTCCTGAAGTACACTTCTCAGGTTGTTGTGTTTAGAGATGGAAGAAGCAATACAGACTTCACCTTCGTGCTTAAGTCTCAGAACCCCAAAGAAATTGGGTGTTTATCTAGACTTTTTTAAACTTACATGTAGAGAACATGAAAGGTGAATGGAGATTTTTGGGTTTTTTTTGTTTTCTTTTGCTTTTTTGGGTCATACCCAGCGATGCTCAGTGGTTACTCCTGGTTCTGCTCTCGGGAATTACCCCTGGTGGTGCTTGGGGGACCATATGGGATGCCGGAAATCGGACTTGGGACTTGCGCGTGCAAGGCAAACACCCTACCCACTGTACAATCACACCGGCCCCCTGAAAGGAGTTTATTTTTTTTTCATTTAAGAGTGTGTGTGTGTGTGTGTGTGTGTGTGTGTGTGTGTGTGTGTGTCTGGCATTGGAACCAATCTGACAGCTTGCACGTATGAGCACACTTTATCCTGCTGAGCCAGGTCCTCAGCCTGCTGTGAACTGCTCCTGCAGAAGTGCACACATGGGCTCATCGCATGTGTTTGTCAGTCATGATGCTTGATGCTTGGTTTATGCTCTCCTTGTGTTTTGGGGTTGCTTTTTTTTTTTTTTTTTTTTTGGCTTTTTGGGTCACACCCGGTGATGCTCAAGGGTTACTCCTGGCTCTGCACTCAGGAATCACTCCTGGTGGTGCTTGGGGGACAGTTTGGGGAACAATATGGGATGCCAGGGGTTGAACCTGGCAAAGCAGACGCCCTCCCCACTGTACTGTCGCTCTGGCCCCTCTCTCACCTTGTTATCCCACCTCACCTGTACCTAAATTGGCATGTCCAGAGGTTAGATCTGGAGGCTGGGGCAATAGTACAGCGGGGAGGACACTTCCCTTGCACATAGCAGACCCAGGCTTAATACCCAGCACCCCATATGGTCCCTTAAGCACCATCAGGAATAACCCCGAGTGCAGAGCCGGGAGTAATCCTTGAGCATCTGTGGCTATAAAACAAAAAAAGAGAAAGAGAAATGCATAGCAGAATTCATCCAAAGTGATTTCAATTTTAATTTATGTGTTTTATGTCAGCAAGGAGGAAGTGAAAACTGTTCATTGACTTTTAAAGTGGAATTAAAGGGCTGAAAGTAATAGTGCAGTGGGTAGGGCATTTGCCTTATGTGTGACCAATCTCCCTATGTCCCGTATGGTTCCCTGAGTACTTCCAGGAGTAATTCCTTAATGCAGGGCTGGAAGCAACTCCTGAGCATCACTGGGTGTGACAAAAATAATAATCGTAAAGTGGAATTAAAAAACACAGGGACCTTGCAGTCATGTAAGTATGAGAAAATGTTCACTTTCTTCCAGTGCAGAGGAGACATAAGCAAGAGTACTCTCCAGTTACGTGAAATTTTAACCGTTTCGCTGACAGGCATCAACTGCCAGACCACTGGGAGACATTTCTCCAGGCACATTGAAATGTTGGTTAAGTCAGCATTTGGTTAGAAAGTATTTGTCAGACATCTGATCTCCCACAGCTTAGTCCAGATACTTGCAGGGATATGTTCTAAAGATTCATTTTTATTTTTGTATTCAGAATCGAATTAGTGAATCATCTATTGGAAATAAATTCACGGGGCTGGAGCGATAGAACAGCGGGTAGGGCGTTTGCCTTGCAAGCGGCCAACCCAGGAGTAATTCCTGAGTGCAGAACCAGGAGTAACCCCTGTGCATCACCGGGTGAGATTAAAAAAAAAAAAAGCCAAAAGAAAAAATAAATTCACTTCAGGAAAGGATACTTCCTCTGCCGGTAGCCGACCCAGTCCCTGACACCCCATATGGCCCCCTGAGTCCTTCCAGGCTTAGCTAAAAGGAAACAGGATAATAACAACAAGTTGGTTGTAGGATCTGGAGAGAGAATACAGCAGGTGAGGCGTTGGCCTCGTAGGCAGCTGACCCAGGATCAGTTCCTGGCATCCCATACAGCTCCCCACACACCACCAGGAGTAACCCCCAGCATCGCTGGGTGTGCCCCTCCCCCCCAAAAAAATTGATTTCAGCCTTCAGGTCTCAAAAAAAGTCTTCCTCTTACTTCAGAGTGGGCTTCCTCCAGAAAAGGAGGAGATGGAGGGAAAAGATGGGGCTACGACAGGAGCATCTCTCTCGGGTCCTCTGTTTCCCTCTCGCGTTTGTATTTCTTGACGGCTGTGAGCTAACGTGCTGTGTGCTGTATCTGCAGACCTGCAGTCTGGCACAGTGGCGGGTGCTGGAGGTGGCGGCGGTGCCGGCGCCGGCGCTGCGGGAGGAGCAACGGCTGGAGGAGCAGCGGCCGGAGGAGGAGCAGCCACCGCGGGGAGTGGCGGGACCCAGAACCCTGCTGGTCCTGGCGGCATTTCCCAGCACCTCACATACACCTCGTACATCCTCAAGCAAACCCCTCAGGTCTGCTCGCTTGAACCTGGCCCCTCGTGTGCCCCATGTAGCTCGCTAGTGGCCGAGGTGGTTGCTGATGTGCCTTTACAGCTTCAGGAGCAGGGCTCCGTATGCTCTGTGGCCATGCTGCCACTCTGTAAGTGCAGGCTGTTCTGACGATGCTTAGAAACGGCCGGGGAGATCCTCAGGAAGCCTTCGGTCACCTACCCAAGACACCGTTGGCAAGCAGGTTGTAGAATGTGGATTAAAACTTGGGTCTAGAATCTCCAACTCCAATGTTTTGGAGTGTGCCGCTGAAAAGTTTCTTCACCTGGAGTAACCAAAGAGGCAGCATCGCCCTTACGGTGTTTGGACGTAGGTTGGGTTCAAGATTAGAACTTGGACGGTTTCTGCCTTTCTTCCCCTTGTGTTGGAAGTCTTCGCTGTTCTCCAAGAAAGGTCATGGAGTTTGGTTCCAGAGGTTGGTACTGACAAAATGGATAGTTATCGGCTACTCAGATAGCACTTAGGGCTAGATTGGAGAACTTGGTACTCTGCAACTGCTTTGCAAAGTATGAGACATGGGGATGACCCTCGGTCCTGGCGCAGAGAGCAGGGCAGTGCTCCGTTATTCTGAGTTGTGTGATTTGTCGCTGGTGACATGGGACCCTGTGATGTGAGGATGTAGTTGAAAATGACCGAATTGCTGTTTGGTTTTTTCTCATTTAGGGCACCTTTTTAGTTGGTCAGCCATCATCCCAGACCTCTGGAAAACAGCTGACGTCTGGGTCAGTGGTCCAGGGAACCCTGGGGGTCAGCACAACTTCTACCCAAGGACAACAAACATTGAAAGTTATCTCTGGACAAAAAACGACGCTGTTTACCCAGGTAAATACACCTCCTCCGCCGCCCCAATGTGTGGTGATAGTGGCATTTATTTGAACTTAATACCATTTATTTCCCACCAGAATGTAAGATCATGTAAGGAAATGAGCAGTAAAACATTTTTTAGAACAATAAGAATAAATTCTTGAAAATGGGAAAAATGTAAGTGGAATAAGATGCTATACCAGAAAGTTACTTAGATAGACAGTAAAGTCCGGTATCAATAGATAATAAAATTTACCAAAGCAAAATGTAAATGAAACATCAGTGATAAAATTCACATTATTTGTGAGTAGCAAAAAAATTAAAAAGCACATGTTATTTTCTTAGAAGGAAACAACAGTTTTTCTTAGCACTTTGTTCTTAAATTTCTCTGGAGGGAACTTCTAGAGAACTTTTTGAAGAGTGTCAGGTATTTCGGCCACAGCATCAGTATAGTAACTGCTCCCTGGCTTTGGTGCCTATTGCTAGAACGTTCCTTAGCAGAAGCTAACGCATAATGGCAGGGATTTTACCCCTAAGAGATTACTGAGGCAGCTCTGTAGCTAAGTCTCTAAAATCATGAAATAAAGTACAGAGGTTATAGACTGGTATCATTTGTCAAGAAACAATGCTTTTGCTATGACTCTGTAAAGCGTCAGTTTTCAAGAACTGGAATGAACATTGACTTTGTCAAATGCTTTTAATTTATGTCTATTGAAATGAATCTTTGAGTTTGCTTTCTGTTAATGTGGTCAATTGTATTGATTTTTCCAATGTTGAACCAACCATGGTTTTTATGTTTGTTTGTTTTGGGTCTCGCCCACCTGTGCTCAGGGATTACTCCTGACTCTGTGCTCAGGGACTACTTGCAGGGTTCGTGAACCATATGGGCCGCTGGGGATTGAACCTGGGTCAGCCGCTTGCAAGGCAAGTGCCCTACCCACTGTACTATCCCTTCGGCCCCTCAACCAACCCTGTGTGATGATGTCATTATATTTGGCTTTGATGCTGGGTTTTGGGGTTTTTAAAAAAAATATTTGTATTTAGTGTAATTTTGGTTTAAGTTGATTAAAAAAATTTTAACAATTTTATAAGAAAATTATTTTTTAATTATTGGAGGGGCTTGCAATGCTGTTAGTAATGGTTTCTTATGGACATAATTCCAACACTACACCTATCAGGAGTGTACCCGTCTCTCCCTAAAGGACCCCAACCCCATCTCCCCTTACCCCCCCGCCCCCAGCTCACTTGTGTGGGTCTGTATCTTTAAGTCCCACAACGAGAGAGATCATTCTGAGTCTGCCCTTTCATTCGGCTGACGTCATTCAGTATCCTCTAGTTCCATCCATGTTGCTGCAAACTGCATGATTCTGTTTTTTCTTAAAACTGCGTAGTATTCCATATTTCATATGTATCCCGGCTTCTTGATCCACTCCTCTGTAGTCAGGCATTTGGGTTGTTTCCATAACTTAGCTGTTCTAAGTGCAGCGATGAACATGGGTGTGCAGATGGCCTTTGGAGTTGGTGTTTCTGTGTTGGGGAGAAGATGCCAAGAAGGATAATAGCAAGGATTTATTTATTTTTATTTATTTATTTATTTTTTTGCTTTTTGGGTCACACCCGGTGATGCTCAGGGGTTACTCCTGACTCATGCACTCAGGAATTCCTCCTGGCGGTGCTTGGGGGACCATATGGGATGCTGGGAATCGAACCCGGGTTGGGCATGTGCAAGACAAATGTCCTGCCCGCTGTGCTATCGCTCCAGCCCCTAGCAAGGATATTTTATTAGAGAATTTCTTTATTTTGAAATTGCAGAATTGGTAATTATAGAGTTACAAATTAGAGAGCTTGCTGGGTTCTGTCTGGCATTGGTATCTGAATGATGCCTAACTCATTAATGAGTTGTTCTATAGAGTTGGTACTAAAAGTCACAGTACTTTTAAAGGTTTCCTAATCGGAGAGGTTTTAACTATAACATCAACTCATTTGACATAGAACTGTTTCATGTCTTCTTGAGAGAATAGCACTCCTTAAAGCATTAAAGGAATCAAATAATTTGCCTTTGTTTTCTTGAGCACTCATTTCCCTTTTGCCAGATGCTTTAGTTATTTCAAACAGAAAATAGACCCAAAAAATCTTCAGTTTCCGTAAAACCTTTGCTGCTTATAATGCAACTAGTACAGTGTTTTTATAATTGCACACACGTTTATCAGAACTTGTGGTCTGTGCAGTGTTTTGTGTGAATCATATCCTAATAAAAGGCAACAACATAAACACTGCACAGACCACAAGTTCTGATAAATGTGTGTGTGCGTGTATACTGGCATACATGTGTGTGACTGTGCTTACTCTCGAGTTTTGTCCTTATCAAGGCACAGACATTTCTATCACTCTAAAATATGACCCTCATTTCCCACTTTTCTTATTTTTTCTTGAATTGGCTTTCGTTTGTACAGCTTACTATTACTAAAATGAGATAATATGTCCTTTTTTGAGTCTTTCATTGTTCAGAGGATGTTTCTGAGATTTATCCATGTATATTAAGTAGCTTACTCCTTTTCTGTTTCTTTTTTTTTTTGCGGGGGGGGGCACACCCAACGATGCTCAGGGGTTACTCCTGGCTCTGCACTCAGGAATTACTCCTGGCAGTGCTGGGGGATCCTATGGAATGCTGGGAATCGAACCCGGGTCAACCGCGTGCAAGGCAAATGCCCTACCCGCTGTGCTATCGCTCCAGCCCCAAACTCCTTTTTATTCTTGAGTAGGAGTTTGTGACATGGAGATTTGGGTTGTTTCCAGGATTTGGCATATGGTTAATACTGTTTGAAATACTGTTGTATAGATCTTCTTGTACAGTAATGAATGGCTTTGCAAAAGCAGTTGCACCATTTGATACTCCCACAAGTACTATAATCTCGGCAGCTTGGAAGGTTATCGTTGTTTTGGATGTTAATCTTTCTGTGGGTGTGCAGTGATACCTCGTGTTTTTTTCATTTGTATAAGACCCCATGCAAGTTATGCCGTGGCCACTCTTTCTGGATTCTAATTATGACTCCCCCTCGTTACTAGCTAGTAACCCGGTTATCTCTTTATCAGTTAAATGGGGCTGAAACTGTGGTGCAAAGTGTATGAAAATACTGGATGAGATAAAGCTATAATAAAAACTTCGTGATATTCCTGGCAACAGTGACTGCTCAGAGACAGCAGTGGATAGATACCCTTGGGGGTGCGCTTACCTTGAGTGCTAAGTTATCCCTCAAACCAGGGTCAGCAAACTGAGCCGCAGGTTTTTTTATGTAACATTTCATGGGAGCATGCTGTACTCGTTGCATGATCTTATTGAATTAAGGAATTCAGTCAAGACCCCGTGGTCTGCAAAGCTAGAAATGCTTACTCGGGCCATTCCAGAAAGTCTGATTAACTAGTGAAGCTGCAGTTTGTTGAGTGGTTCTCCAGCACTGAAATGTTAGACTGGGCTAGCCTGGACTACCATGAACTTTCCCACTAAAATTTGGGCCCTCTTCAGTTAGATTTTCAAATATAAAGATGATCTGTACGTTTAAGGTCACCTCAGACTCAATTATTTGGTTGGCACATGGCCTGCTATTTTTGAAGACAGGTGCCAAACAATGATTTCCAAATGCATTTCTTCTTCTGTGTAAGGGTCAAGGAACAGTGGAAGGTGAAAGGTAAGCTTGAGAACGTGTGGGCAAGATGCAGAGGCATGTCATCGAGTTTGGATTCGCAGGGCTTTGTTAGACTTGCGCTAGTCTGGGGGCCGTCTGTCAGTGAGGAATGAGTCGTGCGACTTGCCTGGACGTCAGTGCAAGGCTTCATCCGTCTTTGTTTCTGCAGGCAGCTCCCGGAGGACAGGCGTCTCTGATGAAAATATCCGATAGCACCTTGAAGACCGTGCCGGCCACCTCTCAGCTCTCAAAGCCTGGCACCACCATGCTGAGGGTCGCGGGAGGGGTCATCACCGCCGCCACCTCGCCCGCTGTGGCCCTCTCAGCCAATGGTCCTGCACAACAGGTGAGAATTAGCATGGCAGAACAGACTGGAATGACGCTGGAAAGTTGAAGGTGGAAGGAAGATGAGCAGACATAGCAGTGAGCTCTTGTGGGGGCTTGGGGGGCCACCCCTCCCTGGTGGTGCTCAGAAGGTGCTTCTCGGCCAGCAGGTCTAGCACCAGGGCCGAGGGTGCCTTGCTGCTTGGGCACTGCAGTGCCCGGGTGTACAGGGGCCCTCCTCACCGTGCTGGGGGCGTCCAGGGCCCTGCCCGTTGATCCTTGGTGTCAACTGTGTCCTACCGGGAAATGACCCCCTCGAGTCGGGCACATTCCTGGCATGTGCTGTCAGCTGTACCCTGTCCCAGCCCCAATTTTGCTCTTTGTAAATTTCACCTAATTTGAATAAAAGTTGCCATTTTCAAGTATATCAATTTAATGCTTTTTTAAAATTAATATTCTCAGGCTTGTGCAGTCATGGCTAGTATCTGATTATACAATAGTTGCTTTAGCGCTCTTAAAGGATACTGGATCCCCAGTAACTGTTAATTCCCACATTATCACACACACACGCACACACACTGTCCCTCTGTCCCCACACACAAGTCCTCCCTCTCATCCCCCTCCACAACCACCAGTTGTGTTCTTCCACTAACCACCCATTTTTGTAGAATAACATTGTTTTTTCTTTTTGCTCTAGAGGACTAGGGAAGGAATTGCAGTGCTCGAGTATCCACTAAACTCTTCCCCCAAGTAACTGTAGGAGTTTCCTTTCCCCTCAGCGGTGTACAAGAGGTCTTGTTTTCCCACTTACTGACATGCTGACCACTTGGTTTTGGGGGGCGTTTTTCGTTTTGTTTTCTTATAGCCCTCCTGGTGTGTATGTGAGGTGGCAGCTCTCATTTTGATTTCCACGGCCCCGAGAGTTAATGGTATTGAGCATCTTTCCAGGTGCTTAGAGTTATCTTTGGAGAAATGGCCGTTCAGAATCTTGGCCCATTAGCTGATTGGGTTACTTACTGTTTTTTTTATTAAGCTGTAAAAGGTTTTGAAAGATAAATTTGAGTCTGATTTAAAAAAATCTCGTTCTTTATACCGCCTTCTTGATGATATTCTTCTTTGTTTTGGGGGGTTTTTTGGATTTGGTTTTTGAGGCCACACCCTGGCTGTGCGCAGGGCTCCTATTCGTACTTAGTGAGTGTTCAGATAGCATCTTATGAAGTGAGAGGAGTGATGCATTTTTTTTTCCAATGTAGTAACCATGTGACACCCCTCAGTTGTTTCCTCTTCTATTGAAATCTCCACATGTAGCAATCACTGAACTCGATTTTAAATGCTATAACATTGGCCAGGGAGCTGACTCAGTTGGCTCGAGCTTATGCTTCACTTGTGGGAACCCCAGGTTGGATCCCTGGCATCACATGGTCCCCCAAGCATCACTGAAGACCTCACTCCCGAGCACCGCCAGATGTGACCCCCCCCCCAGCAGATTAAATGGTGTAGCTAACCCCTTCTGCATGTACTGATTACAGGTAATGAAAGACAGTTGTAGCCTGACTAGCTAGTGTTCAGTGTTCTCTGTAGCCAGTTACACTGCTTGTCTTCTGTGATTTCTGTCCCCGTTGGCTGAGCAGTCAGAAGGAGTGGCACCCAGCTCATCGACTGTTGGTTCTGTCGTGAAAACTTCTGGGCAGCAGCAAGTGTGTGTGAGCCAGGCCACCATGGGAACCTGCAAAGTCACTGCCCCCTCTGTCATAAGTGCTACATCCCTGGTGTCCACGGCCAACCCCATTTCAGGAAAAGCTACAGTATCAGGTCAGTTGTGCTCCCTGTCTTTGGGCTTGAATATTTTAGAAAATTTATTGGTTGGTTGTGTTTGTCCTCGGGGCTTACTCCTGGCTCTGCACTTGGGGATCAAACCTAGGTTGGCCATGCGCAAGACAGGCTCCTCCCTACCAGTTATACTAGCACTCCAGCCTAAACATCATTTTTTGTTGTGAAACTCATGTTTGGAGATACTGTGGTAGAATTGATACAAAAATTATGGAAGAAATGAGAATTGGGAGAAATGAATGCTTTCTCTTTTCTGATCACACGTTAGCATCCAGTAAATAATATCTCTCGGCTTTAACATGCACTATCCAAAGATACTGCACTAAACTTTCAGTTTCATAAAAGTCAGACTAGGGGGGCTGGAGCGATAGCACAGTGGGTGGGGCGTTTGCCTTGCACATGGCCAACCCGGGTTCGATTCCCAGCATACCATATGGTCCCCTGAGCACCGCCAGGAGTAATTCCTGAGTGCAAAGCCAGGAGCAATTCCTGTGCATCGCTGGGTGTGACCCAAGAAGCAAAAAAAAAAAAAGTCATACTAGGGCCTCAGCACATGCCTTACATGTTTGAAGACCTGGCCCTGCAAAAAATAAAAGAGGTGAAAAAAGATTAACTGTGCTCTAATGATGATCGTCAAGTTTTTTGTTTCTGAATTATGTTTTGCAAGGTTCTGGTTTTTGTAGTTTGTTTTCAGCTTTGTAAACTGTCTTAAACAAGGTCACTGTTGTGAGTAACTACTCACAGATGAAGTCACACTGAGGGGCCCAGATCACACTGGGCTGCTGTGGGTCATTGTAAGAGCTTTGCCTTTTGTTCAGAGGAAGGCGTCTGAGGGTCTGAAGCTAAAGAGTCAATGGTTGACCTTTCCTTTCACCGAGACCGCTGGCCGCAGAGTTCAGAGTCAGCTAGGGCATAAAGGGGAGACAGGGGACGGACCAAGAGGCAGATGCTAAGAACATTTGATGTTCTATCAGGGAGCCATGGAGGAAGGGATTCCATGAAGGAAGCAGGAAGTAGAGGGAAGGAAATCACCCAGGAAAAGATATGGAACGGTTTACCCCCCAGCTGAGGGGCATGAGCTTCTGGTTCGGAAGCCACCCTCTCCAGAATGCTCAGAGAAAGACGGCGTTACATCCCCGGTTTTCCACCCACCGCTCCAGTCTGCCCCCTTGGCGAGCACAAACAGATTTCCCTCATATTGCTACAACATAAAGGCAGATGAAATGATTAGACCTTAGCTTGGTATCCGTTTGTGATTGACTGTCGGCCCGGGTTCGATCCCCATCATTGTCCTGTCTCACAAGGGGGTCACCAAAGTCATTGTCTGATGTGCCTTCTGTGTTAACTGTTGCGGCTCATTGAGCTTGGTGGTCTTCTCTGCAACTGTCCCATCAGATTTCATGTGATTTTACTGGGCTGACAGTATGATGAAATTTTAAGTCGTCCAGCCAAGAAGCTGAAGATGTGGAATGATTTGGTGGCGTGGCAGTTCGGTGCGGTTCACTTACAGAGGTTGACCATTTCTGTGTCGGAGGGTGTCAGGTGTGGATGGGGCCTCTGTGCCTTCAGGCAGAAAGGAGAACTCACCCCCACTCCAAGAAGGCTCCAGATTCCCAAGTCTTCCCAGCAAGGACAAGGAGAAGATCTTAAAGGCCTTCAGAGGGAAAAAGAAATACAACCGCTCAGAAATCACATTATCGTCAGATTTCTTAGTAGCAATGCTGAAAGCGGGAATACTGCTTTCCAGAATTTCGGAGAAAATTATTTATCGTATCCATTCAGTCAACTGTGGTCAATATAGGAATGGATGGAAGAAAGGCCGTAGAGAGCCGTGAGATGCTTACCTACCCTAATCGTGCATTTTAAATCTGACTTTAACGGGTTTAATCACAATGAAGCAGGGTCTACCATATATATCTATGGTATACCATATGTATAATTGCGGACTATAAATATAAATATATATTTAAAAAAATAAAACCAGGAGGGCTGGAGCTATAGTACAGCTTGCCTTGCCCATGGCCGACCCAGGTTCAATCCCTAGCACCCTATATGACCTGCTGAGCACCTCCAGGAGCGATACCTGAGTGCAGAGTCAGGAGTAAACCCTGAGCACTGCTGGATGTAACCCAAATGCCAAAATAATTAAAACCAACAAGATTTATAGCAAAGGAAAGGTCTAGAAGGCGTAAAAGCTCCTGCCAGAGGAAACTAGATGAAGTTAGAGATGTAGAGCAAAAATGGTTACTTTTACTTTTAAAAATTTTTTTTATTGAATATCTGTGTGATAGACCATTACAAAGCTGTTCATGATTGAATTTCAGCCCTACAATGATCCAACACCCATCCCTCCACCAGTGTACGTTTCCTAGCACCAGTGGACCCAGGTTCCCTCCCCACCAGTCCCCCCCCACCATCAGCCTGCCTCTATAGCAGGCATTCTCTCTCTCTCTCTCTCTCTCTCTCTCTTTCTCTCTCTCTCTCTCTTTCTCTCTCTCTCTCTCTCTCTCTTTCTCTCTCTCTCTCTCTCTCTCTCTCTCTCTCTCTCTCCTTTTGTGCATTATGGTTTCCAATACAGGCACTAAGAGGTCATCGTGTTTGTTCTGTATTTTTATCAGGAAGGCAAAGCTGGGATAGCTTGTAACCAGGCGGCACGACAGGGGCGTGGACAGGACTGCCAGAGGCTTCTAGAAGCACAGGGAGGTGGGGAGAGGTAGCCCATCCTGACCCTGAGTAAGCCTGGAGATTTCACTCACGGCTGCTTTCACTTTTGAGGGGTTTTTGTCCTTCCTTTAGTTTTCAACTGGTACATATATGACATTTTGCTAGAAAAGAGAATTTCAGATTTCTTTTTATTTGGAGGTGGGTGGGTAGCCCTCCTACACAGTCAGTGCTGAGGGCACCTGGGGACCACTTGTGGGGGTGGGGGGAGAGACATGGCCAAAAGCAGTGCCAGGGGTCAAGCCCAGATTGTCCAGGCAAGTGCCGTACCTGCTCTCTCCTTTGCTCATTGGTCCGATTTTTATTGCTCCTCTGGGTGCCAGGAAATTACTTTCAAAGTCAAGTAGTGGGTGGGATGTCAGAATACTTAATGGGTTGAGCGCATGCCCTGAGTCCAGGAGGCCTGGGCTTGATTCCTGGCGCCGCGTTCATCCTAGCACAGCACTGCCAGGAGTGGTCCCTGAGCCCAGAGCTGAACACAAGTGTGATGCAGAAAGTGGCGCGGGGGGGGGGGGGGGGTGTCGGTGAGAGAAATGATAGTGGATTGGCCACTGAAAGTGGATAATGTACGATTTGCCAAAAGCTATGCCACACAGATAAGGAAAATGATAAGTCCTGGTGAGCAGACAGATTGAAGTATCTGATGCATGGAAATGGGGTCAAAGAGATGATTGGCAGGTTCTCTCTCAGGTTTGCACCCTGTATATGGTCTCTCAAGCCCCCCGGAAGTGATTCCTGAGCACCACCAGGTGTGACCCAAAAACCTAAAAAAAAAAAAATATGTATGGAGATAGTATGAAGGAGATGCATATGAATTGCGACTAGATTAAAATGGACCCCTCAGTGTTCTTCTTTTTTTGATTTTGGGGCCACAGCTGGTGATGCTCAAGGCCTTAGGGACTGCAGGCTTCTGCTTAGGGGTCACTCCTGCAAGGCTGACGGTACAGTATGGTGCCAGGGCTTAAACCTGGGCCTCCCAAATGCAAAATGTGCTTTGCATGTGCTTCCATGCCCTCAAGTGAACTCTTGAATGCTTCAGAACTAATTTTGGAAATACCTGCTAGGCTGTCAGGATACAGGGGCTGTTTTTAAAGTAATAAAATGACAGTTATCTAGATAAAAAATATGTGCAGTTTGCATGTTGCAGTTGTGTGCAAGGCAAATAAACTTGTCATAGAATACAGAGAAGAAGAACCATCTCAAACTATTAATGCTGGTGGACTCAACAGTAGAACTTCTGGGTGACTTTTTCTTCCGCTGACTCTGCTTTTCCAAAAATGTCTGTACTGCATTGTAAAGATTGCTTCATAAAGGACACTTTAAAATTAAAACCTTGTTGCCACAGCATAGGTTTTTTTTTTTTTTTAACTTACCATGAGACAGAGTTGTTATGATTGAGATTCAGTTATCCTGGGTTCGAGTCCCTGTCCTGTGACATCATGGTGTCTTTGTGGAATCTGCCCTCCACCCATTGCCTCTTGCTTCTGGCTCTTAGTCTCTTTATTGAAGGAGTAAATGTTTCTCCTGTGAAATCGTGTGAGTGCGAAGATGGGGTTTTTAAGGTGGAATCTGAGTTTCAGCTTCACCTGATCTTCTGGCGTGTTTCAGGATTGCTAAAGATTCACTCCAGCCAGTCCAGTCCCCAGCAGGCTGTCCTGACCCTCCCCAGCCAGCTCCGGCCACTCAGCGTCAATACATCTGGAGGCGTGCAGACCATCCTGATGCCCGTCAATAAGGGTAAGGCCTTTGTACGCCCCTCCTACACAGACACACACACACACACACACAGACACACACACACACCCCATGCCAGAGAACTGGGCTGTGACTCCAGGTCTCTGAGGTGGAAATGAACAAACCCATGCCCCTGTTAGGTGGCACTTTGGACATTGGGGTGCCAACTTTGTACTGGAAGTAAAACCAAAACAATCCATTGATTCCTACATACGTGCCCATCTGTAGAATTGAGTCGAGGGCGGACACTGTAGACGTTGGGAAGAATTGAGGGTTGTTGAATTTTTATTTTCTCTGTTCTGTGTCTGCCCCCATTTCTGCAGTTGAGAGATAATAGTGAGTAGCCCACCCACTTTGTCAAATCACTGTATGGAAAGGCACCGCCATCTGCTTCTCTTCCATGGAGTTTTGTGCTGTTAGCTTAATAGGGGGCTAATGACAGAGATCTTAAAAGTTTCTAAGTTACGTCCTTCCTCTTTTTTGCCTGTCAGTGGTGCAGTCATTTTCTGCCAACAAGTCACCTGCCATTCTGCCTGTCGCTGCAGCCCCGACTCCGGTTGTTCCCAGCTCTGTTCCGGCAACTGTTGCCAAGGGTACGTGTTTCCTTAACAGTATTTATCCCAGCCTTTATGCGTGCTGTTACTGTAGTCTGTGGTGCCTTGGATTGAGAATCAGAATCATTTCGAAAAACGGAACTCGCTATTTGTAGTCTAGCGTTGACACTGACGGAGAAGCCCAGATGTTTGAGACATTGTCAGTCACTTGTGATCAGGTTGAAGAGAGTTCTGGTGGCAGGCAAGCAGTGATGGGGAATTATGAGGAAAAGGAATGCCAAGGTAGTTCACTGTAGAGTGTGGAAGAGACCGAGCTTAGTGGGGAGGGAGGCCTGTTCAGTTGTGAGAGCTGAAGAGACCGGCACTCGCTGGGGTGGGGAGCGGGGAAGCAGCGCTTCAGAGGGCCTTGTCTGGAGTGTGCTGTGGGACAGTGGATGTGTGTCTGACCTAAGTGCTCCCCTCCCTGTTTTCTGAAGGGGCTTGAGCATTGGCAGATTTCTGTATCCGTACAGGGGGTGCTGGAACTAATCCCCTACAGATAGACTTTCTGTACCTTGGGTGGTAGAAAGCCAGGATCAGGGCTGGAGAGACAATACCTGGGTGCCAGCACCTTCCTTGCACGTGGCCAGTTCACCCTGAGCACTACTGAGCGTGGCCTAAAACCAACCCCCAAAAAGCAGGAACCAGAGAGATGGTTATGGGACTGGGTTCATGCCTGCATGTGACTGACCCCAGTTTGGTCCCCTGCACACCTGGTCCCCCCAGCATCGCAGGGAACAGTCCTGGAGGACCCTGAAGGCCTCTGGGCACTCTGGGGTGGCCCAGGTAACCCCTCGCACCTCCTTGGGCCTCACAGTGCGCTTCCTGTCCAGCTGGCCGAGGGTCCCAAGGAGGGGCCCCTGGGTCTGAAGCAACAGCTGGGACAGGCCGCAGGAGAAGCAAACTAGAGAGCAGCACAGTTGGAGGCGGGGGCAGGTCGGCTCTCACAGGCTTGAGAAAAGGCCAGTTTATAACGTCCTGGGAACTCAAGGCAGATGTTGGTTGAATACAGCCCATTGCCCGATTATTTTGGTTTGGTTTGGTTTTTTTGGGCCATACCCGGGCTTACTCTTGGCTTGGCACTCAGGGATCATTCTTGGCAGTGCTCAGGGGACCACGTGGGTTTCTGGGGATCGAACCCATGTCAGCCGCATGCATGGCAAGCATCCTACCCACTGTACTATCTCTCCAGCCCTTGTTGCCTGAATCTCAAACAAAATTTCATGGACACCTGACTACACCACTCATTTGCATGTTTGTGCTTTAACATCATAGTCAAGTAGTTCCCACGGTGATCATGTCACCAACAGAGCCTAAAATACTGACTGCATAGTCTCTATGGGGAAAGTTTAAATAGAATGAATGGACTTGTGCTACAAAACTGGAGTATTAGAATTTTCAGAGGGCAGGGGGACGGAAGTGGACTTTTTCTTCGAAGTGTTGGACTCCCAGAGGGTCGTGTGTGAGTGTAATGCTGATGGCATAGTTGCATGGTCCCTCGGCACAAGCAAATGATGCAGGTGCACGTTCATATTCCAGCACGTGGGCCCAGGAGATGCACCATACGCTAGAGCACGTGCTTTGCACGCAGGCACCCAAGGTTTGACTGGCAAAGTTCCCAAGCACCACGTAGCCAGCCCAAGACGGAAAGGGAAGGCTAGCCAGAAAAGAAAAGCTCGGCACCTTGGGCTTTATTGACACCAGCACCTGCGCTAGATCCGAGGGACAAAGGGAAAAGGGAAGGTTAAGCGACAGACTCAAAGATAGTTGCAGTGCTCACATCTGACAGGATAGGAGGAGTAGGCACAGCCTGAGAAAGACTGACCCTCCTTGAGGATGAGACCTGGGAGCTGGCATCTCACGGAAGAGGGTCACTCACAAAGGGGCTGAAAATCTGCCATCCTGGAAGTACAGAGCCATTGACAGTGCTGCCCAACCTTTAACCCACGTGTGTGTGTGTGTGTGTGTGTGTGTGTGTGTGTGTGTGTGTGTGTGTGTACACCCTGCAGTACCTGCATCCATGTGTGTGTATGCCCTGCAGTACCTGCGGGCTTGTTTCCTGACCCTTGACACACATTCGTCTGTGTGTGTCTGTGTGTGTCTGTGTCTGTCCTGCAGTACCTGTGGGCCCATTTCCCCACCAAGTCCCATGAAGAGCGTTGGCACCTGCCCACCCACTGCCCTCTTCTGAGCATCCTAACCACTCTCTCTCCTGTCCCTCTTGCTTTGCAGTGAAGACAGAACCAGAAACGCCAGGGCCCAGCTGCCTCTCTCCGGAGGGACAGGCGGCAGTGAAAACGGAAGAGAGCTCGGAGCTGGGCAGCTATGTCATCAAGTAATTCCTTCCGTCCTCTCCAAGGGGTGTTGCTTGGGGGATTCTCAGGAGGCGTTCAGATCGATGAGGTCACTCAGATGTAGAGTGCTCACCTCACGTGTGACGCCCCGGGTGTGCTCCCCGGCGCCACACACACACAGAGCAGGTGCTGAGGCCAGGCTCACTACAGTGCCTGTGTGTCTCGTCCAGTTCTTTGATGGGTCCCACATCACCCCTGGGTGCCCTACTCAGTCTGCCAAGTGCACATGGGTGTGGCTCAGGACCGACCTGGATTTGGAGCCTGTCTAGGAAGCCTCACCTCCAGGGTTAGAGATCTGTCAGCTTAAGCTTTTCTGTATGTGCTTATGTGTTAGGTACTTCTTTGCTGAATCCTCAGTTGTGAAGTACTCTGGACACATTTTGAGGTTTTTTTCCCCCTTGACTTTTTGGGCCATACCCACCAGTGCACAGAACTTAGTCCTGGCTCTACACTCAGGAATCACTCCGGGCAGTGCTCAGGGCACTGTATGGGGTGTGAGTAGACACACCCTCTGTCACCCCTCACCTCCAGCATTGCTGTGGTACGGCCCTGGTGGCTTTCAGGGTTTGCTAAGTTTCCACCCAAACAAAGATTGATGGAGCGATATTTAGAATTCATAGTCGCTTGATCATTGGGTTGTTTTTTACTATTTAGTTTCATATGTGATATATTTAAGACCATATATTATATATACACGGGCTGGAGCGATAGCACAGCGGTAGTGCGTTTGCCTTGCACGCAGCCAACATGGCCGACTCGAGTTCGATTCCTGCGCCCCTCTCGGAGAGCCCGGCAAGCTACCAAGAGTATCTCGCCTGCACGGCAGAGCCTGACAAGCTACCTGTGATGTATTCATTATGCCAAACACAGTAACAACAAGTCTCATGATGGAGATGTTACTGGGCCCGCTTGAGCAAATTGATGAACAACGGGAGGACCGTGATGATGATGATTATATATGCATATGTGTGTAAACACAAAAAGGCAGCAGCAGTCTATCTTTCCCACCGTTTGTTTGGTAGTCTCACTCCGGTTCCCCCACCCCAGGAAGGGTCGATGGCAATGGGCAGGCGAAGGAAAGAACAAGGGCCAGGCTGGTTGGTCTTAGTTGCAGTTTATTCCAATCCTCTCTCCATTCACTCCTGTCTCTCTCCTCTGCCTCTTCCTCCCCTATGCTACTTCATTCTCTTTCTCGATTCCCCTTCATTCTCCTTCTGGCTCTGGAATCGATCTGGATCCCCTTTCTCCTCCTTCTGGAGTCTGGATCTCCCAGCCCACTTTTACAGTCTCATTATATTCCCCAGCATGAGGAGTTGGGATAACAATTACACATAGGTATGGTCACAGTCAATAGGGGTAAAGTTCTTTCCCTCAAGGGCTATTTCTTCTAGGACAGATACCCTCAGCAGGATGACCCACCCAAGAGCGGAATCCCATGGGTGTGTTTCTCCTCTCCTTGTCCAACAAACATAACAAACATTCATAATATTGACCATTTTGTATGAACACAGAAAGAGATACATTAAGCTTATAGAATTGCTCTCCTAGGGCCATCTCGATCTCACACTTCAGTGCTCAAGCCAGATAGTCTTTCCTATCCATAGTAGGGTCCTAGTCTCATCGTTACTTTTGGATCATGACAACACTTGTCTATGATCAAGCTCTTATAGTTAAGAATCGTGACACTTTGACCTGGCTCATTTCGATGCCAGGGTAGCTCACAGCTTGCCCTGGGTCCATTCAGTCCCTCGTCAGGACCCTGCTTTTGGGGTGTTAGGAACTAAGGGCAACTGAGTTAGCTTAAGTCGAGAAAGCAGATGCTCGGGAGTAAATAATATTCAAAGCCATTTAAACCCTAAGTTACAAAGCATAATATTAACTGTCTTCCTGTATCTATACAAAAAGGATGTTGGTTTAAAGTAAACTATTCAAAAGACACAAGGAGAGGAGAAAGGCAATATTAACTTACAATACAATTTCAGTGTCCTAGAAGGATCTGACCTTACAAATTAACAGATTCTGATTAGGGGGGAAAGCTGATTAACTGGTTGGGGAAGAGAGCATAGAGAAGTGGTTACAGATAAACAAAAGAATGGGAGTGACTCTGGAGCACTGTGATGGGTGTAAACCTAATAAACCTGATAAACCTAAGCTCCTTGTGGCAAGGGAGAAAGGACAAACCAATGTCATCCTACACATATGTATGAAACCAAAATATGATACTTGCGTAGTCGGATATTACCAGATTTCTCGTTTATTTAGCTTTGACATCCTTTTTAAGCATAACTTGCTCTTGACCCCAAAGAATGCTAGTATAACTGGTTGAGGTCTGACTTCCTTGAAAGAGGGGAAGGAACACATACCTAGACGGTGCACTTTTTCAGCTATTCTACATGAAGAAAGCAGCTGTTTTGCTGCCATAGTGATGTTTACTGTATCTAGGACTAGAGATTACTACGTGTATTTTTGTCTTAATTGGCTTTCTGTCCTCAGGATAGACCATTTAGAGACTATTCAGCAGCTCTTAACTGCAGTAGTAAAGAAGATTCCATTGATCACCGCAAAAGGTAAGACACTTATACCACATATATTAATTTGGAAGGTGTGGGGGAGGGCTATACGTGGTGGTGCCAAGGGACCACTCCCCTCCCCGTGCCCAGGTTCCTGTGGGTGCTTGAAGAAACCGTGTGTTGTCGGAATCCAGCGCAGTGCATTCTGCCCACAGAACTGTGTTTCCAGCCCTGCCTGGCTGTGGTTTTCAAAGCTATGAACTACTTGGAAATATTTTTTTCCCAATATTTTATTGAAGCACTGTGAATTACACAGTTGTTCATACTTGGGTTTTTGATATCCAGTGTTCCATCACTGGTCCTGCCACCTGTGTGCCCAGGACTCCTCTCGCCCCAGCCCGGCCCACCATCCTGACAGGCACCTTTTAGATTAAGGTTTGGGATATTGAGTCAACTAAAATCAGTTGATATGGTAATTTAATACTGATCTGCTCTACTTACCTTGGGCGATTTCAATGCTTGCTGAGGCTCATTTGCAAGGTGTTAGAACTCATACTGGCTTGGTTAATGGGTTTGGGTTTTTTTGTTTTTTTTTTTTACTGTTTTCCCCATGTTGGTTACATATTGGTCTCTAGGGCTCCTAGTGGAGTACCATTCTTACAATTTTTTTTTTCTGTATTCATGGATCTGTCTTAGTTTTGAGGCCACACCCTGCTGTGCGCAAGGCTTACTCCTGCCTCTGCGCTCAGAGCTCACTCCTGGCAGTGGTGTATTCACAGGACGTTGTGGGGTGCCTGGATTGAACCCGGGTCTGCCGCATGCAAGGCAAGCCCCCTGCCCACTGTGCTATCCTTCCTGTCCCGTTCCCATTGGCTTTGATAGCCGCGTGGTTGTAGTTTACCTTTTTCATCAGAGAAGAACCCCCTCTGCACTGTGTGGAATCTGCACTTGCCAAGTAAGGAACAAATGCCCAGTAACCAGGCAGAGAGACGGTTTTTTTTTTTTTTTTGGACATGCCTCCAGCAAATAAGAGTTGATTGAAATCCTAACGGTTGCATTCAGAGTGTGCTGGCTGTGTGCTTTGTAGGTGAAGATGCCAGCTGTTTCTCTGCAAAGTCTGTGGAGCAGTATTATGGCTGGAACATTGGGAAAAGGAGAGCTGCTGAGGTAACCCGCGTCTGCCCACGCGACACACAGGCCCCCTCCAGAGGGGGGTCCGGGAGAGGGGACGCTGCGTGCGCCCCAGCCGCCGCAGGGGGATCGCGCAGCCTGTTCTGAGAAATAGTTCGTGGTGGGATTTTTTTTTCCCTCCTTTAAAAATGTGGCTCTTCTCAGACCTGTAAAACTAGCCTTTTTAATAGGTCTACTTTTTTCTTTTTCTTTTTTTTTTAAATGAGTTTTAATATATTCAAACAATCTGTGCTATTCCAAAAAGGAAGACCCACTCAGTTAAGTTCAAGTTCCCTGTTTATGGAATTGATTGATGATAGTTATTTTGCAGCACTGATTTGTACAGACTTTTTTTTTCTGTTTTCGTTTTTTTTTGAGTTTTGGTTTTGGGGTCACACCCGGCAGTGCTCAGGGTTTACTCCTGGCTTTATGCTCAGGTATCAGTCACTCCTGCCAGGGCTCGGGCAGCCACTTGGGGTGCAGGGGATCAAATCTGGGTCACTAATGGCAAGGCAAGCACCTTACCCAGTATACCATTTCTCCGGCTCTTCTTATTCATAAGTTTTTTAAGAGAAAGGGGTTCTGAGATTCAGTGCCCTTCCTGCATGAATGCCTAACCTAGGTGGTTTTGCTTTTGGGTAAATTAAAATCAAAACTCTGAAAACTGAAAAAATTACTCAGGTATGTATTGAGTTCTTGTTTCCATGACCATGACTCTGGAGAATGGGGTCATCAAAGCAAGTGGCATCTAGAGGGGCATGCTTGGGGGCTAGGAGCAAGTCGGGTGAGGCCCTGGGGAGGGAGGGGGGTCAGGTCCTGGGTTCCGGCCAGAGGAAACACCCTTTCTGCCAAGTCGAGGCAGTTACTTTTCATTTTAAAAAATAAAAGGTGGAAATACTTTCTCTCTGTTCTTAAATTATGAAGTAACATGGTCAGATAATTTTCGGGGGGCGGGGGGCGGGGGTGGAGTGGGATTATTAGTCATCTTGGGAGCATCGATTTGTTTGAACAGTCGAAGCGAAGTCTGATTATGATCTTTTATTTATTCTTAAGTGGCAAAGAGCCATGACAATGAGGAAAGTCTTACAAGAAATCCTGGAGAAGAATCCCAGATTCCACCACCTGAGCCCCCTGAAGACCAAGCACATCGCACACTGGTGCCGCTGCCATGGGTACACCCCGCCGGACCCCGAGAGCCTGCGGGGCGAGGGCGACTCCATCGAGGACGTGCTGAGCCGCATCGACAGTGAACCGGGTGAGCCGCGCGCCCCCCCCCTCCCCCGGCTGCGGGAGACGCGCCGCCACTGGGTCTGTGCCCCACCAGCCCTGCCCTGCCAGCCCACACCCTGTGGCACAGAGCTCAGTGCTCACTCACCAGGAAACCTCCCCAGGACCATTTCTCCCTTTGTTGTTGGTTTTTGGTTTTTTGTTTTGTTGTTGTTGTTGTTGTTGTTGTTGTTGTTGTTGTTGTTTTCATTTGGGGCCACGCCCAGCGGTGCTCAGAGACTACTCCCAGCTCTGCACTCTAAGGGCTCACCCCTGGCGAGTTTGGTGAACCATATGGGGTGCCAGGGATTGAAATCGGTTCGGCCACCTGCAAGGCAAGCGCTCCAGCCCCAGCGATGAGCATCTTTGTTTGTTTGCTGATTGATTTGTAAGCCCCAGTGGGAACAGCGGCCAGGAGCTCACTGCTTGCCCCAAGCCCTTCAGCAACTCCTGCCCCTCTGACACCTGGTCTGGACCTCACTGACCTGTCCAACCCGGAGTGAGTCGCCAGAAGCCTCCCAGCGCCCCTGCTGCCTTCAGGCCCGCCCTCTCACCCTGTCGGGTTAGATGTGCCTTGGCTTAGTGAAGCCAGCTTCTCGCGTGCGCTAAAATGCCACTAACAGTATGTACCCCCCAGCAGTGACACTGTGGCTGGTTGCCATTGTCTCCACGTTGCATTTGGGTTTTTCAGGACTTATGTACTTGAAAAGGCAGCTTCGTTGTAGTAGTTGGCAGTTAGGGGACGGCCCTGCTTGTGGCAGCTTTAGAATTCCGTCATCTCAGATGGCAGGTCCAGCACCCGCTGCTTCACGCATGGTGCCCGGTTGGGCGCCCGCACAGATCACCCTGCTCTTCATGCAGCGCCTAGCACGGCAGCCGCCCCAACAGGGCCCCCTTCTCCGTGCCCCGGAGTGTCAGCGGCCTCGTCCCCTCCCGTTTAGAGTGCCCGTCGTCACTGTCCTCGGCCGACAGCCTCTGCCGGAAGCTCGAGGACCTGCAGCAGTTCCAGAAAAGGGAGCCCGAGACGGAGGAGGAGGTGGACATCCTCAACCTCTCTGAGCCGCTGAAAGTCAACATCAAGAAAGAGCAGGAGGAGAAGCAGGAGGAAATGAAATTCTACCTGCCCCCAACCCCGGGGTCTGAATTTATCGGAGACATCACACAGAAGGTAGCGGGGGGGGGGGGGGGGGGGGGGGGGGCGGGGCTGTCTGTGGCAGCGATGGGTCACGCATCGTGGCGTCTGAGAAACAGACCCCTGACTTTTTCTAGAGCCCTGCGTGCAGGATGGCCCTCTGTCCGGCACACAGGCCTGTTCTCTGGGCCCCTGCGCTCTGTGCCAGGGCCCTGGGCGAGGAAAGATAATGACAATGCAGAAGCTCAGTTGGGGTGGGGTGGGAGCACAGGCAGCCAGATCTAGGAGGCATTTGGCTTTGGTTTCTGTTTTCCCTTTTCCGCCTACCGAGGAGCCCCTTCTCCACACGGGGCTCAGTCCACTGACCCCAAGGTGACTTTCACTGCCAGCCTGGGAGCCACGGGGCCCCCGCCCACACCGCTTACTGGCGGGCTAGGAGAGAAGGTTTCTCCCTACGAAACCTGGTGGCCCATGAGTAGCTGTCTCTTGCACAGCTGTCTAGATCCCGGGCACAGGGCGGGGTTGTTTTCACCAGCAAGAGGGAAGGGAAGAGGGGGCTTCGGTGTATGTTCACAAGTCACCATAGGTCAGGCCTTGGGGTTGGGGTCCAGGCTCCCCGCTCACAGCAGAGTTCACGGAGAATCCTGACTGCATCCTCGGCAGTGAAATCACAGCGTGTCTCGCAGCCCCCTCGGGTGCTCCGGGTTGGAGAACGGCCTGTGTTGGGCACCCCTTGCCCGTGCGTTCTGCCCAGCACGTTTCCAGGGCCTTTCTTCCACCCACTCGTTTCCTGGGGCAGTCGAGAAGCGCAGTGGTTTGCGCGCCGTCGGCCGCAGAGGCAGAGGAGCGAGTGGCATTGTTGCACCTTCTTTCCAGATCGGGATCACCCTGCAGCCTGTGGCGCTCCACAAGAACGTGTACGCGTCGGTCATCGAGGACATGATTTTAAAGGTGGGTGCCTGGACCCAGGGCAATGGTACAGCGAGGACGGTACCTGCCTTGCACACAGCCAACCTGGGCTCGATCCGCATCACCCTGGATAATCCCCTGAGCAGCACTGGGTGTGGCCCCCAAACAAAAATAAATAGGGGCTAGAGCGATAGATAGTCCGGCAGAGAGGGTGCTCAAGCGCCTTGCACACAGCTGGACCCGGGTTTGATCCCCGGCACCCCGTAGTGTCCCCTGACCAAACAATAAGTGTGGGTCCCTGGTGGCCATGGAGGCTGATACCAGGGGCCAGATACTGCGGTTCAGAGCTGGGCACGGAAACGACGGGCTTGTTGAGAGACTGCTCAGAGTTTTCTCTATTTTGTCGTGGCGTGGGGGCTTTGGGAATCGGGGAGCACCTGGTGCCAGGGACCAAGCCAAGCCGGCTCTGCTGCGTGCAGGGCAGCGCCAGACCCCAAACTCGGCAGCCTCTCCCCTGTACCAGGCGAGGCTCTTTGGGGGTCAGACCCTGCAGTGCTGAGGGGTTGCTCTGCGGTGCTGGGGTCCAAGCCCGGAGCCTTCTCTCTTGGCCATCTCCTCCTTGGGGGGCTTTTGTCAGGTTTGGGGGTTTGTCTGGGTTGGCTTTGAGGGGGGTGGCAGTTGTGCCATACTCCCATCTGTCCCAAGGGGCGACTCCTGCCTCCGCTGCCGACGTCACTCTCCGCGGTGCCAGGGATCTAGTGGGGGTCAGCCACACTCAAGGCCAGACCTGGGCCTCCTGGTACTTTCCAGGCCCTCTCTGGATTCAGGCTGTTTCCTCTCCGGGTCGGAAGCATCTGCAGGAGCTTCTGTGCCGGTGTCTCTGAAGTGATATTTTTAGTGCCAGTCGAAAAGCTTTTTAAATAAAGGTGAGAGGCAGCTCTGTCGCGCTCCCGGAGCTGACAGGGGCAGAGCTGGGGTTTTTCTCCACCTGTCATCAAAGCAGCAGTCCCCGGGCAAGGGCTTGGCAAAACCGGCTTCTTGGTCCAGCCCTATCCTGCGCCAGTTACAAGTGACCCTCGGTCTTTCCTTAGAAACGTGGGTCAGTGGACGGTTCCGGTTCGTGATTTCTCAGACTCTCAGCCTTTATGACGACCACTGGTATTTGTGATCCGCTAATTAGGCCTTTACCTTGTTCTTGAGAATAAGTGCTGGGGCCAGCATGCTAGTACAGCAGATAGGGTGTCTGCTCTGCATGCAGCCAACACTGGTTTGATCCCCAGCATCCCGTAGGCTTCCCAAGCACCACTTAATGCCTGAGTGCAGAGCCAGGAGTAACCTCTGAGCATCACCAGATGAGGCCCAAAAACCAAATAAAAGAACTTTGCGATCTTTGTGGTAGCCGAGTTGTTTGCAGAGGTTGGGGGCGAGGGGGTTCTGGGAAGCCCTTCTCGCCACCATGTGGAGTAACCACATCTTCTGTCTGTCACAGGCCACAGAGCAGCTGGTGAGTGACATCCTGAGACAGGCCTTGGCCGTTGGGTACCAGGCCGCGTCACACAACAGGTACCGCATCACTCCGGGCGGGTACGTCAGACATCCTGCCGTATCGTCTTGGGCAGTCTTGTCGCCCCAACAAGACTTCATGGGTTGTTTTGTGGGTTGTTGTATTTTCTTTTGGTTTGGGGGCTGGGACCACACATGGCAGTGCTCAAGGACAACTCCTAGCACTGTGCTTCGGGTAGCATGTGCTGGGAACTCAAACTTGGGCCTCCTGCATGCTCGAATCCTTCTGGTAGGAGGCAGTGCTGTGACTGTGCAGGTTGTGGACAGCCAGACCTTGGGCTCCGCTTTGCCTGGAGGTAACTGCTCCTGACACCCACCTGCTGGCTCTTTGCAGTGACTGACCATCACAGTGGCCACAATGTGCAGGGTGTTGGGGATGGGCATTGTATCCCTCCGCTCATTCTTTGACACTGTCACTGTCGAACCCCTTGAGGCTAGGGCTCCCCTTTTTAGAAATTGGGTCTTGGGGCCAGAGCGGTAGTACGGCAGGTAGAGCATTTGCCTCGCATGCATCTGGCCTTATCAGCATCCTGAGCCCCCAGAGTGATCCCTGAGTGCAAAGTGGGAGTGAGACCTGGACATCATTGGGGGTGGCCCAGAAAAACAAGCTGAAAAAAATGGAGCCTTTAAGGGATATTTTGCTTGTCTTCCCCAGCAAATCCATCATACAGCTTTTTGTTAGTTTGGCTTTGGGTTTTGAGTTACACCCATCGATGCTTAGAGTTGACTTCTGCCGGTGCACTCAGGAATCGCTCCAGCCCCACGGGATGCAGCCTCGCTCTGAGGTACTCACGCTCCCAAGCCACAGGCTCTCTGGTGCTCCTGGCCGCTTCCCCACTGACCGCAATGGGCCATGGACCTTATTCTCTGCCTCAGCCCTTCACAGCCTTTGTTCCACAGCCAGGGTGTTCTTTCAGAGGAAACTCATATGCTTTTGTCCCACCATGTCTCCGAGACCCAGACACAGTCCCGGACACGAGGCCTCCATTGAGGGGCATTGGCTCAGGCAGAAGTGGGCTGGGAAGACAGTCACAGTACTAGTCACAACACTAGGCTGGCTGGAGATCCGAGAGGAGACACGGCACATCCCAAGGCCCCAGGGCGTCTCACAGGCCTGACGGGGACATCTGGCCGCTCTTAGTGAAACGTTCCACATGACACTTGGCCTGCCATGTTTCCAGGAAATGGAAATAGCGTCCCCGGGGTCTGTTGTGCTCAGCTTTTAGGCTGAGTCCAACATTTCCGCGTGTTTGGGTGCCCTGAGCACAGAGCTAGGAGTAGCTCCCAGGAACCACCAGGTGTAGCCCTCAGACAAGTGGAGAGTGACAAGCTGTCTGCTCCCTTTTTTCTGTCCACAGTCCTCAGAATCTTTTTTTTTTCCCTTTCACTCTTTAAACAACATGATTTACAATGTTGTTCACGGTAAGATGTGTCAGGTTTTCAGTATTCAACAGCGTCCCACCACTGAGGTGCCCTTCCCCAGCCACCCCCCCCCCCCCCAAGCCTGCTCCCTGTGCAGGTGCAAAATGACTTACTTTACAGTGCTTGTTGCAACATTCATCTCTCAGTGGTGTTGCCAAAGTCATGGCCTGAGAATTCACTGAGCTGTTCACTTTGGGTTGGGCCGTTGGGGTCATTGTCACTGCTTTTACTCGCTGAGCTTAGTGGGCTTCTGCTCAGTTTTTCCATCTACTTTTCTTGCTTCTCCTGGGCTGCCGCATATATGACTGTTCCCTTCAGGGGCTTTGGAGCTGGGACTGTCAGCTCAGGTGTTTCTCTGGCCTCTCTGAGGTCAATCCTGAAGCTGAGACATTTTCTCTGGCATCAACGGGCGCCGGGTGTGGGTAGTCAGAGCCTTGGGCCTTGATCAGGAGCCCCCATCGCACCGGGGCCAGCATGGGATACCTTCCTGGGCTGACTCAGCACCAGCACGAGATCCGTCCTGGAACGATGCCATTTCTCTGGCAGCCAGAATAGAATCTCTCTTCTTAGTCATTGAACCCACATTTTGCCACCCATTTCAGGTCTGAGGCTGGGAGCACAGCTTTGAGACCAGGCCGGGCTGGCAGGTGGAGAGGGGGCTTTCTCCTTAGCAGTGCTGAAAGGAACGGAGGGAGAGAGAATGCAGTCGGTCACTCCCTGTCCTCACAGTGGTCCCTGGGCTCGAACCTGTCACTCCGCTCACCCCTCCTGAATATAAGGGGCTGTGCCGGGCTGAGCCCTCTGCTCCCCCCATGACATGATTGTCCTCTGATGACACCCTTTGTGTTTCGGACCAGGGTCCCCAAGGAGATCACAGTGAGTAACATTCACCAGGCCATCTGCAACATTCCTTTCCTGGACTTCCTGACAAACAAGCACATGGGGTTACTGAACGAGGACCAGTGAGCCTCGGCATGACGGAAGCCGGCCCGGGCTCTGGACCGCCACAGCTCCTCCTTCTCAGGGAAGGAGCCACCTTCCCGAGTGCCGCTGAGCATCACGGCTCCCAAACCGTTTCTTCCACCTCACTGGCTCAGCAGGACACGTGTCCGGTCCCAGGTCGGACGCCACTGCAGGACGGAAGTTTGGTTCCTGATTGTGGCCAGCTTGTGTCCCTCCGCTCTGGAAGGCTCTGAGTGACTGCTCAGCCCGGCTGGCACCTTCCTCCTGCTCTGGAGGCAGAAGGTGAGCCTGGCTGGCTAGAGACAGGACCCAGTCTGTGGGCAGGGTGATCCAGTGGTGACCCAGAACCTCTGGAGAGGGGTTGGGCATCAGAACTCAGCCGGTGGCCACGGTGTGACGGGTGTCCCAGTCCACAGAGGCCGCCGGACAGCCAGAATTCATTCTTGGTGGAGCCCAAGAGCATCGCTACCCCGCGTCTCGGCATGATTGAGAGGCTGACCGAGCCTGCCCGGGTCAGGAAAAGGATTCCCGGCATGACCCGAGAAGCGTCCGTCGTGTCGGAATGGCCGTAGGGAGCACCTCTCGGATTTAGGGTTCCGTCTTCTGTCACCGTTTTTTCCCCCCAAGAAGAAAAGTGTTTCCGCAGAAGCACTTGTGAGTGCCTTAAAGGTAGAGAAAGGACTGGCGAGGAGCAGGGCGCAGAAGGGCTGCCAAGCCCGCAGGACGCCCGCCCTCCTTCCCCAGCAGCGCAAGGAAAGCAGCGGGAGTGTGCTCGGAGTCGGAAGCCGTGGGCTGGGCAGTGTCTGAGCCACTGGGCTCGGAGTCCAGGCTAGGCTGGGGACCCACAACGCCCACCGCCCTTCCTCCTTTGCCCGAGGACAGGTGCAGGGGTGGGGGCCTGCGAGGCCCCGACAGGTCAGTAGGAAGAGGGGCAGCAGGTGGCAGCCGCGTCCTTCCAGGGACTGTGACCGAGCGCGACTGAGGGAAGATTGATCCACATGAGGACAGATTCTTTACAGGTATGGAAACTTGAAGACGTCCTCTTGTTGCAACAGAAATCTTCAGTGATTTAACCATCCTTTTATGTGTTAACATTTCAAATGTATTTGTATCTTAATGTGTAACATAATTGTGTAACAGAAATACCCACAATAAATCTTTTAGTATTAATGAGGGTCTTTCTGCTAGAAACGCTGCAGGGGTGGGATCTCCCTGCACTAGGGCTGGGGTGTGTTGGGTGCATTGGGAGGAATGCTTCCATGCCTTCCCAGGAAGGAGCTCGCAGCCACAGAAGCTAGCAGTTACACAAGGAATGGTTACATAAAAGCCTAAAAAGGATTAGCAGGATACATGTTGACCCTGAACAGGCTGCTTTCTGACAGCTGGCAGCAAATAAGGGCACAGAGAGAGCCTCCTCGTAGCCAGGCCAGCCGCATTCCCCAACAGCCACCCTGCACTGCTCTACTCCCAGCGCCCAGGAGGTGGTCCCTGTGACTGTTGCGTGTGTGCACGCGCCCCCCCCCCCCCACCACCACCACCATCTGCTCCAACACCCCAGTGGCCTTTTTCCCTACCAGCTTACTGAGAGTCTCAGAGCCTTGGAGGAGAATTCCGGCAGGGAGGCGCTGTGATGCCTCCAGCCCTCCCAGCTTCTTCAGCTGTGACTTCACCTGGTTTCAGAAGTGGGAGATAGGGACAGTGCCCAACGGTCACGAACAGCATTTTGGCAAGAGCTGCTGAACGGACAGTTGAATTTTATGAACTGTTGTTTAAATCAGAGGCTTTTGGCGGGGGAGGGGGTCACACCCGACCATGCTCAGGGCTTGCTCCTGACAGTGCTCAGGGGAAGCGAATAGGATGCCAGGGATTGAACCCAGGTCAGCCATGAGCAAGGCACACGCCCTCCCCGCTGTCCTATCGCTCTGCCAGTAGCTCCTCTTCCTGATGGCCCAAGCCCAGCCTGTGTGAAGGGGCCCAGCCCCAAAGCCACCATCTCCCTCCCACCCAGCGGGCATCAGGGGACCCCAGTTGCTGCCTTTTGGAGGCCCACACCACCGAACAGAGGGACCCCTGCTTGCAGGGTTGGGGGCAGCCAGCTCTGTTGAACTTTGAGGCTCCCCCTGGTTGGACCCTGAACTGCTTCCCCCACCCCTTGGGCTGGCCGGGCTGATGGAGGTGGCACCCAGCGTTCCCTATTGGAGCAGCTGCTAAGTACATTGGTTAGTCTTTGTGGGGGACGGGCAGGGAACCCCAGGGCCATGCCCAGCTCGGTGGGCTGCTTCAGCCAGGCTGGGGGACTGTGTGGTGCCAGGGGTCAAACCTAGATCTCCGCACGTCACTGCTTTTCGCTGAAACTACCTAAAGATGAAATTGTTCTTCATTTTTTAATTTGCTCTTGAACAGAATACAAAAATGTGTTGTATAGAAACTTTAAATAGAATAAGATATAAAAATATATTTTTTTCGTGAAGTAGCTTATAGGCATATGAGAAGGGCGAAAGTGCACGTTTCAGGATTGAGATGTGAGCAAATCTCTAAAAGAAATGCACCTAAAAAATTTTTACCTTCGCGTTTTAGACTTTCTAAGTTTTATCGTTATAACTGAGGTGTTTAGTCCCTGGTACCCACTTCTCAGAGCTGCGGTTGGCAGCCTGTGCGCATCTGTGCAAAATGGATGGGTGCTGCCCCGTGGGGCCATCGCACAGCTCGTAAGTCGGTGGGAAGGGGTGAGCCCACTCGATCCCACTGAGGCGCAGCACTGCTGACCTGGGCGCTGTGTCTATGGCATGCCCTGGGGCGGGGCGGGGTGGGGCTGGGCAACTAGAGCTGCGAAAGAGCCTGGGTCAGCCTCTAAGAGGGGGGCAGTGATGCAGAGCCAGCCGCAGAGAACCCCGATTCTCCCTGCCGCTCTTCGCAGGGGCAGGAACCAACGTGAATGCAGAAGCCAGGACCCAGCGAGTCCGGCTGCAAAGTCGCTCCATGTGGGGATGTCCTGGGGGTGGAACCCCATCTCCTGCTTGCAGTCAGCGCTCGGCCCTTCGAGACCTCTCCCCAACCAAGGAGGGGTCTTGCAGCCCCGGCAAAGGGGGCCACAACTACCAGTGCAGTCACCCACAGTACATGGATAGCCCCGGGATGCCAAGAGTCTGGGTGAAGGACAGAAACGTCGCTCGGGTTGGTTTGTCATCGGTGCCAGGAAATAAATTAACAAGGAATCTGAACCGTACATTTCCGCAGTTTAGTAAAGTCTGAGATTGTACCGTTACCTCTGCCCAGGCCCCACAGAGGGACCACAGGAATAGCCGACATGCAAACCTGGGCGCACCTTCTGGGCGGGAACCCCCATATGTGTAGGGTCAGGGGCTCGAGCATGGCTGTGCCTGCAGTGCTAGCACCTGAGGGGCCATCTCCGCAGCCCCGGACGGTCACCCCTGCGCCCAGCAGCTGACCGGAAGCACCCGAATCTTGCCTCGCGTCTCTTTTCGACTTTCAGGCCACACCCGGTGCTGTGCTCAGGCGTGACGGACTCCAGATGATGCTCGGGGACCATCTGTTGGTGCCAAGGATGTGAACCAGGGACCAGGTTTGTGGCCGCCACAGCCACATTCAAGGCAAGAGCCTTTCCCTGCTATGCAACTCCGGCCATTGTCTCGACTGGACCCAACGGGCTTTCAGATGCTGAATGGTGGGATGCAGGGCCCGGGCTGCCACTCCGGCCGGAATTCGTTACGAAAATCAGGAGACGAGATGAGCTGAGCCTGAGAGTGGGCACCGAGTGGAAGGGGTGCGTGGCCGTCTTTCAGGGTCTTCCAGAGTCCAACGAGGTGCCTCAGGGCACCCCCAGTTCCAAGCCAGTGTAGGGTCGCCCCCTGGCCATGATGTAGGACTGGGATAAGATCAGGCGGGTTAGAAACCCAGAACAACCTTTGCTCCTTCACCCTCATGCACCCCCCCACACCCCCCCAAGATAAGTAAGACCTAAGGGTGTTGGTCCTGTGGAAATGCTGCTTCGAAACAGAACCCTGGGGCAAGACTTTCTCTGGGGCGCAGCTTCTGGCCACCCGGCCACACTGGGTGACACCAAGCAGGTGACACTTGGCTCTCAAAGCCACGTTGGCTCCCAGTGCTCCCCAGCGTGGTCCGGCGGAGGGCTGTAGGCTAGGAAATTCTCATGCAGCCTAGGAAAACTGGCCCTACCCCTGAGGTCCCTGTTCCTCAGCCCCTGGGGACTGCGTCAAGTCCCAGAACTGAGCCTCGAGACTGCAAGTGAAGGATGGTGGCAGGGGTGGAGCCTCTCAAGCAGGCGAGGCGGGTGGGGGCCGGGGTCACAGCCTCTCTCTCCCTGCTCTGCACCAGGCCTGCCGCCCCGGCATGTGGAGAGGGGTACGTGTCCCCCTAATACAGCCTCCAAGCTGACGGGGGCTCTGCTCTGGTCCGCCTGAGGCCTTCCTCTCGGTGGCCATCACACGTTGAGGATCCGGGGAGCCGAGGCCTGGAAGATGGCTGAGGGGTTGGGGGTGAACTTCTTCCTCACCTCAGGGACCTGGAAAACATGAGAGCCCCTGCCTATCAGCAGCCTGCAGGGCTGTGGGGGGGCCCCCTCCTGCCCGCCCTCCTCCAAGTGCCAAGAAGACCACACAGCCGCTGCAGAAGGCTCCCCGCCGGCCCCCAGACCCCCAGCCTGCAGCTGAGTGGCCCAGCACCCGCCACCCAGGGCTCTGGAGGGGGAAGCTGGCAGGCCGGTGTCTGGGGCCCGGGGCGGGGAAACCCTGCCACCCCCGTTTCCACACCATCACTTGCGGGTCTCTGTGACCCAGACCACAGGCCCCACCCGGCACTGACCTGAAAACCGGCCCCAGGGTTGCTGCCGTCCCATCCAGAGGTGCGGGTGGTGACCACAGTGGCGGGTTTGGCCTTGGTCGGTCTGGGGGGCTTCACACCAGTCCAGGCCTGGAATTCCTGCCTGCAGCAGAGGACAGGGCCACCTGTCAGCCCGAGTGACCCCGAGCCTTTATCTCCATAGGTGAGCCCCTGACTGGGGCCCACCCTCCGCCCATGAAGGCTGTCCAGAGTCCTGGGGGGTGAGGGCAGGGCTTGGCAGCTGCCACGGCCAGCCAGGGCATCCTAGGTGATCTCAGAGCCATTATTTCCTGCATCTGTGAGATCCAATGAGCCACAGGAAGGAAAAAGCCTATGTTTTTTGGGGACTGGAGGGTTCCCAGCAGTGCTCAGGAGGTCCTGGGGCTCCCACAAGCAATTCTTAGCCAGCCAGGGCAGAGGTTCAATGCAAGGATGTGCTGCTGCTGGGCCCTGTGGCCCCCTGTGGGCCACACAGTGATGCTAAAAACCACCTGGTGCAGAAACCACCCCTGGCCGGGGCGCATGCCTCCTCCCTCTGCCAGCTCCCTCCACCCTCCTCACTTCTGTGTCACCGTGACTCCTGCAAGCGTCTATCACAGCAGCCAGCTCAGACCCCGGGGGCAGTGAGTGGTCTTGCTGAGCAAGCTGACCCCTAGCTTGTGGGAACCCCGAGTTCCAGGCCTCTTTCATTTGCCGGTGCCTCGAGCAAAAACCTGGGAAGTCAGGCACCCGGCCCATCTAGGGTCCGGGGAAAGCGCTTGGCGCCCGCACCACCCTGCTGCCTGCACCCTGGCCAGTGTCAGCCCCAAGGGCCACAAAGCTGCCCTTTCTCCTTGGCAGCAGCACAGCTGGGCCTTGGGGCAGTGTGTGGTCAGCACCCGGGGTACCAGGAGGCGAGATGAGCCAGGGCTCTCGCGGGCTCTGTTTGCTTCCCAGGCCGCCGCCAGCCCGCGAGGCCAGCTGCCCACGCCATCTGCTGCCCTGTTCTCCAGGGAAGTGGGTCCTGGGCCATTGGCCGCAGGCTCCCCGGCAGGAAGTGCACAAAGCTAGGAGCCGCCTGGCTGGGGTCAGCAGAACAGGCGACCACCCAGGAGAGAAGCAGACTAACTGGCCAAGAGGATGGAAAGTGCCGAGACAGGCAAGCAGGCTCCAGGACCCACCTGCATGAGCCTCAGCTGAACCCCAGAGCACACTCCCCTCCCCCCGCGCGCGCGCGCGCGCACACACGCACACACACTGCAGAGGTGCTGGATCTACTGGGCTGGGCTGAGGGGCCGCAGACCCGGGGGCTCAGCCTAATGAGGCTCCCATGCTCCCAGGTGTGGGGTGGTGGGGCATGTTCATGATTAGCCCTTTACTGGAACTGGAACCACCCACCATCAGGGAAGACAAGCAGGTCCCTGAGGAGGAGGGAACACTTCTAGAAAGAAGTGGGGCTCAGGCTGGAGTGATAGCAGAGTGGGTAGAGCGTTTGCCTTGCACGCGGCCGACCCGGGTTAGGTTCCCAGCATCCCATATGGTCCTGAGTAATTCCTGAGTGCAAAGCCAGGAGTAATCCCTGTGCATCGCCAGATGTGACCCAAAAAGAAAGAAAAAAATATCTTTAAGAAGCGGGGCTCATGCAGAACCCAGGGGGTGCCTTGGGTTAAGCCTAGTGGGGAATCCCTGAGGAGAGGGGGGCCTTTGGAGAAAGGGGCGGGGAGGCAGCAACAGCCAACTTCCAGGGAGGAGCTCAGGGATGCTGGGACCCCCGCAGGGACAACTAATCCCCTCATCCCCTGACTGCACAGTGCTGATAAAGGGAACTGCGGGACCATCTCCCACACCTGGTCCTAACCGGGAGGGCAGCTCCAGCCCCACGCACAGCTCAGCCCTGAGACACTCCCCCCACCCCCCGCCACTTCTTACTGCGCAGCACCCGAGGGTGGCTCAGGGCCCTGGCAGCATCCGCCGGCCGCCACAAGCACCGTCGAGTCCAGGGCAGATCAGCCTGAGAGGAAACCCCCAGGTCTGACCTCAGGGGGAGCATCCAGGCGTACACCTGGCTTGGGGCAGCGGGGAACTTTGCTGGGCAAGCCATACTCCAAGGCAATTGAAAAATAGAGGCTGTACGGATAGTACAGCAGGTACGGTGCTTGGCTGGCACGTGGCCATCCCCGGGTTGTATCCCCAGCACCACATATGGTCCCCCGAGCCCCACTAGGAGTAATCAGAGCACAGAGCCAAGAGTAAGGCCCTAAGCATGGCCAGGTGTGGCCCAACACAAACAAAAATGCACTACTTCTGTTCCAGGGGCTATCCCTGGCACTGGTCTGGTGCCAGGTACTGGATGCAGGGCCAGATAGGCAAGGCATTTGGCCACTTGAGCCGTACTCCAGTCCCTAAAAACGTTTCTAAAATGTAAAAATACATTGCCACAGGCCAGGGGTTTGGATGGAATAAAGCACAGGCTCCTAAGTGTGAGGACCTGGGTATGGACACACACACATGCGGACACACACATACATGTCTCCTTCACCAAAAGCAAACGGCCCCAAAGAGACAGTGAAGTCTCAATACCGCTGCAGCCTCCGTCCTTCCCACCCCCTCCCCAAAGTTACCCATTTCTCAGAGGAGTCGGAGTTTGGTGGAGCAAATCTCTGTGCCTTCTAGTGCCCCTTTTAATTTTTATTTCTTATTCTTATTTGGTTTGGGGGCCACACCCCAGTTTGCTCTGGGATCACTCTTGGCCGTGCTCAGAGGGCCATATGCGGTGTCAGGCTGAACTAGCATGACAAATGTCCTAGTGCCGTACGAGCTCTCTGGCCCTGCTGTTTGATTCTAAAAAGAGGTACTGGGGAACTGGAGAGAGAGTATGGGGGTATGTGCCAGGTTCCCCCTCCAGCCCCACAAACGGTCCCTATGCCCCACCAGGAGTGATCCCTGAGCAGAGATTCAGGAGTAAGCCCTGTCCATGGCCGGTGCATCCAAGACCAAATCACAGACAAGCGTTTCTGCACTCTATGTCTGACCTGGGCTTCCCTGAGCCCAGCCGACCCCATCAGTGTGTGTGTGTGTGTGTGTGTGTGTGTACGGGGGGGGGGGGGGGTGTCGCACCCAGAGTTCAAGGATACCGTAAGGGACATTGTTGGCTGTAAGGCACTGTGTTTATGGACTCCAAATGAGAACCGATCTCAGCAATCAAGATGAAACAGCACCGGGCATGTGTATGAAGATATGGCCACATGCTTAGCCGCCTGATAAAACGCCGCACCTGTCAACATTTACATTACACAGTAACGTCCAGTAGCAAGGCGGGGTCCGGAATCGGGGGAGGAAACGTGCAGTAGGAGACACTCAAGCGCAGATCAGGGACTGGGACGTTTAAGGAAAGCATCGTTCTCCTCTGCTGATGTCTGGAATTGCCCGTTTTTCTGCAGAGTGGGGATTTTGAAATAGGAGCAGCGACCCAGGGGCAGAATCTGTATTTGTCCAGGGGCAGAGCTGAGCAGAGGGACGCGTGGCGGCGGGACCCCCAGCCTTGCCCTCACTAAGGCCAACAAGGCAGGGGCCACCCCCACCGGGGTGCTCCCCAGGTGGGCGTAAGAAGGGCACCTGGGCCTCGCCCCCGTGTCCCGGCCGCGAGCCCCGGGGCGGGGCGGCGGCGTGGAAGCCGGTCTCGCGTGGCGGGAGGCTGGCGGGGGCGCGGGCTGCGGGCGCAGGGGCGGTGCGAGCGCGTCTGCGGTACCCGGGCCGCAGGGGCGAGCAGGAGGCTCCCCGGGGCCGCGGCCGCCGTCCCCGGCCCCCTTACCTGTACGACGTGGTGGCCGCATCCGCGTCCGCGTCGCCCACAGGAAGCACGTAGACCGCGCGGGGCCCGGGGGGCGCCGCGGCTCGGGCCCGGCGGCCACCCGCCCCCGCCGCACGGCTCGGCGGCGCATTTCGGGGCGCCGCGGGCGCCGGCCACAGGCCGAAGTCCCGCTGGTACTGGGTGAGCGGCACGTCGCGGCCGGGCTCCCGGGCACTCGCGGGCGGCGCGCCCCGGCGCGAGGCGGCGCTGCCCGAGCCCGGCTCGTCGCTCTCGAGGTCCGAGTAGCTGTGCAGGGTCAGCGGCACGGCCACGTCGGAGCGGTCCAGCTGGTTCCAGCGCCGGGCCAGGCAGCACAGGCGGCTGATGCACGGCCACGCCATGCCGCCCGCCCCGCTGCCCGCCCCGCTGCCCGCCCCGCTGCCCGCCGCTCGGCTCGGCGCGCGCCCGGCTGCGCCGCCCCCGCGCCAGGCCCCGCCCCGCCCCGCCTGAGGCCCCGCCCCCTCACCCAGGCCCGGCCACTCGCGAGCGAGGCTTTAGGCCCCGCCCCCGAGAAAGCCCCCGCCCCCGATCCAGGCCCCGCCTCCGTGCCAGGCCTCGCCGCTCGCGAGCCAGGCCCGGACCCCCCAGCTAGGCTCCGCCCCATTCTCAGGCCCCGCCCCCGTGCCAGGCTGCGCGCCCGCCCCCAAACCAGGCCCCGCCCCCTCACCCAGGCCCGGCCACTCGCGAGCGAGACCCCAGGCCCCGCCCCCGTGCCAAGTTGCGCGCCCGCCCCCGAATAGGCTCCGCCCCGTCTCGGGCCCCGCCAATCCCAGCGTGGGGGCGGTCCTCCGGGGAGAGCTAAGCACAGAGTGGGTGCGAAAGTGGGGCGCGCGGGGGAAGATGCTCAGCCTGGGGGTGTTTGCTAGTGCCCGACTCGAATGATTCGTGGCTTCAGAGAATGTCGTCCGCCACATCGGACCTGGCTGCCGGAGGTCCCAGGCCGGACGGAGACCGTTCCTCCTTCCGCCTCGTTTGTACTCCGCAGCTCTGCGGGGGGGTGGGGGGGGGCAGCAAAGAGGGGATCGCCGCCAAGACGTAGGCGCCCTGCTTCAGAACACGTGTTCGACTCTGCCTGAGTCACCGCCTTGAGGTGCTAAATTTGTGACAAACCATCCCGGCTTTCATTGAGAATAGGCACGAGCCCTCGACTGACCTTTCCCTTAAAAGATATCTGCATTAGGGTGCGAAGCGATAGTACAGTCTGCAAGGCGTTTGCCTTGCTCGCAGAGAACCTGGGTTCAGTCCCTGGCATCCCATATGGCAACGCCAGGAGGATGCCAGGAGGAGTGACAACCTAGTCCCTGTAGGTTTTCCACTTGGACAGCTGCACTGTTTCCGCTTGGAGAGCTGCACAGATCTCAAGCATCTCAAGCCACTATGCTCCTCAGCTCCGCAGCAGAGGCTGGATACTACCGAGTTGAAGCCCTTCCTAGGGGACAACAGAGAAGCTTATTTGCTGATTTGGGGAATGAAGGTGGATGGGGGAGTTGTTGGGCCTCTCCCACTCCTGAGCATATGCCTCTGAGCACTGGTGGGCCTGACCCCAAATCCCCAAGCCCCTTGCCCCCACTGAAAAAAAAATGTGTGAGGGCAAAGTATGTGGGGTGCAGTTAGGAAGAGGCAAGGAGCAAAGGACATGGATCAAGCAGAATGTGACCTTGGGTGATCAATGTCAGCAGAGAAGCAAAGCTGAGAAAGGCAGGACCCCAGTGAAACAGCAGTAACCAAAACGCCCAGCTGTCTCACACTTCCCGTGCTGGGGGCATGGGTTGTGAAAAGGCCACCATGTGGAGGGGTGACGGGGACAGAAATGCTTAGGGATTTGGGGCCAGAGCAATAAAAGTACAGTGGGTAGGATGCCTGCCTTGCATGCGGCAGACCTGGGTTGAATCCCCAGTAACCCATATGGTTCCCCCAAGCCTATCAGTGGTAAGTCCTGCCCTGAGCACTGCTGGGAGTTAGTAAGGAATCAAAATTTAAAACCTCCTAAGAACTTGACCTTGCTTGAAGTTCAACTTGATGGCAATTTTTTTTTCCTGACCACCATGGAGAGGAGGTGTGTCTTCATCACCCAGTTGCCAGGTCTGCCCACAGCTAGCAGGACTTTCACTTTGGACTCCAGATGGGATGTCATGTGATGACAGCCTCCTCTCCCTGAAAAACGCTTCTTGCCTCATCTTTCAGGATTATTTGGATTTGGAGCTATAAGCACACTCAGGGAGTCAGACATGTAAGTGCTCTTCTGTTCAGCTATACATCAAGCCATTCAGGGCTTTGGGTCTCTTCTCTCTCTTCTCTCTCTCTCTCTCTCTCTCTCTCTCTCTCTCTCTCTCTCTCTCTCTCTCCCTCCCCGAACCCCCATTTTCCTGAGGGAAGAGCATAAACATAATTTTCTCCTGCAAGTGACATTGGTTTAGAACAAAATCCTGGCAAGAGTAACTGGCACTAGGGGCTGGAGTCATAGCTCAGCGGATAGGGCGTTTGCCTTGTATGCAACCGACCTGAGTTCGATTCCCAGCACTCCACATGGTCCCCCAAGCACTGTCAGGAGTAATTCCTGATTGCAGGGCCAGGAGTAACCCCTGCGCATCACCAGGTGTGCACTGCCAGGAGTAATTCATGAGTGCAGAGCCAGGAGTAACCCCTATACATCACCGGGTGTGAAACCAAAAAAAAAAAAAAAAAGATGCTTGGGGAAAAAAATAACTGGCACTTCACAACACAGATGACAGTGCTCAGTGGAAAACAACAAACTGCTAAACTCGGACAACTCTGTGCAGTGCTGGGCGTGAACCTGCACAAGGCTCTCAGTGCAGGGAGAAGTGGGGAGACCCTGCTCCTAGCCTAGGCTCTGAGTCCAGCCCTAGGCAGTTTGCTTTTAGTGGGGCTTTGAGGCCAAGGTGCTTCAAGAAATGTTCATGGTTTACTCCTGGCTCTGTGCTCAGGGATCACTGGTAGGCTCTGGGGACTATATTTGGTGCTGGAGATCGAACCTGGGTCAGCTGCACATAAGGCATGAACCCCACCCATTCTATTATCACCCCAGCCCTATTGCAGACAGAGTTCTTCACACCTTCCCAAGGCAAGGGCATGAATTTTTGGAGAACCACAGGCAGACGGCAGCTGTTTTCAAGGAGTGAAAAGACTGAAGCCTGTCTTAGAACCCTTTCAAGAAAAACACGATTCTCAAAACGATTTCCTTAAAAACAGGGCCAAAGTGATAGGACCAGATTTGATACCAGCAGCCCAGTTGGTCCCAAAGCACCACCAAGAGTGATGAGTGCAGAGCCGGGAGTAAGCCCTGCATGCTGCCAGGTGTGACCCCTAAACAACACACAAGGGGGAAAACACTCAGTTCTCGTTTCCTCATAATCATTTCACTCACAGGGCACGCCAGCCTTCCACGAAGGTGAGCCCGGTCTGCTATCTCCATTCAAGGAGTGCACATGTTCAGACACAAGATGCAATTAGGCTCCGACTCAAGTCTGATTTTCTCCAAGAAACTGCCATCAAACTCTCAATTTAGCCAGAGTTTTAACCTAGAAAGCAAGACCTAAAAATAGCTTTCTGTATATGCCACTCACTGCCAGAAAATACTACCTTTCTTGGGGAAAACAGAAAACACTGCAGCTGTTATTTCAGAACATGCCAGAGACCTACCCAAGGAAAAGGGTACGTGGGCACTGTAGCACTGTCCTCCCGTTGTTCATCGATTTGCTCAAGCGGGAACCAGTCATTCTCTCACAACAAATTGTGAGGTTTGTTGTCACTAAGACTTAAAAAAGCAAGCACCCTCAATTTCGAGCAGCTGCCCACCCCTTGTTCCCTTCCCAGGTTCCAGAGTTTGGGCATTAATGCTCTACAAAGACAAGGCTCAGGGACTGGGGTTAACACCCTGGTTCGATCTATGGGACATGGTCTTGAGCACCACTGGGTGCAGTCCTGGGGCACTCTGAGCACTGCTGGGGTGGCCCCGGGAGTTCCCCGCACCACAGGGCCCTTGCAGCAATGCCTCCGTGGGCCTGGTGCTTAAACTCCAGCCCACTTGGCTAAAAACTACCAGGAGAGACCGGGTTTCTAGAGCAACCCCTGAAACCCCTGAGAGAGAGACACCACCAAAAAAAAAAAGGGCAATGCACCTCCTCTGTTTACAAACTAGATATAAACCTTTATTTCACAACTTTGTCATAATTTGCTTTCTAGTAAGACACGTACTGGGGACACAGTTTATAATACTAGGAAAGCGAGACGCTCGGCGGCTTCCTCGGAGCGGGGAGCTCCCAGACAGGGGCAGCGCAGTGGGGCGTCGTTCGGGCAGCAGGTCCAGATATACCAGCAGTGCAGTGACCACCTCCAGTTACTTAGAGCCACCTCCCTTTTTGGGGGGATTAGTCCTCATTTCGTGCCAAATTTTCACTAGAGGCTCCCTGTTCTTCCAAATGAGTTCATGGCCGTAAGTAATGTACCATCTGGGAGAAGAAAAACAAGTAACACTCAAACAGGATGACAGACAAACTTCAGCACCCTGATATTAGCAAGCTGCCATTTGGGAAACCGAATGTCACTATTCGTTACTATCAAGCTTATTAAAAGAGCTGGCGGACTTATTTAGTAATGTCAAGTAATGATCTACCTTTAAGCTAGAGAGGCTACAAGGTCACAGTATGATGGGGCCTTGAATGTGAAGGGTGAACACCTCCCCCAGGTTTTCATTTCCTGTTAAGAGAGGAGGAGGCTGAGGGGCAGGAAGTGAGTGCTAATGGCTTCTAGGTGGTCCACGGAGGATGCAGAGGACGCACCTGCAGGTCACAGGATACTAAGCCTGTACTAAACTACAAGGCAATTGCTAAGGCCAGGATACTGAGCGGGCTCAAATGCCTGGAACACACTGCATGTGGGAGGCGCAGTTCTCCAGCCAGCTCCTCTCGTTCGGTACCCTGAGCACTTCTGGGAGCAGTCCCTGAGCACCTTTAGGCGTGGCCACCCCCTCCCCCCCAAAAAAAGAAAGGAACAAGCTTGAGGACTGTCAGAATCAGAGATTACTAATGAGGTTTAATGCCTCTTACCATCCTTCCCTCGGGAACACAGCCTGCGGATCCAAATTGACCCTCTTTGATTGTTCTTTTCATTTTTTTGGTTTGGGTTTGGGGGTCTACACCTGGCAGTGCTGGAGGAACCTCACCTGGTGCAAGGGATGGAACCATGGCTGCCTGCATGCAAGACAAGTGCCTCAACCCTTGGACTATCTCGTCAGCCCCCAGCTGCCTTTTAAAATGACGTTCACTCCCCATTCTCCTGGGAAAAGGAGAAGGCCGTCCTGAAGTCTGACAGCAACTGAGGCACCAGAAGCACAGAGTAGCGTTCACTGGCACAGGGTGCACAGCTTGAGCCACACCAGAACGAGTTCCGGTCTGGGAACGCAGGCCCTACATGCCCTGGGCGCGGCAGTGCTGGGGAGCAGTCCCCGAGCGGAGGCCACCTGCGCGTGACCTTGGAGAGGCCCTGGGACGGGAAGACCTGGCACACCTGACACAGCACCCAGGGCTGGCCGAACAACGCTGACACCGACGTCTACATTTGTCTACTTTCCCCCAAAGCCATTTCACGCGCCCTGAGGCAGAGACCAGATTTTGTGGATCTCTGCAGCTCCTAGATACCTAAGAGAAAAAAAATGCTAATAGAGCATAATACCACATGGCAGAGCCTGGCAAGCTCCCCGTGGCGTATTCGAGCTGCCAAAAACAGTAACAATAATGGGCCTCATTCTCCTGACCCTAAAAGAGCCTCCAATCGTTGGGAAGGACAAGTAAGGAGAGGCTGCTGAAACCTCAGGGCTGGGACAAATGGAGATGTTACTGGTGCCTGCTAAAGTAAATCGATGAACAACAGGACAAGTGATCAGGTGAATAGAGCATAATAGCTCATTTCATTTACACTGGTTATCAGAATGGCACCTTAATGTTTTAACTTTTGGGGCGGGCTGGTTTGGGGGCCACACCCGGCAGTGCTCAGGAGTTAGTCATATGTAATGCCAGGGCTCAACCCCCAACCTGGTCAGCAATGTGCAAGGAAAGTGCTTTTAGCCCCTATACTCACTCTCCAAAATAAACATTTTGTTTGTTTAAACAAAAAATATAAACAAAATAAACATTTTTTGTCCTAGCTAAAAAAAAAAGTGTTTTGGGGCTACACTCAGCAATGTTCACGGGTACTCCTGGCTTGGCACTCAGGAATTATTCCTGGTGGTGCTTGGGTAACCATGTGGGATACTGGGGACAGAACCCAGGTCTGCTGCACACAAGGCAAGCACCTTACCTGCTGTACTACGGCTCCAGCCTCTGTTTCAGTATTTTCTAATGCTCTGAACATTTTTATTCTAAAGGGCTTGAATTCAATCTGAACATTTACTGGTGAAAATCTAATCTGATGATGAGGGCCAGGAGAGGGCTCAAAAGATTGGATACGTATTTTGCAAGTGGAAGCATCTCGCTCAAACTCCAGGCGTGACTCCCAAGGGCTCGAGGAGTTCGGAATGGCACTCAGCACTGCCAGATGGGCTCCACAAATAAAAACAAAATGTGAAAAAAAAATTTAATTTTGAAAAACAATCGCCAGAGCCAGGGAGACAGTTCAATGCGGGAACCCAGGGTCTAGTCCCCAGCTCTGTAGGGTCTCTTCGTACCAATGGTGGGAATTACACCCACCAGCGCTAGAATCTGGGGGCCACAGAGATAGGACAGTGGGGGTAGGGTGCTTGTCTTACATGTGGCTGAGCCAGATTTGATCCAGACTACTACATATGGTCCCCTCAAGCACCACCCTGGACCCAGAGCCAGAAGTAAGTCCTAAACACCACTGGGTGTGGTCCAGAAAAAAAAATTCATAAATTTACCCAAAGAATAAAAATGTAAAAATCATTTAGGGGCTAGAGCGATAGCACAATAGGTAGGGCATTTGCTTTGCACGTGGCCGACCCAGGTTCGATTCCCATCGTCCCATATGGTCCCCCGACACCGCCAGGAGTGGTTCCTGAGTGCAAGAGCCAGGAGCAATCCTTGAGTATCGCCGGGTGTGACCCAAAAAGGAAAAAAAAAATAGAAATCATTTAATATGTCAGTCACTGTTCTCCCACTGTTCATCGATTTTCTCAAGCGGGCCCAGTAACGTCTCCATTGTGAGACTTGTTACTGTGTTTGGCATGCTGAATACGCCACGGGTAGCTTGCCAGGCTTTGTCATGAAGTTAATATGTATGTAACACAATTATGCTGGACTTAAATAAATAAATCTCTGACATATTCAGAGCAAGAAAAAAAGAATCACCTTGCATCCAAATGGAACTATAGAAGTCTCAAGAAACAATCACTTGTCAGGGACTCTCCCTTAATAAAATATCTCCCCAAATCTTTGTAACCTACTTATTAAACACTTGATTAAATATGCTTATTAGAGGCCAGCCACATGTGCTAGAGGAAAAGGAAGCTCAGATAGAGAAGGGAGCACCAAATAAAGGGTGTTGGGAGGATCCTCCCAGGATGGGAGAAGCATGTTGAAAGTAGTCTACAGACCAAACATGATCGCCACTCAATGCCTCTCTTGCAAGTCACAGGACCCAAAAGGAGAGAGAGAACAAAAGGGAATGCCCTGCCACAGAGGCAGGGTGGGATGGGGGAACGGGGGGTGGGAGGGGTGCTGGGACACGTAGTGGTGGAGGATGGGCACTGGTGGAGGGATGGGTGCTTGATCATTGTATAGCTGAAACCCAAGCACGAAAATTTGTAAGTCTATAACTGTACCTCTGGTGTTTCACTAATAAAAAAAAATGCTTATTACATATAAGTGTATTAAAGGTCTGATCTAATTATTAAATATTTGATGTAAAGCATTAAATACCTTATCTTACTGGGACACTGTTTTGATTATGCTCATCAGTCCAAACCATTGGCATCTCATATGGTCCCCCGTGCACCACTAGGAGTTAATTTCTGAGTGTAAAGCCAGGAGGAAGCTCCAAACATTCCTAGGTGTGGCCAAAAAAACCCCAAAATTTTTTAGAAGGGGCTAGTGTCATAGTATAGCAAATAGGGTATTTGCCTTGTGCATGGCAGACCCAGGTTTGTTCCCTGGCACTCAGAAGTCCCACAAGCCCCACCAGGAGTGATCTCTGAGCACAGGACAGGAGGGAGCCCTGAGTACCACTCGGTACAGTCACAAAACAAACCAAAAAAAAGGTAAAACAAAAATTTTAGAAAAGATGAAGTTTTTTTTTAAAATTTAACAGATCTAATAAATGAATATAAGTTGAAACTAGAAACAGCACAAAGAAAAATGATTCCTCTGCTTTTCAGATACTGGACTTTAAAAATGCTTTTGATCCAATAATTTGTAGAACGAAAAAAGGCCATCTAACTATAGTTCAAAACACATACAAAAACCTGCTGGGGAGAAAACCCTTTCTAAGTGGAAAGCTCCGGATAAATTTAGAGTTCATAAAGCAGCACCTTTTTTTGTTAAGTCTTTCTGTTTCTCACACTGTAACATCAGGTCAGTTTCTACTATTTATAATGTGCTGCTGTTAAAGCCAGAACTCACATATGCTATTCTTTAATCATCGCCGAAAATTATAAATGGCATAATGGCATTTAGTTCCACCGCCCACTGGGCAAAACTGCTTGCTCCACTTAGAATAGATTTTTCTACTTTTTAATTTAAAAACTTTAAGTTTTCCATTGTCATAAAACAAAGTACAAACCAAGTAAGGGTAAGAGACCATAGGTTCTGTTTTGCTTTGTGGTCAACCAGCTGTGCTCAGTGCTTCCCCCTGGCTCTGCACTCAGGGGTCACTCCTGGCAGTGCTTGGGGGACCACACGGGGCGCCATGTGCCAGGCAAGTGCCCTACCCGCTGTAACCACTCCGGCCCAACAGGCAACTTTCACGGAAGACTGGACAGCGCAGACCTAGCACACTGGACACAGGACAACCTGCCGAAGGGACTCTGAGGCTGAGGCGGCTCCATGAGTCCCCAGAAACTTCCGTGACAGACCCACAACACCTCTACAATGTCGAAGTAAAAGCTCGTTGTCTGGGGCAACCGAGTTTGACATGGGCTCAGGGTTGGGGCTGAATCTCTGTACTACTACTGACAAGTGGTATGACCTGAGGCGAACCATTTCTTGGCCATTTCCTGGAAGATGAAGGGAAGCACCCTGTCACGTAAAGCCACTGGAATGGCTCCCTGGCTCAGGGTGGCGCCTGCGGGGGTGCATGGGAGCAGGGACTGAAGACCTGACAGCTGACGGAGAGGAACAGAGCAGCCTGTGAACGGGAACCTGTGCCTTCTGGAGGCCCAGGGCTGAAGGGGAGGGGAGAGGAGAGGCACAGAGGCCTTCCCACCACCCCCCCACACCCCGCACACTTTCTCCCCCGGCTCTGCTTCCTCCTGCCTGCACGAAGGAGCAGCTAAGGAATCAACCACATTCAAACTTACATTCCAAACAGAGCACCCCCAAGATGTGCCGCATGATCAAAAAATTTCCATCCCAGGATCACTCCTGCTGTGTCCATGGCAATAATGGCTTTGAGGGCCTGAAAGGCAACACGAGAGGACAGAATTGGTACAGCTTGGATTCCCCGGCACCAGCGTTCCCAATTCAGCCCATGCAGAGACCACTTCCGGCCCGCCTTGCCATACTCACATTCCCGGCCGTGAAGGTGAACATGGGCAGGAAGATGATGGCGAGCCTCCCGTCCGGAACCTTTGTGCAGACAGCGGCAAGGACGGTCATGATTGCACCCGACTGCAAGGGGACACGGCGGGGGGAGGGAGGGGTATGAGAATCTCAGCATGTCCCAGCTTGGAACAGTGTCAATAGTTGTGCTTTTAGCAGAAAGGTTATTTGCTGCAAAATCTAGTGAGCGTGAGGCTTTAAGCTTTCAGTTACTACTGCACAGAGTCAAAGAAAGCAACCCCAAGCTTATCACAGAATGGCCACCTGGGAAGCAGTTCCCTGTCCCCTGTAAGTGTGATGGCCCCGGCAGAGAGTAAGCACAGGGGTTAAGGCGTCTGCCTGGCATGTACGCAACCAAACTCAGTTTGATCACAATGCCATGTGTTCCCCAAGCACCAAGCTAGGAGGCGCTCCTGAGCACCACAGGGGTGGCCCAATCCCCCCTACCTCCCAAATCAGGTAAAGGGACTGAGTATATAGCTAAACAACAGAGTACTTGCCTAGCCTGAGAGGCCCCAGGTTCTATCCCCAGTAACACCCAACACACACATCCCAAGAGAACAAAAAGTTCAGTGAGGGGCCAGAAGTTATCTAGGTCACCTCAAAGGGCTAGAGCACAAGCTTGCCAAGCGGGAGCACTCAGTTCAAATCCACACACACCACAGGGCCCCACAAGCACTGTCAGGTGAGGCCCACTCTAAGTTCCGTGAAATTTATACCCTACTTGGTAAGAGTCAACATTTCCCTTAAAACCTGGCCCCAATGTCCTGCTCCATCAGAACAAGAGAGCACGCTGCATCGGCGCTGGCTCCGTACGCCTGAATACTCGGAAGCGTCTCCCCAACAGCCCTGGATCACAGAACAAAATCTACACCCCATAATCTTTTTTTGGGGGGAGGGTTATAGGGGGGGCTGCAAACAGCAGTATACAGGGCTCTCCTGTGTCTAAAACTAAACCAACAAATAAATACCTAAAGAATTTGAGTTAGAAATACTCACTGCACCAAGTGATGGTCCGTATCTTCCTGTGACAACTTTACACACATAACTGACAAAATTAGAAATGACACCTGAAAAACAAGGCACATTTAAGTCATGTCAGTGAGGCGTGAAGAATCCCCTGTAAACTAACAGGGTGGGTTTCTCCTAGCACCCCTTTAAGGGGCAGCTTGCGGACCCCCGCCCCTGCCTCAAATGTCACTTCCTCTTACAGGGAAAGCTGCTGAGTGTTGCAAGTTCTCCATTTACCTCTCATTCGCATTTCTTCATCTCGAATGCAAAGGAGACCATTCCCAAACTCATCAACTGTCTGGAAATCCTCGGGGCCAGGCTTCAAAGACGCTTACTCAAATTTTGTGCTCAAGCTGGAAGCCTACACCTCACCCAGCTCGCCCAGGCCCCTGCCGTACAGCTGGACTGCTGAGCCCTCCCCTAGTCACCAGTCACTGTGTGGTTCATTTTAACACCTCCAAGTCAAACAGGAATTAACAGCATTGGAACCAAAACCCTCCATACCTACAACACAGCGAGGCCTCAGAGAAAGAGCTCCCACTTCACAAGCCAAGGTAACGCTTGTCTTGTGGGTTTGGTTCTTTAGTTTTGGAGCTGCACCCGGCCGTGCTCAGGGGACCCTGTGGGGTGCTGGAGATCAACCCGGGGCTAGCCATGTGCAGAGCAAGAGTCCTCCTTGCTCTCCCGCCACTCCGGCCCCAGGCTCCAGGTGTGAGGAAGCAGCGTCCAGGAGGAGAGCCGACACCGATCCCGCCAGCTGGGCCCGGGGCGGAAGCTTGTATTTCGGCCACACACCCAGGTCCAGGCAGCACCACAGCCTCCCCCCACTCCTGCCACAGGCACAGTCTCTATGGCAACACCACAGGAAGCAGGATCAAAACCCAGGCCTTCCGTCTCCCAGCTCAGTACTTTCTTTCTCATTACAAGCAAAACTGGCAAGTGGGACCTCCACAGCAGTGCGCAGGGATGGAGGGACCATTCCCAGAGGGCTGCAGTGCCCAGGAGCCACGTAATGCCAGAGACTGGACTCAGGCCTCCAGGCATGTCAGCAGTTTTAGCTCTATGAGCCATTTCCCCAGCGCCTGTTATGTTTTTAAATGAAGAGTTGATGGAGATAAATTTCCATTCTTTATGGTTTCAGTTTAACTGAAATAAAGAAGGGAAACGTCACCAAGCAAACGCTTCTCCTGAGCAGCATGTGGAATCTTGGCACCGTGGACTGCCACTCCCCTGGTCAAAGTAAGAAAATGATGCCATTTCCAGTCATGGCTGAGTGGTCTCATGGTAACACAGACACTTACAACAAAGATATGAATTGCACTCATTCTTACTGCATAGCTCTGCTGTAAAGCTCTCAGGAAAAGAAACTAAATGGGGCTCAGGAGTAATCAGCAAAGATGAGCGGTCTCAATCATCAGCAAGTTTGGGATCCACTAATTTAAAATGCAAAGGAGCTTAAGCAGCCAAGACCTAGTAAGAGAACACCGGTGTTTTGGAGTTGGAGAGGCAGGACAGACAGCCTTGCATGAGGCCGAGCCAGGTGTGATTCCTGGCATCCCATATGGTCCTCCGAGCCCCAGAGAAATGATCCCTAAGCACCCAACAAATGACATGTTTAAATTTGACATTAAATCTGAATCACTATCTATCCTAATTCAAAACTAAACATGTTTAATTAGTCTAGGGCCAGAGAGTGACAGTACAGTGGGGAAGTGTGCCTTGCACACAGGTGACCCAGATTCAAACCCCAGCATCCCATATGGTCGCCCAAGCCCACCAGGAGTGATGCCTGAGTATACAGAACCAGGAGTAACCCCTGAGCACCCCTGGGTGTGGCAAAAAAAAAATTAAGAGAAAGTCAATGAAGAGACAGAAAAGACAACAGCTCCACCCAAAGTTGGTTCCATTCTCTCCATATTTGATATAGTAGGCACTGAGCACTGAAACCATGTCCAATCCAGCCGTACTTCCACCCGGTGCCCTGAGGTGAGAGCGTAGTACCTGCAGACAAGTACACTGCCATGAACTGCTCCTGCCCCAGAATGTTCACGATGCTGGAGGAGAAGCTCCACAAAACATACATGTTGGCTGCCATGTGGAACAAGGAGAAATGGCTGAATGTGGACAGCAACATTGGAGAACAAAGGACCTCTAGAGGAGAAAGCAAAAATAGCTGGTTATGGCAGAACACACACCACAAAAACGATTCATTTCAGATGGCTCATTGTTACAAAATAAAGCAAAACATGGAGAACAGAAACACACCCAGTCAAAGCTTCAGGAGATCATTTAAGGTCTCAAAGTGGTAAATAGCAGCTTAATTTTGTTTCTGCTTAGTAAGTGATCAATAAAAATTCTCAATTCAATGACAAACCCTTGGCCCTGGATTACAAAATTCAGCTGACCAAGCAATGGGGGGAAGGTGGCAGGAATGACAAGGTGAACTGCAGGTGGCACAGAGGGTGGAGGCCTGGACAGGCCTGGACACCAGGGGATGGGGGATGGGTACAGCAACAGTACAACTGTACCATACACTGTGACACTCTTGTAACAATGTTACTGAAACCATACACATTTTTCCCCCTTTTTCTTTTTGGGCTGCACCCCAGTAGTGCTCAGGTAGCTTTTTTTTATTGTGGCTTTGTTCAGGAGTGTTCACGCTGGCAGTGCTCAAGGACTGTATGTAGTGCCAGACTCCAACTACGGTTGGCTGTATGTAAGGCAAGCACCTTAACCCCTGTATTATTTCTCCGGCTCCCAATTTAAATAAAAAATCTTAGTTAAATGAAAGCTATTTGTTTCTATAGCAAAGCAGTTGCAAAAAAACCCATAGTGGGGCTGGAGCAATAGCACAGTGGGTAGGGCGTTTGCCTTGCAAGCGGCCGACCGGGGTTCAATTCCCAGCATCCCATATGGTCCCCTGAGCACCACCAGGGGTGATTCCTGAGTGAAGAGCCAGGAGTAACCACTGTGCATCACTGGGTGTGACCCAAAAAGCAAAAAAAAAAGATAGTCACGTTATTTCACTTTATACATTAAGTTATATAGACAGTCTCCTCATTTTAGGTAAACTTACAGTTACGTGGATCTTTTCTTCCCCATGGGGGGATCCCTGGCTGTGCTCAGAACTTACTCCTGCTCTGCACTCAGGGATCACTCCTGGCGAGGCTCAGGGAAATCGAACATGGGTCTGGCATGTGCAAAGCAAGCGCTGAACCAGCTGTCCTGCTCTCTGGCCTATGTCTCATCATCCTGGACTATAATTCATTGAGTGTTCAGGCCTCCATGTGTGACGCTCCCTTCAGGCCAAACCCACACAGCAGAGATACCTGCTTCCTGCCCTTGGAAGATCCTCTAAATTTTGCATAGAACTGTTAACAAGTAACAGTTGACAACAAGTGACAAGTTGTTAATAAGTAACCACTGTGGAATAATGTCTCAGTAACACACAAGCCTTACAGTATTATCTTTTCTTCACAACTCCTTTCTGCATCAACAGCAGGTTGGACTTACTTGAAGCTGGATTGGAAGTGAAGTATCTGATCATTGTTCGCTGGAGGGAAGGCACTCTCCATAAACAGAACACAAAGACGTTTGCGGCTATGATACCTACAAGATAAATATAATTTCGGGAGGTGAAAATAAGAACAAAATCTAAGGTACACCTGAGTAAGAGTGTCTACCAAAGTAACAGAACAGCACTACATGCTTGAGGGGAAACAAGTATAAAATGAATGTTTTAAAAAGTCTCACAACTGTCACGGGTTATGTTTAAAAAAAAAAAACTACTGAAAACATGCTAGAAATTAACTTCCTTCACTCAGATTCACGTCACTGCCTTAGATCAGTTTATTTTTCAACAATTATATTCATAATTAATTTTTTACAGTGGTCAAACCAAGGATAGAAATCATAACAGAATTAAGTTCGTTGGCCAAAACTAGAAAGGCTTATATATGGCATTTCTTTTTCCAAAGAACAGCACGATTTTATTCGATATGCCAAACTCAGTAACAACAAGTCTGAAGATGGAGACATTACTGGGCCCGCTCGAGCAAATCAATGAACAATGGGAGGACAGCACGATTTATCCACTAAGTGAAACTGTAGTTCAGCAACAGAGCTGAAGGGCGATGTATCTGAGAAAAGCCCTTGTTTAAATAAGAATTCAGGAATAATAGGGAGGAATTTTGTGACTGTTTTTGAAAATATATGGCAATTGGGATTGCTGTCTCATTCTTCTGCAAGACCTGACATTACCAGAACCAAACTAAGGACATTTACTCAACTTCAATTGGGGGTAGGGGCTAGGACGCCACCCAGCAGTGCTCAGGGACCATATGCGGTGTCTTGGATCGAACCAGGCTTAGCCACAGGTAAAGGCAAAGCGCCTTATCTCCTATATTGTCTTCCTAGTCACATTTTTAAGCCTATGGAGTTGGGAGGCAAAGTCTCCTGCCCCTGCGCCTGGCTGTCTTCACCAGGGCTCCTCAAAGGAGGGCGGGATGAGTTTCCCTCCCTGCCCTGAGCAGAGCCCCAGCAGCCAAAGACCTCTGGAACCCAGCCACAGCCATGCTCAAGGCCACTCTCCACATGCTCGGAAGAGCCTCATGCATGAAAGAACCAGCAGAGGAACCCAGGTGTGCGGGACCCGGGGCTGAGATCTCTAAGCCTGCTTGGATCGGGACTGGGCCTCCTCCACCCAGATCCCCCATTTTCCAGTAGCTAGGCAGTCACGCCCACAAACTGCCCCTGGTGCCAAGTAATCCCATCAACAGCCAAGATCCAGAGACTATAAAACCAAGCTCCCAGAAGCGGACCTCTTATAGTCTAGTTCCCCTCTTGGAGAACCAGCAAGCTACCGAGAGTATCCTGGTGGCAAGGCAGAGCCTGGCCAGCTCCCCGTGCATATTCGATATGCCAAAAATGGTAACAATAACAGGTTTCATTCCCCTGACCCTGAAAGAGTCTCCAATACGACAGCGTTGGGAAAGACGAGTAAGAAGAAGCTGCTAAAATCTCAGGGCTAGGACGAATGGAGACGTTATTGGTGCCCACTCGAGCAAATCGATGAACAATGGGATGACAGTGATGAAGTTGGGAAATTAAGCTCTTTTCGAAAACTAGAAACCAAATGCATTAATTTCAAAACTTACTAAAATTCTTTTACCAATTTCCTTGACTTAAAGAAATTAAAACCTTTAGATTCATTAACTTTCAACTCCACTAACTGACAGTAAGGGCAACATTCAGGTCAAGCTGGATAGGACTGATTTTTAGAGGATAGTTACTGTCTCGTTCCTGCCAGCTGCAAGAGCTTACAGGCACCCTGTTTTCATACTTGCTCATTCTGCGAGACTCAAAAAATGGCAAAGCCACTGCCATTCCGAGACTTCTGGTTTTCCTCTCTGGACACAAAGGAGAAACCACTGCCCTCCACACAGATGCTCACACATTTCCCCCGTGTAGTATTTGGAAGCAGGTTACATAGTCCATTAGAGATTAACTGGCAGCATTTCCCTCTCCGCAGCACATTCAATGAATTCGATTCTATCAGATTTCTTACTGGTGGGGAGTGAAACAGCTGCTGTTATATCATCTTTGGGAAACACCTAGAATTCTTTCAAAGATGCTGAGAGGGGCAGTATTTATGAAAGGAAGGAGAAACCAGAGGCCAGGCCCGTCAGTGTTGTGTGTGCGCATTCCAGCAAGGACCTAGAAATCTGGACAGAGGCTGGCAGGGAAGGGGCAGACCCTTGTCAAAGAAAGGCACAGACTTGGGGGGGAGGAGGGTGGGGGGAGCCGTGGAGTGGGGGGAAAGCCTGAGAGCAGACTGGTCATCAGTGCCATCTGGGGCAGAAGAAAGAGGAAACATCTTGAGTTTGGCCCCGGGTTTTCATGCCCAGAAAGAGACTCAGTCAGGGCTACACAGTTTCACTCAAAAGCTGGTTCCAGGAAAACGGAGGGGCCTGCTGAGCTGGAAAATGGCAGCTGCTCGGCCAACTCGGCCATTCCACAAGGTACTCTGAAACCGGTGATCAAGGCACACGGCTGTGTGGACAGATGAATTGGACGGAGAAAGAGAAGACATCCCAGTAACTGTAGAGGCACATCTCTGGTTGAAGACACTACCTCAAAGGAACAGACTCAGGGAAAAGGAGAAAGATAACAAAGATACCAAGGTTAAGAGCAGCTCAAGAGGTAACTCTGGCAAGTTTGGAAATCAAATACAAATGGTCTTTTTGGTTAAAAAAAAAGTTGTTTTGGGTCAAATAAATAGCAAAAAGAGTAAGACGCTTGTCTTGCGCACAGCTGGCCTGAGCTCTGTCCCTAGCATCACATACAGTCCCACCAAAGGTGAACCCTGAGCACAGAATTAGGGAGTATCCCATGAGCACTGCCAGGTGTAAGCCCCAAAAGCAAACCAAAAAAAAAAAAAAAAAGACAGCAAATAACAAACAAAATTAACTTAAGACAGTATTGACAAATCCCTGCAAAGATGTAAACTACTGAAACAAACTCAAAGTGAGAACATCAGAATAGGCCTATAGTAGAGACTGAATAAATTATAAAATCTTTCCACAAAGTCAAAAAGGACAGAAGCAATAGCTTTGATATTACTTTTCTAGAACTACTGTAATAAATTAACACAAACCTAGTCGTTTCAATATATTCTATCACAGCTCTGGGCTCCAGAACTTTGTATTTATAGTTTTAGCTCTGTGCTCAGGTGTGACTTCAACCAGTGCTCAGGGACCATATGCAGTACCAGGGATTAACCCAGGTTCAGCCACTTGCAAGGCAAGCACCTCAACCCCTGTACCACAGCGCTCTGACCCCGGGACACCAGAAGTTTGGAACATGCCAACGGCCAGGCTGGGCCTAGGGACCCCTTGACTCTTCCCAGCTTCTCCGGTCACACCAGGCACTGCTTGGCTTTCTGCACATCGCTCCAGCCTCTGATTCCAGTTCTCTCCACAAGGCCTTCTTTCCTGCACATCTCTTTCCTCACTTCTTATTATAATGGGATAAATCAATGAACTTAGGCACACCTTAAATCTGATCTCACTGTAAATGCAAACATCTAGTTGGATCTGCAAAAACCCTGTTTCAAATGAGACAGTCCCGGAGTCAAGGCACACGCCTTGTTTATTGAGGCTTGGGTTTGCTCGCCAGAGCACCACCAAGCGAGGAGTAACCCCTAAGCACCAGCAAGTCTGGTCCAAAGTTCCAACAAAAAGACAAAACAGACTATCAAAATGGAAAATGTTTGTGCCCAAATACACCATTAAGTGCCAGAGAGACAGAGAGGTGAAGGCACTCGCCTAGCATACAGATGACTCCTCAGTCAATCCCCGGCACTGCACAGTCCCCTGAGCACTGCCCAGAGAGAATTCCAAACACAAAGTTGGGAGCAGTCTCCAAGCACCACCAGGTGTGGCCCAAAATCACCCCCAAAAAACTATTAATACAGTGTTAAGACAACAGATAGGATGGGGGAAGATGTTTGCAAATCATATATATAATAAGGAACTGGAATCCAGAATATATCCCAAAGTACGTACAGAGCATTAAGAGCACCATTAAGTCTAAACAATTATATTTAATGAGATTATGTCTTATTATTTCTCTAGGAAGATTTTTCTTCCTATCTACGTAATTGTTAAAAAAAAAAAAACTTTCCAGAGTTCTTCTACCCAAAGATAAGAACATCTCCAAATTTCCCAGATAAGTCCAGAAAATACTGCACAAGTATTACCTTGAAGGGTCAAATGTCTTTCCAAAAAAAATTTATAAACAAAAAGAAGCATGGTGATATGGAGAGCATGCTTACATTTAAATCAGATTTTATAAATAGCATGTTGTAGTAAAGAGAAAATTGGCTTAAAATGGGACAGACCTGAATTCTGAAAGGTGAGACCTTCGATAAGTTGCTTCTCTGAAAGCCAGTTTCCTTATCTGTAAAAAGGGAGATAACTAGCCTGTAAGCGACCCAGTGAGGCAGGGAGAGAATACACACAAAACAGTCTGCACAGAGAAGGGACCAGGCGCTCCCTGGAGCGTGCTCTAACTGAGAGGAAACAGTCACTCCCTCCCAGCTTCCCAGCTTGGATTCTATCCCAAAGAGAGAGCGTCTGCTCAGTTCACAAGTTCCAGTGAGAAAACAACTGGCCCAGAGCATCCTGGATACCTTGACGCCATGCCTATGTCAACCTGCCAAGACAGAGGCTCCCGTCTAAAGCACCGATGCGCACGGTACAAAGCCAGGGACTGTGACATACTGTACCTTTTGTTTTGATTTCTCTTCCCTTGAATGGCTAAAACGTGTAAGCTAACACAAACCTGTCACTGTCCGCTGGCCATCACTTAGGTTATTCCACCACTTGTTAATCTAAAATAGAAGGAAAAGTGCATCTCACTGTATGGTAAATACTTCCAGGCTAGGAAAACTGCAAGCCAGGAAGGATGGCTTGCAGTTTTCTTGTGATAAAAGAATGATTCTTTGTTGGTAAAAAATCACCAGGGGGACCAACACACCAAGAAACACGCGGACGGCGGAAAGCGCAGGCAAACGTCTGGAGTCAGACAACTACATACACCCACCGATTAGCTCGGTGACCACCCATCAATTACTTCTAAACTTCCATCTCTGATGCATAATGCTCTATCATGCTCTATTAGACACGGAGAGGTATTCACTGAGTGCCCACAACTTAGTTTTTACTACCCTGGGGAGGGGGCAGATTTGGGCCTCCCCTGGCCATTTTCAGGGAACACCCCTCGATGGAGACTGAGGGATGATACACAGCATGGGGAGATACAAGGCCAGGACCTTAAGCACTGTCTTCTTTTCTTGTTTGGTTTTTCTCCTTTGTTTTGGTTTTTGGTCACATCCGGCGATGCTCAGGTATCCGGCCCCAACTGCTGTCCTCTAAACCACCATCTCTCTGGCACCTGATTTTGAAACTTTAACTGGGAACATTTATCATCAAAATTGTTTTTCCCTTTAGGCGTAATAACAATATTGAGCTATAAGAAAGAGACAGAGGGTCGGAGAGACAGTCCAGCATGCAGGGCTTTTTTCGTGCACATGGTTGATGGGCTTGAGACCAGCACGAGACATTGTCCCCAGAGCACCATCAGACTGGCCCTGAGCAGAGCAGAACCAACCCCTGAGCTCTGCCAAGTGTGATCCCAAAAAACAAGCGACATAATAACGGGGATGTGGTTCATTATACAGCAATTATCTTCTCTATTGGAGCCTTGGCAGGGCAGAAAAAGAAAGAAAAGGAGAGAGGGGCTAGAAAGATAGTACAGTGGGTAGGGTGCTGGCTTCACATGCAGCCAACCCAGGTTCAATCCCTGGCATACCATAGGGCCGCCACCAGTTAATTTCTGAGTGCAGAGCCAGGAGTAACCCCCTAGGATCAGTGGGTGTGGCCCTAAAACCGAGAGAGGAGGGGAAGGGAGAAGTGGGTGGGGAGGGGAGGAGAGAGGAGAGAGAACTTGTCCACATGAGGAGAGCTATGCCAGGAAAACAGAACCCTAACCATTATTTGTTTTGTTTTGGGACCTCACCAGTTATGCTCAGGGATTAGTCCTGGCAGTCTCAGGGGCCCGCACAAGATGCCAGGGAATGAACCCAGGGCAGCAGCACGTAAGGGAAGTGCCCTACCCATTGTGCTGTCCTCTCTGGCCCAAAGACAATCTTAATCTTTTGGAACACAATGGAGCTTTGTCTTTGGGTCACATCGAGCAGTGCTTGGAGAGCTCTGTGGTCCTGGGGACTGAACCTGGGGCTCCCACAATCAAAGCATGTGATCAGTCTTCTGCAGTGTCTCCCCTGCTCCACACGCTGACATTTTTTATGCATGACTATGTCTAGGGTCTGATAATCAGTGATGGAGAAGGAAAGGAACTAGATGAAACTAAGCTGGTCACATGCCAACATATGCTGAACCTGAAAGACAGGGTTGCATTTCATTATTTTCTTTTCTATCTCCTTGAATTTTTCTATTATTAAATTTCTGGTGTTTTTTTGTTTTGGGGTCACACTCTACTGTGCTCAGGACTTACTCCTGGCAGTGCTCGGGGGACCCTACGGGCGCAGGGGATTGAACCCCGGTCAGCTGCATGCTAGGCAAGCACCTTACCTATTATACCTTTTCTTCAGCTCTTAAATTTTGGTTTTCAAAAAAATACATATGAAGGGGTCACGTTTGGTGCACTAAGGGTGCCAATGCGGTGCCAGAGGGTAGACCAGAGTCTTGTGCACACTCTGACATTTGAGTTTTTGCCCCAGCCTGTACAGAACTGAATCAGGTTCTGTCCACTATTATAGAATATGAAGGAGAAAACCATTGCAGATGGGTGTTCAATCCCAACTCCGTCTCTGCAGTCATAACCGCCAACTGCGAGCGCTCAGCCCTCCACCGCGGCCCATGAACATGGGATATCGCAGAAACCCGGGACTCTCACGCCCTCATCACAGGTAAGGACCATCACCACTTTTTCCGAAGAGCAGATTTTCTGCTTCATAACCTACCATGAGTCTAACAAACCCACAACAATAAACACATCCCTCTTTAGAGGAAGATCACGCACACTGTTTGGGTCGTTTTTTCACCACTGTGAAGTACTGACCCCCAAGCTGGGTATCAATACTTCAGAGTTAAAGCATGTGCCAGAAACGAGCAGCTTTTCACGGCTTCTACTCCCGGCGTAGGGAACAGGTCAGGTTCACTGTCCTCCCAAACACAGCGTACCGAATAAAAACCACTGTCAAACCACTGTCAAAGGACTTTGGGAACTCTCCCTCTCTGCCCCCCCCACCCCTCTCTCTTCCCCCCTCTTCTCTTGCCCCTTCTTCCTCCCTCCCCTCTCTCTTCCCTCCCTCCCTCCCCTCCTAATAAATTGTAACTTAAGAACATCATGTGTACTGACTTCACATCTACCAGTTGCCATGGGCTAAAACCACTTCATATGAATAATCAGACTTCCAAACTCTGACCAGCTGGAAAGTAGAGCGAACTCACCTCCTTTCTGAAGTCTCCTCCCTTTTGCGGTCTTATGCTGTCCAGCCAATCAGCTTTTATACCATCAAAATAACTCTGGACTCTGGATTTCAGTGACTCATATTGCCAAATAGCTGCTGATCCAAAGGCACAGCCTGTGAACTACATAAAAATAATATATTACAAAATGAACTTAAGGGGCTGGAGTGATAGCACAGCAAGTAGGGCATTTGCCTTGCACACAGCCAACCCGGGTTTGATTCCCAGCATCCCATATGGTTCCCTGAGCACCGCCAGGAGTAATTTCTGAATGCATGAGCCAGGAGTAACCCCTGTGCATCGCCGGGTATGACCCACAAAGCAAAAAAAAAAAAAAAAAAAAAAAAAAAAGACCCAAAATAAATTTAAGAGAAATGTAAACCAAGTTCCAAGAGCAACCAACCCTGCTTCATTGAACAGGATAAACATCTTGTATAGTGAAAGGAGTGAACTGTCCCCACTCTGATCAATTTCACAGTAGCCAGGGGACTGCTTACAGCTACAGATGTTCGAATCAAACCCAAAACACCAAGTGAGTATCACTTGAAATGATAGAGTATGTCAGAGGCCTATGCTTCTCCAGGGCTTCTATTACATAACTGAACCAGGCTCAAAAAGCGATTCTTTAACCTCACGTTAAATAATTCACGACTCCAGATATTCAAATGTTTTCACTGCCCCTCCCCTATTTTGGTTTTTGGTCACATTTGGCCGTGCTCAGGGTTAACCCTGGCTCTACACTCAGGGATGGTTCCCAGAGGGGGAAGGGCCCAGGAGGCCATCGAGGGCTGGGGTCTGATCCCGGACTGGCTGTGTGCCAGGTAACCATCCTGCCCGCCGCACTATGGCTTCAGCCCCTCTCCCTTCACTCTGGGCCCATCCACATAAATCAAGAGGTACTTGAACACTTGTACTTTACACTCTAATCTCACTTTGAAACTCTTTAACAGCAAGGCAGTGTCTCCTGGAAATGTGAGCTCTTACCCCAACAGTGAAAAAAAAAGGTTTTATGAGAGTTCTTATAGGATAGGGTGAAGGATAAAAGGCTGTTTCTTCGACAGGAGGAATCCAAGCACTTCTCTTGTATGCTGACCCAATGGTTCCCGAGCCTGTTCTGCGAGGTTCAATCTTCCTGGGGGCTTTCCTGAATCCACATTTTTGCTGAACAAAAAAGTTTAACCTGGAGAGGAAAGTAAGAGGTTAGAAGAGAGAGCTGCATCTGAAGGCAACTTGGCGGCATCCTCACCTCAGCTTCTTCTCCCTCTGTAACCAAAATAAGCCACCACTCCCACTCCCTGTAGGATGGAGGCAGGTGGGAGGGGGCACGACTCAGCATCTTGTGTCCCTGAAAGAGGCAGGACAAAATGACCGCTGCTCCTCTCCCTCCCTGGCCCAAAGGGGACTGGGCAGGTAACAGAGGGGCCAGCAGGTAAGGCACATGCCTTACAGGGGGGCCCAAGCACAGCTAAGACTCAACCCTTGAGTGCAGAGCCAGGAATAAGCACCACAGGGTAAGGTCCAACCCCACCTCCACCCCGCAAAAACTCTAGCGGGTACTTTGGGAAGGTGATACTGTACATCAACGTTATTTTTATTCCACGTCTGCACAGACTTTACAGTAGCTTACAGTACTATAAAAACAAAACAAGAAACACACAGCCTGAATTAAGAAGCATGGCATTGTTCGTTATTCTGTTTGAAATCTAGTCAATTTCCAGAATATCTAAATGTCATCCTTGAGCAGGGGATATGGCCCAAGGGGCATCAGGGGCCACAGAGGTCATATCCAGCAGTGCTTAATTCACCACCCCCCACTGGCTCCTATTAAATCAATTTTTAAATTATCCTTAAGTTACTCAAAGTTCAAATTAAGTACTGCCTCTATTACCGAGTCCCCAGGCCTCATGGTGGCAGAGGACCCAGGCTGTCCCTCCTTGGGCCCCCACCTGCCCAGCAGACTGGCTGTCATGCCCACAATTTGCCCCTGGGCACCATCTTAGCCCGCCAACAACCCTGGCCCAGAGACACAGCAGCAAGTTCTAGAAGACATCATAGCACGGGAGAGCTCTCTGGGCCCTGTACCAAGCCAATATCACCAGGGCACCCCGGTTGGAGCAGGTGCAGTCTCCCTGTCTACTCCAGATTGAATCCCAGCGACCAAGAGTTTCCACAAGCAAGCACCCAAGCACCCTCCCCCCAACCCCATGTGGGTGCCAGGACTAAACCTTCAGGCCGCAGGGCAGCAGAGGACCCGGGCTGTCCCTCCCCAGGTCCCCACCCACCCAGGAGACTGGCTGCCACGCCCACAATTTGCCTCCCGGTGCCATCTTAGCACACCCAGAGACTCCAACTGAATCCCAAAATGGATTAGTGCCATACAGAGATGTCTCTGGAACCCAATCATTTACAATCTAGAAACTTACATTTACAATCACAGCTGTGCAAGCTCTCGTGATATTCGAAATAAGCAATGGACAATAAATTATCTAGCGTCTGCCCCTGGCAGGTAGGCTTGAATGTTGGAAATTTTGAGCAAAACATAATTAGAGAGTACTGGGGAAACTGTCTGCCATAGAGGCAGGGTGAGGACTGGGATGGGGATGTGAGGGCCAAGAGGAGTGGGGGATACTGAGGACACTGTGATGGAAAAGGTGCCCTGGTGGAAGGATGGGTATGAGATTTGAGAACCTCAAACATGAAAGCTTTGTAACTCTACCTCACTGTGATACAATTTAAAAAGAAAAAAAAAGTAATGTGGAGTTCATGCCCAATTCAATCAGCTTAATCAATGGCTGAACAAATAGGAATACTCCTACGTTATTTTATTTAAAAAAAAAAGTACTGCCTCTATTACTGGCCATTATAAATTGATGTTAATCATCCTGTTAATCGTCGATTGCCTCGAGCAGGCCCCAGTAACGTCTCTTTCATCCTAGCCCTGAGATTATATTCAAGGCTTTTTAGGAGAATGAGACCCATGATTGTTACTGGTATTTGGCATATTTGGTGCGCCACGGGGAGTTTGCCAGACTCTGCCCTCTGGGCAGGCTATATTCGATAGCCTGCAAGTTTGTCCAGATGAACTCATTCTATTTCTTCTCTCCACTTATTTCACTATTAGTTTGGGAGATTCCCACCAACTGGATGTGAGGGGTATTTGCAAGTTCTTATAGCTTGAAATCCACATAAGAATCATGTGTACTGGGGCTGGAGCGATAGCACAGCGGGTAGGGCATTTGCCTTGCATGCAGCCCGCCCGGGTTCAATTCCCAGCATTCCATATGGTCCCCCAAGCACCGCCAGGAGAAACTGTTGAGTGCAGAGTGAGGAGTAACCCCTGTGCATTGCCGGGTGACCCAAAAAGAAAAAAAAAATCAGATGTACTGATCACACCGGCCAATTCCAGCCTGTCATGCTGGGGTGCATGTGCGAGTATGCACGTATGTGCATGTGCAGGGTGTGTGTGTGTGTGTGTGTGTGTGTGTGCGTGTATGTGTGAGACAGACAAAGACAGAGAGACAGAGATCTCCCCCCACCCTGTTTTGGTTTTTAGGCCACATTCAGCGGGGGGCTCAGGAAACAAAATAGGGTGTCAGGAATAGAACCTGGGTCAGCCTCGTGCAAGCCAAGTGCCTTACAAGCTGTACTTTCTCTCTCCAGCTCTCAAACCCTAGAATTTTGCTTTTTTTGTGAAGGGGGCACATACTCGGTGGTGCTCAGGGGTTGCTCCTGGCTCAGCACTCAGGAATTTCTCCTGATGGGCTAAGGGGACCATATGGGATGCCAGGGAAAGAACCCAGGTCAGTCGTGTGCAAGGTAAACATCCTACATTACTTGTTGTAATGTTGCTGAAAGAACACACAAGGCAGTGCAACTTATGATACATGGACAAGCCAGATCTACATGAAACAACTTAAAAGCTGGCTGTTCAAAAGGAGCCAATAGGTCTCCATGTATGTACAAACAGTCATTATACTTAAAGCTATATATTTAGGGGTGGAACTGTATACACACACACATTTTTTTTTTAATGTTTTGGTGCCACACCCAGGATAGCTCAGGGTAACCATACGGTCATGCAGTGCCAGGCCTCCATCATGCAAAGCTATGTTCCAGCCCTCTCAGCTCCCTCCCCAGCCCCAAAATACCTTTGCAGCCTAGAACTGTCACCCCAATCTGAAAATTTTAAGTTCCCTCAGACGTCAGACTCAACCATTTTCTTCTCTTAGGCAGTTCCCTCTACGTGACAACTACGCATGCTTTTTTCAAGTGTCCACCATATTTTTCCAACATGATGCCCGGGGGCCAGAGCCAGGTGTGACCCAAAAACTAATAAAGAAAATATTCAGAGGTGATGCCAGAAATTTGATCAAAGTTTCTGAAAAGCCTGAGCCAGGTTTCCTTGTTCAAATATGTTAGTGCACTGGTTGGCTTTCAAGCCCTCCAGCCAAAGCCGTTCTTGGCCAGGGGCTACCTCAGGGCCCATGCGGCCTCTGCACAGCCCTTCTCCGGCTTCGGGATCTTCCATCACAGCCCCCAAAACCCAAGGTGCAGCCTAGCAGTGCGTACTGTGCTGGAGACCACGTGCTGCAGTAGAGAACCCTGGTCTCAGAATTCTGCTTTGGATTTTGTGGTGGGGTTTCTTTTTATTGGGGGGGGGGGCACAACAAGCTCTGCGATGGGGGTTGCACACAGAGATGCTTGAAGGATCATGCAAGGCAGGAGCCTTAATCTCTGTACTGTCTCTCCTATCCCCAGGAACTCTGCTTTGTACCACAACCCTGAATAATTTTAGACCCACAGGAAGTCAGAGCAGATACAATCAAGTCATTACAAGTAATAAGCATGCTGCTTATAACTCTGTGCTTATTCCCAGAGTCAAGTATACAATCCTAGTTTATGTACATTTCTCCTATAATTAACATTTTTCTATGCATCCACAAAAAAAAAATAATTTTACCTGTATTTTTTTGCAGTGTCAGGGATAGAACCCAGATCTTATGCATACAAGGCATGTGATTTATCACAATGCGTCCCCAGTCCTAAAAAGGGAACTTATTTTCTCTTTCCTTCCTGCCTTCCTTCCTTCCTTTCCACTTCCAGGGATCAAACCTGGGGCCTCCCACACGCAAGGCAAGTGCTCTACCACTGAGCTACATCCAAGCCCCCAAAATGTCCTTTCTCAAGGCAGGGAAATAACCGAATTCACTTGAACATCTGCCTTGCGTGCAGAGGCCCAGGTTCAGTCCCAGGCATCAACTGGACTCCTGAGTAGCCCAGCTGGGCGCGGCCCAAAAATCGAAATAAAACTGCATATACAGCAAATCTCACAAACATTAGCTGCCCATTTGCAACATCAATTTTTTTTTTTCAAACCCATCTCTCCAAGGGTTCCACGTGAGTCTTTACGACCACACCTGTCATTCCGACGACACATCTCTCTGCCCTACAATTTCAACTGGGCTTGGGAATAATCGGTGGCATCGGTACAGCAAACAACCATCAGCAGGGCCCGAGAGATCAAATCGTCTGGGACTTGGGCGCTCGACTCGCAGGCAGCCCCCCGGGGCTGGATCCCTGGCACGGGTTTCTAGAGCCAAATAAAGGACCACCAGCACGCGCCCCGCCCCCCCGCACCGGGGTGGGGCCCATTTTCCGCCCCGCCCCAAAGAAAAAGAAATGTATCAGCCGAGCCCACGCTCCAGGTGCTTTAAGTTAAGTTACAATGTGTGTAGCGGGGAGGGTGTCGGTAGAAAGCCCAAAGCCCACTCTCGCTTGCTCCCTGCCAGGCGGCTGCGGTCAGACAGGTTCCTCTGCTGTCCCAACCCGGCCTCGCAGCAGCCCCGCCCTGCAACATCCCAGCACACGCCCCGAGAGCACACACTCTCAGGCAAGGGCTCCGGGCCTGCTGGGGCCCCGGTACTCCACCCCGGTGCCTCTGATTTCTTGCTACCGTCGCATACATCACCCCGATCGCAGAAACCGGGAGGGGGGGAGATGGAAAGGCTGAGCTGAAAGCCCAAGCACGAAACCCATCACAACTGCTAGGCCGTTCCAGAGGCTTCTCTCCGCTCAATTGACAAGCAGAGATAAAAAAAAAAAAAAAAAAAAAGCAAAACCTAAGGTAGCCACAATTCTCTTGGCGCCTGCGGGCCGGGCCCCCCGGAAGCCCAGTGACCCGGGGGTCCCCATCCGTCCCCCGCTCTCCGCGGGCCACGCGGATCCAGGGGCGACGCCCCAACCTCGGCCCCGCCACTCCCAGCTCAGAGGGTCGCGCCCCCTCCGCGCCGGCTCTCCAGGGCCCCGACCGATTGCGGCTCTGGGGGGGGAGGGGCCAGGGTCGCAAAGGGGGGTGCAAAGGGGGGCGCGGGCGGACGTTTTTACCTGCGTCCGAGCAGCCGCGGCGAGGCCAGCGCCGCAGGGAGCTCGTCGGCACCCGCCGGCGGAGCCCACGCGCGGCCACAGCCCCAGCCTCTCTGCGCCCAGCCGCGCCACGCCATCTTCCCAACCTCTGTCCCACCATGGCCCGACCTCCCCGACCCCGGCGGAACCACTTCCGGGGCCAAGCGAGGACCATAGAGCGCCGGCCGCGGCCTAGAGCGCCCCCTCGCGGCGGAGGCCCGCCGCCGGCGGCCGCCGGGAGCGCGTCCAATGACCGTGCGCGTGCCCGTGGTCCTTCCTGCAGGAAACACCGTCCACGGAGATGCTGTCGCTGCTTTGGGACCGATTTGGACCAATCTGACCGCCGCGTTTTCTGAAGTCGCTGCTCTTCTCTGCGGATCATCGGTTCAAGTCAGGACACCCTTTTTTTTTTTCCTTTTGGGTCACACCGGCATTGTTGCACAAGGTTCATGCACTCAGGAATTAGTCCTGGCGGTGTTCAGGGGAGCATATGGGATGCTGGGAATCGAACCCCGATCGGCTGCGTGCAAGGCAAACGCCCTACCCGCTGTGCTATTGCTCCAACCCCAAGTCAGGGCACACGTAAGAGGACTCCTTTCCCCACCCTACCCCCTCGGGTCCCTTCCTTGCGGTGTCCTGGGTGGTCTACACCTGCTGGCTCGCACCTGAGGCTCAGAGGATCACCCTGGCCGGACTGGGGAGAGGTCCAGCTCCTGGCCTCACACCTGAGCCAAGGACCCAAGCCTAGAGAGGGTCCTTTGAAACCTTTGAAAGAGTTTGGGCCTGGCGAGATAGTCCAAGGGTTCAGGTTCATGCTTTGCATGCAGGAGGCCACGTTTGAACCCCGGTGTTCATGGTCTATAAAGTACCACCTGGAGTGAATTCCCAAGCACTGCTGGGTGTAGCCCCCAAATAAAACAAAAACAGAACCACAGCTGTGGGTCCTAGAGATGGTATAACAGGTAAGGCTCTTGCCTTGCACACTAACGACCTGGGTTCCATCCCTGGCACCTTATATTGTCCCCCAAGTCCACCAGGAGTGATCCCTGAGGGCACAGCTGGGAGCAAGCCCTAAGCACCACAAGGTGTGCGCCCCCCCCCAGAAAAATAATCAAATCTGAAAGAAAAAATCGATTTCTAGCTGAAATCCAAACTCATTCACGACTCAGTGGCCTTATTTGCAACTCGTTCATTATTCCCTCCCATACCCTAGCTGCAACCATACCGAATTTCTTAAAGTTTCCGAAATCTTTCTCTTCTCTCTGACTTAACCTACCTAACCAGTGTAAATCTCCACCACTGAGAGGCTTTAGGACAAGAAAAAGTTTTCCTCTACCCTCGACAGTTTCTTGGTTGGTTCTTCAAATTAAAACATCAAACTAGTGGGAGAAAAACGTATAAAGTTTTTTGTTTTTGTTTTTGTTTTTTTTTATTAGTGAGACACCATGAGGTACAGTTGTAGACTTACAAATTTTGTGCTTAGGCTTCAATTATACAGCGATCAAATACCCATCCCTCCACCAGCGCCCATTTCCCAACCACCACGGATCCCAGCATCCCTCCACCCCCCATCCCCCCCAATCCCACCCTGCCTCTGTGGCAGGGCATTTTTCTCTGTTCTCTCTCTCCTTTTGGGTGTTGTGCTTTGCAAAAGAGGCAATGAATGGCAATCATGTTCGGCCTAGAGTCTACTTTCAGCATGCTTCTCCCATCCTGGGAAGATCCTCCCAACACCCTTTATTTGGTGCTCCCTTCTCTATCTGAGCTCCCTTTTCCCCTAGCATGTGTAGCTGGCCTCCAAGCCATGGAGCAAAATTCTTGGTACTAATCTCGGCCATTCTTGGGTGTTAGTCTCCTATAAAAAAAAAAGCATATAAAGTTTTCCATGTATGTGGGCATCTTCACCAGAGCATGAAGACCAGCAGTGACCAGAGCAAAATCTTTTTTTTTAAATTGTAGTTAATGTGAATTACAAAGTTCTTCTTGGTTAGGTTTCAGGCATGCAGTCCCTTCACCAGTGTCCACTTCCCTCTACCAATGTCCCCAGTTCCCCTGGAACCCCCAGTCAGCCTCCGTGACAGGCACTTTAATTATAAATGTTAGGTGCTGTGGTTTACATTACCGTTACCATTAGGATTTCATGCTTAATGCTTTACTATCTTCCAGCACCCCGTCCTCCTGAGTGACCGCTCCCCTCCACCACTGTCTTAGTGTCCTCTTGCCTCTGCTGTCCCCTCCCCAACCTCCACATCAGTTCAAATGACAAGCTTCCTACTGAAAACGGTTCTCAAGTATTTTGTTTCTAGGGCCTTGGGCATTTGTTATTGCCCTACTATGTTTCTTCATACCCTGCAAAAGAGGAAGATCATTCTGTGTTGTTCTCTCCCTTTAAATTCACTCAGCTTGATACTCTCTGTGTCTATCCACAGAGCAGCAAATTGCATGATTTCATTTTTGTATGGCTGAGTAATAGTCCATTGTGTACATGTACCACAGTTTCTTTATCCAGTTATGAGTTCTTGGACATTTGGGTTGTTTCCATATTTTGGCTATTGTGAATAGGGCTGGAGTGATAGCACAGTGCGTAGGGCATTTGCCTTAAACACGGCCGACCCAGCTCCGATTCCTCCGCCCCTCTCGGAGAGCCTGGCAAGCTACCGAGAGTATCTCGCCCGCACGGCAAAGCCTGGAAAGCTACCTGTGACGTATTCGATATGCCAAACACAGTAACAAGTGTCACAGTGGAGATGTCACTGGGCCCGCTCGAGCAAATCGATGAACAGCGAGAGGACAGTGACAGTGACAGTGAATAGTGCTGTAATGAACATAAGAGAGCAGATGTTTGTTGTATATTGTGGTTTTGAACCCTTAGGATATATTCCAAGAAATAAAATTGCTGTGTCATATGGAAGTTCAATTTCTAGTTTTTTGAGAAGTGTCCATATTGTTTTTCCAAAAGACTGACCCTGTTGACATTCCCTCCAACAGGGAATACATGTCTCTTTCTCCCCACGGCCACGCCAGCATTGGCTGTTGTTCCCTTTTATGTGCTCCAGTCTCTACAGTATGAGCTGATATCTCATTATTGTTTTCATTCGCATTTCCCTGATGATTAGTGGTGCAGAGCATTTTTTCATATGCTTTTTGTCCATTTGCATATCTTCTTCTTTTTTTAACTTTATTGAAACACTGTGGTTTACAAAGTCATTCACAATACAGTTATTTCAGGTATTCAATATTCCAACACCAGTCCTGCCACCAATGTGCCCTTCCGCCACCAATGTGCCTAATTTCCCATCCATCCCCCAACCCTCCTCCTTTAACAGGCACTAATTAATTTACTTTATATTGCTTATTACAGTTATCTCATAATGGTGTTGCTAAAGTCAGACTGAGTTGTTAAGTATGAGTGTTATTGTTCTTGTTTATTGAGCTTAGTGGGCTTCTGCTCAACTGTCCTCCTCCTTTTCTTGTTTCTCCTGACCTGTCAACTCTGTGAGGTTTGGAGGTATCGCATGGCTGCATATGAAGCTGTTACTTCAGGGGCAGACACTACCTCCACTACCCAGCCATCGCCACACTCCAGGACGATTTCCGGACCCGCGCGGCCGTGAAGCGGCCATGCGACACATCATAAGACACTAAATACCCATCTTCCAGAATTGTCATACCATATTTGATAGGGTTCAAATATGGTAACACCTACGAGGGTGATTAGAGGTTGCCCCAAAAGCCTCTATCCCTCTCGGAAAGACTGGCAAGCTACCGAGAGTATTCCGCCCGCACGGAAGAGCCTGGCAAGCTATCCGCTGTGTATTCGATATGCCAAAACCAGTAACTACAACTGGTCTCATTCACCTGACCCTGAAGGCTTCACCGACATGGCAGTACTGAGAAGGATGAGAAAGGAGAGGCCGACAAAATCTCAAGGCCGAACTAGGCTGCCACAACGAAGGAAGACAGAAATGATCGTCTGTACTTTCAATGCACGTACGCTAGCATCAGATGCATCTATCGAGGACCTGATGGTACAAGCGTGAATGATCAAGTACGACATCATTGGTCTGACCGAGACAAGAAGGCACGAATCTCACCATGCCGTTCTCGACACTGGAGAAGAATTGTTCCTCGGAACATGCGATAAAAGAGGTGTCGGAGGCGTCGGTGTCCTTGTCAACACAAACTTGGCCATGAGCATTGATTCATTTGAATGTCTAACAACCCGAATTGGACGTTTACATTTGAATAGATGTGGCTCACTGCCTGCAGTTTCTATCTTCGTTGTCTATGCACCAACATCTCATTATGATGAAAGAGAAATCGAGAAGTTCTACATGGAGCTGGAGAAGTTCTATAAAGAAGACCACACCTTCTACAAGATCATTGTGGGTGATTTTAATGCCAAGATAGGACCGAGAAGATCAGCTGAAGAACTTCACATCAGGACCCATGGCCTAGAATGGAGCGAACAGGGTGAGAGACTGTCTGAGTTCATCATGTCAACCAGGACCATCTATGGTAACTCACAGTTCCAGAAGGCAGAATCTAAACGTTGGACATGGGAGTCTCCCGGTGGACGATTCCACAACGAAATAGACCACATCATATTCAATCGACGGTTTTGCCTGACAGATGTCGCTGTTGTCCCAAAATTTCGAACGGGATCGGACCACCGTCTCCTTCGTGTAAAATTCTACTTCACAGAGCGGGGAGAAAGGGCTGCAAAGTTGAAAAAGAGAACTCCCAGAACGACCACCAACTGGGAACTCTTTGGCACTATCGCGACAACATGGGAAGATGCCATTGTTGACAACATTGATGAGGAATACGATCAACTGGTTCAGCACCTCCATGAATGTGCGAGGAACGTCAAGAGAGAGATAGCCACAAAAAAACGCCTGTCTTCTAAAACTCTTGAGCTAATTCGCCAGCGTGGTTTGGCGCATGCCTCAGGCAACCGCAAGCTAACGTCCGAGCTCGCAAAGCAGTGCAGAGATGCGATCAAGGAAGACCTCAAAGAGAGAAGAGCAGAAGTACTGGTAGATGCGGCAGAAGCTGGGAAAAGTATTCGTAACGCCCGCCTGTCCTTTGCCAACTACAAGACCAAGATGACTGCCCTCCGACATCCTGAT